GCTTAACTTACTCCAACTATCTCTCACACGCTTTCTAGCCAGACGTCTTCTCTAACCATACAGAATGTCATCATGCTGTACTACCTACCTATAATTGATTACATATTATAATTCCAGGATCCAGTTCTATTACTGCTGATAGTGTTAAAACCCGTGCGTGGCGAACCAAAGCTCAGCTGAACCTGGGGTGCGAGAAGCGAAAACGAGTTATACACGCCTGCCTGCTCCCCACTCAATCCAAGACAAATTACCTATTACCTGGTATCGGCCATCCCTGGCTTCCAAGTTTCCTTGCGTCGTCTCTGCCGGTGGTGCTGCTGCTACTGATGCCACCACTGTACGACGGTGCGACGGTACTGCGGTCGATCTGGCTTCCCGCCTTCGTCTGACTACCTGACTGCAAGGTACCGTTCCGTCCAAATGAATTGAATTGAATCATGCAGGAACTACCTACTTCAGGGTGAGCCGCCTATGGGTGCCTGCTCGAGGCTTATAGTCCGAAGGAACAATTGCAACAGATCCCGAGACAACGTGTCTCAACCCCAGAGAGCCGGCAGCTCGTAACGGTCTATAGTAAGACATGGCTCTAGCGACCAGGTACCTATTCTCGTGTAGGCATTGGCATGGCAGGCTGGTACCACTGACTGGTGGTCACTTGCTGCTTGACGGAGCAGCGTACGGTACCTACGGTATGACATGTACAAAACCACCCGAGCGGAAGAACTCCAGAAGATCAAGGCCGTGAAACAAACCCCGCATGCTACACTACTTTAGCCTACTCGGTGATTTTCTAAGTCAGGCTGGGTCAGTCAGACAGACAAGAGCCAGGCCTGAGATGTACCTGAAAGTGAAGCCGCCTAGCCCTACTCTACAATCTCCGCCTGTGTGTCAATGCCTAGCGTGTTATTCTCGGGGCGCCAGATACCAGACAAAACGTCATGGTCAGTGTACGTAGCAGTTGAAGGGGCACCTATGTATCTGAGGCCTGTCCGAGTGGTCCTATTCGTCGTTGTCGCGTCGGATACTGCACCTAAGCAGACTGCTGCCAGGCCAGATTTGCCGTCCACCGCCACGACGGCCGCATTTCACATCGTTGTCCTGGGCCAGAAACATATGCTCAGACTAAACCAGTCATCTTCTCCTCGGCGTATAAGATACCGTAGTCCTTAATAGTTGACCTTCCTAATATGCAGGTTCATCATTAGTCTCCGAGGGACAATACGTGCTGTATCGTCCGGTGGCTGAATACGGCGTAATTTGGTATTACAGGGCACGATAGCGACTCTTTCAAGAGGTCATAACAAATTACCTGGCTTCAAAAATGCCTCCCGTACCTTGACCCAAGAATTTGGGATAGGGGCTTGGAGGGGCGTTGTATTCCCTTCTGTTCGCTTCTATACCCCGTCTTCATCATGCCTTTTCCCCTGCGTCACATCATCCTTCTCGTTTAAGCCATTAACCGAAAGAAACACAAGGTGCCATTTATACCCCATCATGCGATCCTCTTCTTTCCATCTCCGTGCTACATCGTCTCCGTCTACCTGGTTTTTTTTTTTCTCGCAAAATTTCCCCAAATAAGCACATATGTATGCTACAGAACGATGTAGTTAGTGTACGTATAGTGTGCTGCTTGCATGGAAGCGAGTTGCTGCGGCCTAGTCATCGGCCTGGCCATGCTTTTCGGACGCATCTCTGATGCGGAACAACTACGATCTACTATCTATTCTACATTGCTTCTGTGTACGTTATCAAATTTCGATATGATATAGGACGGGGAAATAAACTGAAACGCAGATCTTAGCTACTTCTTCCCTCTTCTCCCATAGGACTTCGGCTTTTACCTTGATAGGCTCTGGCAATCTCGCTCCCCGATCTCCTTGCCCTATCACGAGTTTCCTTTACATATGCCGCGATCTATACGTCGTCAAATAAGTTACTATAGCTACAAGCGTAACGCTAGATAAATTCTGGCAAGATACTGCACGACGACGTCCGGTTAACTACGGGTTAGTGTGACAAGATCCCGTCTTCTAGTGAACAAGAGTACACCATCGTTGCTCGAACATGTAACATGATAGGTATTCTTGCCCCCCCAGTTACAACCTATCACTACCTCATGTTGTAAGCACCGGCATACTCTCCGTCCGTCCACCAACTACAGCAACTCATCACCACCCCAGCTTCTCACAAGACGCGAAATGCGGCGGAATCCAGTTCCGAGTATCACGATCCTTCAATTATACAGTAGCGAGGTCCAGGGGGTACGGGTTAATGCAACTAACTACCTTGTCGTCTTCCCGTCGCCACTCCCTGACATTGAATGCAAAGCAATAAAAAGAAGCCGCGAAGGTATATTCTTTTCTTTCTCATTTGTTTTTGACAGATCGCGCGCACGTGCTAGAGCCCTATCGCGATCCGTCAGCAATCACACCACGATCCATGATCGGAGCTCCTTCAACCCCCCACGATGAACCCCTAGCCGAAAAACGGTTCGAAACAGATTTGCCAGGGATCTATGAGAATAGGGCATGATACAATCAAAACAAGCTGAATGAGGGAAGACACCCCTTATCCTATTGTACCTAATTTTGGCATTGTCAGAGCTGCAGTGGTGTTGTTTGAGATGATCCACGCATTGACCACTGTAGACGCGGTAGTACCATCTGAATATTAATCATCACCATCGTCATCACCTGTTCGTATCGGAATCTGAGGCTGACGGGCTGGACAAATCAGCCGCGCGAGTAGGCGCATGTGCCTTCCTCATCCTGCCAGCTGGGCCACAACAGAAAGTTAGTTCGAAGAGGCATCGGTGTGCCTGAAAGCAAAATCCTCTCCTTCTTTTCCCTCTTCTCCCCGGTTCTGTCCCATCTATATAGTACACATGTATCGTAGAACGCAAACATAGACACCAAGACCCGAGTGCATACTTCCCTTGACCTTGCTAAGTCGCACTTGGCTGTCTACGTTCGTGGATGCCTTAATGTACCGGCTCTGCTTCCGGATGGGAGACTACGACTCCGGAAACGACCTTGGATACCGCGAAACTTATTAGTCACCACACTATCTACCGGCACCGTTGACTGGTTGGCGATGATGGCGGTAGTACGCACTGTTGGTGGCGTTGGCGTAGGAAACCCCCACGCCCAGGAGGTGAAGAATTGGTCTGGAATTGGGGTTGTCACTGGCCCAGGCCGAGAGTTGCAGACTAACCATTAACTACTACTACTACAACCACGGGTGAGACGAGGAGGCCCTTGCGTAGTCCGCGGGCCATATGGCGGCTATTAGGTGAAGTAGAATAAATAAACAATAGTTGCCAAGTTGACGTAGACCAGTATGGCTATATGGCTTGCCATAAGAAAACTTAATTGCTGTCCAACATATGCGAACAACAGTTACCATATATAAGACTATATACGAAGTAGTTCGACCAGTATAGTCACCTACAAAGTCTCATTCGGTCTGCAGCCTACCTTCATAGTTTACCTGCTGACATACCGACCGGACTCTCCACACAGGTCCCATACCCCATACAAAGAAGAGTAGTAAGTAAGATTTGTTGAAACCGTGGAAGTTGCTTGTTTGCTACCCACCTTGCGACAACTTCACGGACCGCCATAACACATACCAAAACATCTATACCACGTAATGTTGTAACGTATATGTGATAAATGCAGGGTCCCAGAACAAAGGAAGGTTACGACGTCAGAAGTCCCTGCCTGCTTCTGTAGGATTGCTTGCCCTCCCCTGCCGATGTGTGCCTACATACACACTTACATACATACCCCATATGCTACCTAACCTTGACCGACAAAGCATCTCCACGGGCAACAGGAAGTCATACATACATACTCCGTACATGCCGGAATGTAATATACACTCACAAGCAAAGATATATCATTCCCTTTGTTTACTCATAGCGCACTATATACGGGGAGAGAGGTGTGGGAAAAATAAAAACTGTCATCTATGAGGCCAAAAATAGGGCCAAGAAACAATCCTAAAACTCCAACACAATCCTTCCATTACATCACACTGAACTATATTGCCTTACTCTGGCCAAGAGTGAGGCCGGCGTCCTCCAGATCCGAGGACATCATATACGGTAGGCTACTTAGCCTTGGGCCGTCGGTACATATGCAGTGTAGTACAGTAATGTGGAAAAGATACCATCACGCATTGTAGTGCAGGTACTGTGATCGGAAAACATGGGGTCAGATTACAGTTTCGTTTCGTTTTAGTCGAAAGTACCTAATACCCGCTATCTATAACCCATCTCCCTTGCCTTTACTGCTCACATATGGAGAAGAATAACCCATTGCTGACCGTCCCGAGAGTTTGGATGGGGCTGACAGGGTCAACGTAAAACTAGTATAGGCAGGGTTGGAGTAAGTCCAGGAGCGCAAATATAGACAGGGATCCGACTCCTTCTACATGGGGGAAGGGGGGTCTCATAACTCCTCATCACAGCGAGAGAACCATGGGTTTTGGATTTGGGGGCCTTGGGTATTTTGGAGGAATACTGCGAACAACAGGCAGTTCCCTGCGAGCAGAATGAAAGGCTGACCGTCCGAAAGGAAAGGGGGGAAAAAATCCCGAAAAGGAACAATGAGATGAGACGAGATAGGATGGAACGGGGTGAGATGGGACGGGATGAGATGTCAAATCTCAATTTTATTAGATAGATTTTCTTTCTCCGTTGACGATTACATGCTGTGAGTGCAATGCACAGTACTATGTACAACATGATGCATCATCGCCAATTAGGCGAAATGGGCACCATTTCTGTGAGAGAAACGGTGTATGCGGTATGGTAAGGTGTGCTCTGGTAGTGACCCTGGTGAGCTACAGTACCGATATGGTGAAAGGTCGGATCAGTTGCAAACGAAGAGAGTAGCAACCGGAGACGAGAACATTCGAAAAGAAAGACAAAAGAACAGAGTAAACCCACGTGCGTTACTAATTATATACCTACCTACCTAGGCATTTACCTACACACGTAGGTATCTAATATACACATAACCTCGTACTCATCTCGCCACGAGCGTGGCACGAGCGAAGAGGACAAGGAAGACGGCTGAAGGAAAGCACCCTAGAAAGAAACGAGAATGCGAAGAGGGCGTACCTATATATCGAGAAAGAAGGAAACGTCCGTGTACACGAATCTCAGGACTCACTATCCAGAAGAAAGAAGATCGCCATCTACTGTATAAACGCATCTACACCGACCCGTTTACAACCTCACCGTCACCGCGAGGGGCGTTTTCTCCGAGTCTGCTGAATAACCCGGCATATCGTGTAAAAAAAAAAAAATAAACCCACAAACGAACCAGAAGTGTGTCCTGGCCTCAAATCGGTCAACAAAAACCCGCACCGCACCGCACCGGAGAGTACAGTACAGTACTGGAGTGAGAATAGTACCCAGTAACTTACTCCAACAACGACCCCAAGGTGCATATCATGCGTGTAACCTCGACGGTCAGTCACGTCAAGGGTCCTCCCTAGCTGATGCGTACATGAAGTATACATACATACCATACATGACCCGGTACCATACTTCACAGTAGTAGGTAGGTGGTGTATATGCCCTCGACACAGCTTACATACGTTCATACATAGTACCATACATACCAATATCCGTTCTTCATGGGCCTGTGTGCTGTGTATCTACCGGCGTGAGAGGAAAAAAAAAAAAAAAAAAATAGTGTGTGCGCAAGTGAAAGCGAGTAAAAGCAAGGGAATAGACTTGAGACTGGGGGACCAACGAATTTCACAACCACGGTTCCCCGAAACCCAAACCCCTCCCCCCAATCACATATACCTGACCCAATGCTGCGCTGACAGACGGACAGACAGACAGAATGTGATATACCTACTGTACGAAATCCCGTAGATCCTTGAACCTCTTTTTCCCAAAAACATACGACATGCCTCACCAAACGCCGAGAGCAAGATGGGAATAACGAAACACTGCATTCTTTGGTATTGATTATAGCGCGTTGGAGTGATGACATTATCACCGTACTATAGATAAGTGCACATCACGTAAACAAGTGCTGAGTCTAGCAAAGGAAGGGGAGGAAAAAAATAAAAATAAAAATAACAAAAAAAATAATAACACACATTACGCTGCCTGCACTAGCTGGACGCCCTTCGACAGAAGTCCCGTCGCCGGCAGGCAAAGCACATCGACATGACGAGGTTCCCCCATGCTGACATGTTCATCAAACGGAAAGAAAAGTCGACAGGGTTCTCCCCGGTAGCTGGAAGCAAGGTCGGCGTGAGTTGTCTTGTCTGGTCTGTTCCACCCCCACCATTGGGATGATACTTCGAGTCGGGGAAGACAACGGGCATGGATAATATTTGACCGAAAGAAACTGTCTGCATGAGTGCTGATGCCGAAGCAAACGAGCAGCGAAAAGGGATATTATACAGTCGATGACGATATTTAGTTTCATACTGAAATGTCTGTATTGGGTATCTAAAATGCCACCGAGCAGTCCTTTCAGGAAGGCCCGCGGTAGTGCTAACAATCGATCTGCATCCGGTACGTGCCCGTAGCATACATCAACATCCGTAGATATGTACCGATGTCGGTCGTAACGCTGAGACATCACCAAAGTTACATTAGTCACCTTCTGATATTGGTGGAGGTGCTGGCATCGTTAACCTACTTAGTGATCGTTTTGTGTCATGCAATCAAACCCCGCTGGTCACGAACCATGATCCTAGAATCTACTCTCATTCGCTTTCGGGGTGGCTCGTGACAGCGAATCCTGTCTGATCGTCCCTCTCACCGGCCTATGGCGTATCTTCCCCGCGGCATTTCCGCGTCGCCATTCGTTGAACTGATCTTTGAGCTGATTCACTCAGGACACAGCGATCTGAGGGAGAATCGGCAATGCTAAGTATCTCAACTCACCCTTTCAGCGACCATAACCGGGAGTGAAACCTGGTGGCGGCGGAGGGGGGGCACCATTTCCAGGCGGAGCGAAACCCGGAGGTGCAATAGGACCCCGGAAGTTACCTGGGTGGAAATCGGCAGGGCTACCGTAACCACTTTGGACAGGTGGAGGTCGCGCCGGCAACCCTGATGGCGCAGGCGGGAGCGCATGCGATCGACCGGCACCTGGAGGCGGCATGCCCGCAAATGGCGGATGGGGAGGGCCACGGTGGCCACCAGGCGCAGCGAAGGCCATAGGTCGTGGAGGAGGCATGCCGCCCGCCATGGCAGGGTCGAATCCACCCGTAGCCATGACGGGCGGTACAGCTGCTGCTGCTGCGGCGGCCGCCGCTGGGGGCGCGGCAGGTTGACCGAGAGTCTGGAGGAGAGCAGGTGGCATTGGTTGGGCTTCGATAGAGACGTTATGTTTCTTGGCTTGGGCAGCGAGCATACGTTCGGCCTCATCTCCGTGACGCTCACCCTTGCCGTCCTTCTTGTATGCATACTGAACGCTGACATCTTTGTTCATGAGGAACTGGCCGTTCATATTGTTGATAGCATCGTCGCTTGCTTCGAAGCTACTGTAGCTAACGAAGCCGTATCCTTTGCTAAGTCCATTATCATCGCGAGCAACCTTTGGGGGCGCGATGAGGGTGCCAAAGCGACTGAAGGTATCGTAGAGGATCTTTTCGTCAACCATGGGGTCTAGATTTCCGATGAACAGCTCGGCACCAATCTCGAGTGGCTTCTGCTTGTCGGCCGAGGCTTTATTGACTCGGAGGGCCTTGCCGTACAACCGGATGCCGTTCATGACCTTGGCTGCGTAGTCGGCATCAACCTCGCCATTGAACTCGACGAATCCAAAGCCCTGGTGTGATTGCGTTACACGGTCCTTTGGCAAGTGCACATTAACGACAGGGCCTGCTTGGACCATCAACTCCCATATTAGAGCATCGGTGGCGCGTTCGTCGATGTTGCCTACGTAGACAGTGGCTTCTTTATCTTGCTCCCTGAGCAAAGTTAGCAATAGCTTCCAAAGCATTTTCCATAATGAAAGACAGAAGGCTTGAAAATACCAGTGTTTTGCGCCCGACATCTTGGAAGGCTATTCTATTTGGATTGTGGTGAACCAACAGATTGTAAGCTGCCTTGAGCGCCAGTGTTGGCCTTCGCATACACGCGACACGATAGATCATTAGAGCCAAGCTAAAGCCGGGAGCTTCAACTTCATCAGCCAAGGATTCTAATCGATTGGAGTCGCCAGCCCGCTGCCAGCTGTCACGGGAGGTGCCTGCCCTTGACAGCCTATTACGTAGGTACCTAAGTACCCCTACCAGCTCAGTCCGAAATTTTGAGAGAATCGAATGGTGCATCTCGAAGCTCGTCATCCTTTCTGAGTACGCGCTTCACCACCATCTACCTCCGTCGCATTCCACAGTGGGCAGCAAGATTAACATTGCTACCCCTCTCCAAACTACCATCGTCCTCGCCCGTCCTCGGACCGTGCTCACACTACAAAACACACCATAATACCGCCCAACATGTTCGCCCTTTCTGAGGACTCCAAGGAGCGCATCGGCAAGATCATTGAGGTCTCAAGGGTTGCCATGCACTAGTACGTTTATAAACCCTCCGGTTCGGCGGACAGCGCAGTTCCACAACTAACAGGTCTTGATAGTGGTTACTTGCCTTTAATTCTCTATCTCGGTACGCTTCGAGTTCCCTCGAGCCTCGTTCTCGGACCGTCCTAATTTCCATGCTCTCGTTCATGTTCACCGGATACAACACATATTCTAACTTGAATCTCTCTAAAAGGCTATACACGCAGCGATCCTCGTCCATCGATCATCCGGTAAGGCCCCTCATTAGCTTGACAACAAACTGCAGTCAGCTCACGCTCCTTCAGACTACTCTCCCCTCTCTACTAAACCGGTTCCGAGTTGGAGACTTGTTATAAGTTAAAGAAACGCTTTGGGAAAATCAAAGCAACACAAGAAATGTGTGTACGTTAAGATAAACCGTCCCTAATCCTGGGACATCGAGGTTAGAAACTGCATATTGGACAGGAGGTCTGGCGTTTGCACACGATTGCGCGATGGCTGTTACATCGCTAGCTACCTGCTTGTAGAATACAAATGTAATGATACCACTCAATGGAAATGACGCCACATCATCTGGTTTAACGGATAATCGATTGCGCTGGCAGCTATGAACGTACTATATGAAGAACTCTTCATCGACCACGGTTTCTCAGCACTTGCACAACGATCTAAGCCTGAATAATTATTGCCCGAAGTTATGTCGATACTAATGTACAACGTTGTTTTCCCCAGAGATAACCATGAGCTGTCGCCAGATCTAATTGATACAGTCTTCGTGAAGTAAAAGGCGGAATCTTCAAGCACGATGCTGCCAAACGAAACAAGCCCACCAAGCCGACATCAAATCTACCACGGAGCCACCCACCACTAGGACAAAGGGGCCGTGATTCTTGCTCGCTCGACCTTATCCTATGCATTCTCGGCCGGGGTTTGGTTCTCGTTCAAGAATGCCTCCTCGATAGCCGAGCGCCGTCGGAAGACTCTCAGCCACCTCTCGCCCCACCGCTTAACAAGGTCCTCGCCGCCGTCAGAGGCTGCGGGATCCATGAGCTGATCTTTGGTTCCTTGCGCCCAACTTACCAACGCGTCGTCCATGATCTTGAACAGCTCACGCATAGCCGTTATTTCTTCTTGCAGCCCTTCTGAGACGCCGCCCTTGACCACTTGGCGGAGCCTACTGGTCACCTTCACAACGGCATTGAAGACTAGCTCGAATACCCATGCCTTGCTCAAAGCTTGCCCGTAGGGACCGGCACGATCACTAACTAGCGCCCAGTCGATGACGGCGCTTGGTGTTACGATAGAATAGTTTAGCAACTTTTCAATAATGCTAATGGCAACGCCAGGGTGGGCCGACCAGTAGTTCATTACGGCTGTGATTATCTGTGCTCTTGCCGCCTCGGATGCCGCTCCAGCGTCAAGTAGCCGATCCTTGGTTCGTTCAATGCAAGCGAGGACGTGAGAGAGTGACTTGGAGCCCACCCAACAGACGGCGGTCATAAAGATATCCGTGCTCGTAACTAGGGGGTCAATGGCTTGATCAAGCGCGGCCGAGTGGATACGATCAATCACGGGCTGGATTTCTTCGTCTGTTGCCTTGCGCTTGAGAAGAGCAGCGAGTTCCTTGCCCTCTGCAGAAAAAGGCGTGTCTACAGTAACTATTAGCTAGCTGTTCATGTCTGAGATAAGTGATAACTTACGTTCATTGTTGAATTTGAACTCGGGAGTATCTTGTTCCTTCTCGGGGCCGATCAGAGCTTGGTATGGCTCGGGTAATGTACCCTTGATCCGTTGGGCAAAGCTCAAGCGAATTTCCTTATCTAGAGCACCTAGAATGAATGATTTACAAGGATGCATGTCAGGCAAGTTGACGTCTTCAACCCATTCGGTCCACTTCCACATGAACCCAAAGTTGCTGAGATGATGAGTAAACCAGTCTAAGAAACGGTAGCCAAGTTCAAGGTCCAGACGATGGGAATTTTGATAACAGTAACGAATAGCACGCCCCAGACTAGGTGCGATAGCTGCTGGTGCAATCTTGCAGGCTTCAGTCAACACAGAATGGTAATATACCAGCTTGTGCTCCGGAGTGGGAAGTTGGAATAGCTGCGAGAAGACAGCATCTACGGCAACATCTTCAGGCTTCCAGGAGGAGCGATCACCATCTACGTCACGAAGACGATCGAACGGGGTTGCACGCTTGATAAAGGTCCCTGGAGCAAAGTAACAGTCTGCATCTATAAGGAAGCGTGCGGTCACGTTGCGGTTGAAATGGAGGACGTTGATGGTGTCCAGCAACGCATCCCGAATGATGGACGACGCGATATTGTTGACTGCGGGGACAGATTCAATGTCCTGATGAATGTAAACGGAGAAATATATCTCAGGAAATAAGGGGCGCGGCCCAGCGGTAACCTTTTCTGGAAGGGATATGGTGGGTAAGGCATGCTTTTGGGCATTATCCAACTTCTCCTGTTGCTCGATCTCTTCGAGCGGCATCCGCCATGGTCTTGGTAGGCACGATAAGGACCAGCCGCTGGTAGCCTCATTCTGAAGCTGCTTCTGAAGTAGACCGATGAGGCTCATGTTGGCGGCTGGGCTCTCGGTTCCGCTCTCCGCATGGTACGGGTCTATAAGAACTTGTAGCGCGTGAGGTTCTGAGGCGATTATGTCGGTCTTGTCCATTAGCTCAGCAGCTTTTTGCTGTGATTCTGTTGAAGGTGCAGCAGCCAAAATATAGGGAATCGTGAGTAGGATGATCTTCACAAGTTCTGTCCCGATGGTCTGAATTCATGTTAGAAGCGGAAACATGCAGTGAAATAGAGACGGGTGTTTAGCCTACGTCATCCGAGCTTGCAGTTTGTAGATCAACAGCGCGGCTGAACAACTCGTCTAAGACGGAAAACAAGCCATCGCCCTCCAAGCAGCTCTGTAGGCATGCCAGAAATTTGAGATATAGCTTTACATCACGCCACTCGCCCTCCTTCGCTCTCTGTTCGGTCGTAGAGGTAATGCGCGCAAGCAGAGCGTCGATGAGTTCGGGTTTCAACGAGTTGACGACTAATACAACCGCGGCGACAAATGGAATTTTGAGGGGTTGTTCGATCGCCATCTGTGGCACTAGGTCCTGAAAGGTGGTTTGTACCTCTTGGTCGTCGTGGCCGTCGGCAATCAGCTGTGCGATGGACTGCACATCCTCGTGCCACCTGCGGAGGGGAGATTCTGCTAAGCCCAGAAGCTGCTTTCGTATACGGACGTGCGGAGGCGCATCGTAGCGGCGGCGTTGCGGCCGGCGGTCATACTCATCATCATCTGTAACAGCCCCGTCAGCGAGTCTTCGGTCTCGGTATTTGCGCCTACAAATGGTATGGACTGGAAGGCAATAACAAGACGACGGAACCAGTCCTCAAGCTGCAACCAGCGATACGTTTACTCACCTCTGTATCGCCTCTTTCGGCTGTTGTAACCACCACCGCCGCCGCCGCCGGGCTGTCTGCGATCGTAATCGGTCATGTCTACGAGAAATCGGAGAATACACCCCCGAGGTGGACAGCTTGAACGGTTGACGAGCGGATGGCCCTTCAATGGATGGCAAAAGCTGCACTGAGTCTTCGGTGGGGTGGCTATTTAGAGCTCTAGGTTGGTGAATGGACCATCCGGACTACCTAACCGATGCCGTGGGTAGGTTTCTGAAGATTGATCGGGTTGATAGGTGTAGTTGCTTAGCTTCGGATAAGCAGTTACATACTACCTACCTGGGTAGGTAGCTTGGACGTGACGCGCCGTGCACGGACCCGCTCTTCAGACTCGACTCGTCTCTGACCTCCATCTACAAGTAACGCTGCGTCATGAGCGTTCAAAGCAACAAGAAAAAATATCCCCAAAGCAATGAGATCTTTTTTCTTATCAACACCTACCATGTGTGAACACACGTTGAGACTTTACTCTATGTCAAAACTCGTTTTTAGTTGTAGCCTACTTCATACGCTTACTGAGACATTTCTACTTCAATCTAATTTGTACCACTCACTGGATGGTTGTATCTCACATAAATCCACGACGAAAGATTGATAATGTCGGTTTCTCTTGGGCGAAGGCTGCTTCTCTTTATCATGCTAGAGCCGAGTATTCGAGCCCTGCCTTGTCTGGGCGTCTCGTCACAGACAGCAGGCCTTGTGTTTTTTATTTTTCCTCTTTTGTCCCTTCCTACACGTGATGGGTAGGAATACGCCGTCCGATGCAAAGAAATCTTTTGGAGTATCCGAATTTTCCCCCGAGGGCGCAGCTCTGAATTTCCGCAACGAAGACGACGAGGACAGGCCCTGTCAAATGGAATATCAATGCATCCCTCTCACGCAATGCTCTCGAGTCCTACTCTGGGCCGTACCCTACTCATCGAACAAAATATACGCCACAGTAACCCTCTTGCAACATGTATGTAGGCTATTCCGAGGCTGCACATAAAGGGGACCCAACCACTTCATGGCCGTTCCACCACAAGGACAAAGCGAATAATCGAACAAGATAGTGAAAGCAAATGTCGTCTCAGCCATGCATAGAAAGACAACTAAGAACACAGGGCGGGTATTGCGTGTCCTAGTCGCTGATCTAGGCATCGTACTTGCGGCCGTCCCCGCCGCCGCATCTGAGCTGCCAAGATCAAGCCGTGCTGTGGATCTTCGATTGAAAGTTCCTACAGACATCCTAGAAATTGCTAGTCTGGTAGTGACGTTCTCCTACATCCCAATTGCCTGAGTCAGATCTCCTCATACTTCATCATCACAAACCTGGGTGAAAAGGTGTTGAGATAGACGAAGGATTGCTTCTTCCGGCTGTGCTGCGCTCGAAAGCCTAATGCGGGTGCTGATGTCGTATACAAATCTGGCGAGTGAGCAAATGTGGCTACGGCGATACAGGCGACATTGCGTAATCAGAAAATTCAAAAGCCACAATCAAGCATAGCTCAGTCTAATCGAGCCATCATATCTTGCTTCGACATTGGCGTGAAATTATCGATGTCAATTCCTCGGCTGACGAGCGCTGGCCTCATGTGTGGAGGAACCAACTTGTGATTCAGATGCGGCGCGATGGACATTTCTAGTCAAGTTCCGTTAATACAGTCTGCAAAGTCAGGCTATTCAGAGGGATAAAAGTCACTGACCATGCTTAGTAAAGTCGAAAAGACTAGGCAAGTCTCTCAGCTGGCCACTCGAGTGTCGTGAATCTGGAAGTTTTGTACTAGGATCCCGCAGCTCATCGAAGAATGGATGCACCATAGCGTCAACAGCACTCAGACGCTCGGTGGGGGTATACTCTAGCAGTTTTGCTATCAAGTCGAGCGCATGCGCGTCGGCCTTCCGGAACACTTTACTGAATGGATGAGGCTTAATTTGAGGAAATTTATGCTCCATATAGTTGGGGTTCATGGTTCGAATTTGTTCCCTGGTAGGTGTCCCGAGGACCTTGATAATCTCCACAAGTTGGTCAATGCCAGATTCTCCCGGGAATAATGGTTGGCCCAACATCAATTCTGCCATTACGCAACCAGTCGACCATACATCTACTTAGAGTCAGAAATAGATCCTAACAGGAATATAGAAGCTCTCACCTATTTTGGTTGTATAATTGGTCGCACCAAAGATCAATTCCGGTGCTCTATAGTATCTAGAGCAAATATAGGATACATTGGGCTCGTTCTCAACCAAAATCTTGGCGCTCCCAAAGTCGCAAAGCTTTAGTATCCCAGTGTTCGGGTCAAGCAGGAGGTTTTGTGGCTTGATGTCGCGATGGCAAATACCTTGGGAATGGATATAGGCCAAAGCTCGGAACAGCTGATAAATGTACAGCTTGACTTCGAGAATCGGCATCGTTGTTTTCATCTTGTTGAAAAACCGCGACGCACGATACACGGTCTCGGGCACAAACTCTTGCACGAGGTTCAGATAAACCTCATCCTTCTATGCCATGTGTCAGAAAATATTTGTTGGACGACGGGTCTAGGTCAATTCTCACACGCTCTCCATTGGAATAGTAGAAGGCTTTCAAGTGCACAATGTTTGGGTGTCGCACAATGCGCATAATCTGAAGTTCTCGGTTCTAATATAATTGTTCAGCGAATGAGTTTGGAAGCTCAATGCTGGGTAACATGGTTCTTAGACCTACCTTGAACCTCTTGTCCTGGAGTACGCGTTTGATAGCGGCATCCTCGCCTGAAGGCGATAGCTTCGTCTGGAAGACAACGCCGAACGAGCCATTGCCGACGATTTTACACTGTGTATATTGCAGGTCCCTCGTCTCACCGGTGACGCCGTCTTGGACCTTTTCGCGTATAACCTCTACACTTAAACTTAGCAAATTTGATTGCGGAGGAAGCTTTGGTTGTAAGTGGCTCGAGCTCACCTCCCATGCGGAGTGAATTGAATGCCGCAGTCGGGCGGTTCTGCGACATGGTGAAAAGATATCAGCCTTGGACGCACTATGTGGGATACGACCCGGGTCGCCTCTAGTAGTCAGAAAGTAGAGGGGAGCGTCCAGAGGTTTGCGGGCGCCGTGTTGGGCAATGATCGATCAGTGGGTGGGTAGATTCAGCCGGGTTGTGCGTGTGTCGGCGGCACTTGATTGACAGAAAGACTGGCTGCGATTGCGGGGTGCGACTCTCTACGTGCTTTGGAGAGTGGTGTAGAGCAGCCGAGAGATAAAACAGCAGGAGGCAGTGGAAGGAAGATGATAAGAGTGCAAATGCCTGCACCGTGGTTGCGATGCAATGGCGGGTGGGGGGGATGGCGATCAAGTTGGCAGGTGGTGAGTTGTCTTAGCTGGTAGAAAAGGCGTGCACGCACTGGGGTATTGGTTAGAATAACTATGTAGCGAGTTATCTAAATCAAAGAATAGGGGACAAAAAGGAGAGACGTTATTGAAGATGTGGAAGGGAAGAAGCGTATTGTGTTAAGAGAGGCTTCGAGTAGGTAGGATAATGGCTGGGTAGGCGGGTAGGGATCCTGGCGGGGTTTTCAGGGTTGTTTAGGTTGTATGGAGGAGCGATAGGATGACGAGCGTGACTTTGCGGAAAGGGCTGGTTAGGTAATGAGGTCAGGTCAGGCCGGCCGAAAGAATTGACGGGGGACGGAACCAAGACTGGGGTGGGCTGTGCTAAAATCGACCAGTAACGACGGGACTGTAACCGGAGCTCTGCGCTCTGGAGTAGGAGGTATCCATGTATATTCCTCAGATGTTCCTCAGGTGCTCCTCAGGTCGACGACTGCACTCGATTTACCACACGTGTAGCTACGCTTGCACAGAGAGAGCTGGCCGAATGGCAGACGGCGGCAATGCAGGACAGGATAGGCAGATAGACAGCTTGCCCTTGGCCCAATGTTGGCTTCCAGAAGAGGGAACGGGGGCAGCATGGACGAAGAAGGGGATGAAATGAAGATGGATGCGTGCTGTAGGGAGAATAGCCACTCTAAACGATGGTGGCCGTGTCCGTGGCCGTGACTGTGACCACCTACACGCAGCCCATGGTAACTAGCGGTGGTGTAATAATAAGGGTAACGGCTGGTGGACAACCAACAATCATGCTAGCACAACTCACCTCTGAATATGATGTCTGGTAGAGAACAAGGTCCTTGTACAGCCGTCTGCCGGTAGTCCTGGACTCAGATGACGATTAGTGGGCTGACATGAAGGTACCGGTCAAGTACGTGTGGGCTGGTGCAATCTAGAGACGGCGTAGCGTCCGAAGCTGTCGAGTGGACAGAACAGAGCAAGAAATGGAGCAAGAGATGGAATCGTGATGGTGGAAGTAAGGGAGGGAGGAAGACAAGACAAGGAACCAAGCTAATTACTGAGATAGCTAGCTATGTGCAGACTCACTCGCTGAAGAGATTGCCACCAGCTACAGCGTTGGTGTTGGTGTGTGAGTGCGAGTGTGAGCGTGTGTCACAGGCTCACGGGAAACCAGCTAGATAGAGAGGCTCGATGATGATGGGATAGACTGAGAAATGTATACTGGAACCAAACCCAGGATGATTGGGAAAGGAGGAGAGAGAAACGTGGGAAAATATTGGAGTTTAGGATGAAGGCAAGGCAAGGAAAAGGGAGCAGCAGCGGTACCTGTGAGAAGAATGAATGATAGAAGATTTGGCTGGCTTTCTCTCTCTTGACAGGTAGACGAGGAGGGGTAGATGCGCGGCGGGAATCTTGTATGTGCTGCCAGTGCTGCCAGTGCGGACAGAGAGAGCGAGCGAGAGAGGCACAACCAGTGACTTAGCTAGTACTATGTAGCTGGGACAGGCAGGTCTACCTGGATAGAGAGAGGTACAAGAGATGAGAGCTAGACAAGTACCCTCTCAGGCAAAGAAACTAGTTCGAGTACCCGGGTCATACACCATATCAAGTACCTACCGAGATATACGTCGGGAGGAGGAGATGGAATACAAGCCTGGCTTAGCTACCTACCTCGCCTACCTCCTGCCCGGTGGCTTCCCTCTAGGTACCTAAGGTAGGTAGGTTGGTAGGTAGGTGCCTTAGTACCTGGGTAGGCTGGGATCTAGGCTGGGCAGTTGCTAGGTAGGTAGGCGCTGAAAGCAGACCTGTAACTCTAACCCAGGCGGGCTGTATTTCACGTGTGTCTGTGTGCGCGTGTGCGTGTTTTCCGCTACTTGCCTTAGGTAGGTATGTACTTTTACTTTCTTGCAGGTCAGGCGACTGATTCTCTGCGCCGGAGTGGGGCGCCCTTCTGGGTGGTGCAGTCGGTGGTGCAGTTTGTTGCAGGGCAGGTGGTCATCAGCAACTCAGCGAAGGTTCGAATGGCATGCAGATATGTGTACCTACCTAACCTACCTACCTAGGTACCTAGTAGGTAATCCCCAGCCCAGTCCGACATTCGATCCTCTTCGCCAGGTATTGTCGTCGTTGCTTTCTCCCCTTCGCGATGCCACGACTTGCGTGGGGTTCTGCCAGATGCCTCTACTGCTGTAGGTCCCGAGTAACTAGACGATGGATACGTCATCTTGCGATATGGTCGGATCCCCATTTGTAGGGCGTTGTCACAGCACCAACATCCTCTTTAGGCTTCTCCAAGCCCGCCTATGCCATCTTTTGTTCCTCGGGGGCGAGAGAGGTCAGTGTGCCTGTCAATCGTTGTTGATCTACTCGCCATAGAATCAAATATCTGTCTATCTGTCGATCTATTCATCTATCTATCCGCCCGTCCGCCCATCCATTCACCTGTACTACTACTCGGCATAGGTATGATATAAGTAAAGAAAAACAGATAACGCACGGCAAGACGTGATGTGAACCTCAACAAGCCGCTGGTGGGTAGATGCACGATTGTTAGATCAAACTGTGTGTCCTCCAATCAGTATATATTGGTCGACTAATGATGGTGGCTTTTCCCAATCATGTAGGTACCCTGGCCATAGGCGAACAACCTAAGCCTCAACCCATCCTACGTCCAGACTACGTCCTACACGTTCAAGCTTGGGTCGATACCCTGTCTAATGGTCCGTAGCCAACCAAGCGTTGAACGCTTGCAGCTGGGTTTACATGTAATTCACAAATCTACTGGCCAATTGAACCATACGTCTGTCTCATTGTCGCGGTTAGCAGAGGCGCGTGATGCTTAGCCAATCTATTTCCACCCGTAATGAAGAGGGTTAGGCAAATATACTGTACGTGTACCTGCGACAGAGATGTCTACTCCGTAGTCGTGGCGAGCAGGGATATATGCATCCAAAAGTGCCAATAGGTACACTCACAGTACGCTAGATGGCAATATTCTTTGCTCCAGACGTGCAGCCAAAACCAGCCACCCGTCACGCATCCTCTAGGGTATAAGAGAGTATGTAGGGTTACTCCCCCAAGGAATTCCAAAGTTGTCGGAGGTAATTAGAGCAGAATGAAGGTGGTCTCAAAGCTGCGGGTGTTGTTTCGTTGTTTCCTATTCTCTTTCCACGCACTGGAGTGATATGCCAGGATTGCGGCGCGTTGCCGGCAAATATTGTTAAACCAGAGGTGAAAGGCTAGGGTTGACGCATGAATCCATGTCCTGTAGTGCTTCCCAAACGGCTGCCGTGGCTTTCTTCATCTGCTGGCAGGGGGCAAGATCCTTCGCCCAGATTCGCCATATGCTTCCAGCCACGACCACACTCGAGATGCCTGCTGTGGTGCGAAGGGGAAAAATGGTAAAAAATGTACACAACACACGACAAGAAGCTAGACAGTGTTGCTTGTGGGGCACCGCGGAGAAGAGAGCTTCCAAAGACATACAATCAATTTCTAATGCGATGAACTAGACGATGTTGAATAAGTGGCGTTGCTTTTTGTCCTACTAAGGTAGGACTAGGTAAGCATGAAGAGATCATCGATGGCCACACGAGAGCCAAATTCGTGCCTGGACATGCAGACGCAGGGCTACACAACAAGCGACAGCAAGGGAGGCATGATTACCACACCTCTAGACAGTATAACTACTATCTACACCTTACTATCCTTACTGTACATGTAGGTATTCCCTAAACCCTAAAACGACTGAGGTAACAACTGGTGGCGGCACCATTTGGATCCAGCTCTTTGGGTTTCTTCCCAACTTGTTCAGATGAGGTGTGTTTCCTGGCACTCTTTACTCTGCCTAGCTTGGGGGTTTGAGCTACCTACTACGAAGTATGTAGTATGTGGTATGATGCCCAGGTTGGCTTGCTAGAACTGTCCTGTCCATTCCATCAGTCAATGACATACTTGACCACAATCGGGCAAGCAAAGGACGCGGATCGGTACATATTGATGCTCGAGTTGCCTAGCCACCATACCTAGCTCCTTTTCTCCCTACGACAGGTTACAGGCCCCTCATTTTATATGCAGCGTGGTTTCCTGCTCGATTTAGTGGTCAGGTGACGGCCTGCTATTTTTATATTACTACAGGTTTACATACCTAGTAAAGTAGAGGTTTCCAATATCACTGTACCTACATGTAAGTTATATAACACAGCACCTATATACAGTAAGTCGATTGACTTTACCTTGAATTACCTACCTACCTACCTACCTAGGTACCTCTGTATGCAAGCATCTACACATATGCATGTTTGTCTCTGTTCTGTCTTGTGTTTGCCTTGTGTACTCGGGCAGCTTTGTATTGGCGATTCTTCAGTCGTACACGTCCAAGACATACACCTGCAAGTACTCACTTACCAACCTACCGAACCTATCCATGGGTGTATCAATTATCCGCCGAGTCACTCTTACTTCGTACAGCCCCCTCAATATCCCCTTCTGGTTTTTCCTTGTTCCCCGCCAACCAGAGTCTAACGATACCCCACCCCACCAATCAATCAGCTGTGGACCCAAGTTCTCCATACACTAGACTAGGCACCTTGGGTAGGTAGGTCCATCGAGCTTTGAACTTCAACATTGAAGATCAGTCTGGATGTATATTCTACTAACTAGTACATAAGACCATCCTGAAATCTCCCCAGCCTCGAATTTTCTGGTGCAACGAGTTGATCAGAGGTTTGGCCCCAAGCTCCTAAATAGGTTCACAAGCTAGCGACACATCGTATGCTTGACACTTATTCAACTTGAGCCTGCTTGAGTAAATTGATCGCAAAGAACTCCATGGAATACTGCTGTACGTCAAGTGTAGCTAATTGCCTCGATTAAGCATGATTGCACTAGGTAATTCGAAACTCATCTTAGGTATTTCTCTAGTATTCACCAGTCGCTCCCTAGCTTAGGTAGGTCGCTGAGGCAAGCTTGGCATTATAACTCGGGAGGGCTAAGTATGAAAGAGCAATGCCTCTCTATCGTCGTTTGCGACTACCGGTATATTCTGGCTCAGCCATTGCAGTCTTGCCACATATCTATCTACCTTAAGCTGCAATACTTCATTAATATTGGAACGTATACGCGAAGCCACTGTTATCAGACCACATCTTAGACTTTTTGCGAGGCTTTTTTTTTTTTTTTTTTTTTTTTTTTTTTTTTAACGTCGTTATCGATTGAGATGGAGCCTTACTTCCTCCAATCCTTCCAATGCGAACAACAATTCTTGACGAACACACACCACAAGCATGTTAGTACTTGCCAATGCCAGTCTGCTGAGAAACAAGGTCGACCAAATGCCACGTTCCAATTTACATATATGCCTTGTACATATATTCTCGGCCCCAAATCAGACGATTGAACTAGAAAAGGACCTCTCCTCGCCTCTTTCACATTACTATTTCCCCTCACGACGTCACTTAACATAGTGTAACCTCCATCTAAAGCAGCAAGCTCTGCACTAAGTCTCCTTTAGCGGACGATCAGTTGTTGTCATCCAATGGGAAAGCAATTGAAGGTTATTGTTATCCAAACAGGAGGCGCGGCCAGGCCGTCGGTTCGCCTCGATTCGGTACACTGCAAGTCTACAAGCGAACTTTTATGCACAGTAGATAAAGAGAGAGAGAGAGAAAAAAACCCCATGGCTTATTACATCACAATGCTTACGATAGGTGAGACAACAGCTCTATTTTCAGAAATAACCCGTGCTGGCAAAGTCATTCAGCATCCTATTGATCCAGATGTCTGCATGTAATGCATCTAGATGATCAATCGTTTTTATTCGAATCTGCCTTCACAGAGAACTTTATATACTATAGGTCATACAGCCATTTTCGTGATGCGCTAGCTTCCCGAGTAAGGTACCCGACAAGCTCGAAAAGTTGGACGTCACTAAGGTTGCAAGTGGTGTGAATAGTCCCACCATATCATCTCTCCCGCCTGGTCGCTATGTAACTCCACCCAACCTCATCCACCTCATCCCAGCTGATCTGGGTATCATCTCCCACATCCCTCCATGCCAACTTGCTATTCTAGCATAATTGATACAAACAGCACAGAGTGTACAGAGGTTGTCAAGATAATTGCAGTTTCACGCTTACAAGAACTATGCTTTAATCCGCTCAAATTTGACAGAAGAGTCGCTGTGAAGCCTGGCCGCTACCATCCTGTCATGAGACAGTGTCAGGAGTAAGTAGATGCCATTCGTTTGCTTACATGTATGTATCGGTATTCGGGCTTGTCACCTTCCATCGTCTAGCCCAACATACTTACATGTAGTCTCGTGTTCCAAGCAACCCCGGTACACAATGGGGCCAGCGCTGCCGGTTACGGACTGCCTACAAGAGCCCCAAGAGTCGATTGAGGACCTCGACTTGGTCGGCATTGGTTCCCCTGGCGAAATTCTTCGGCCACGTGAGTAACTACAACGGCGAACGCGCGCGCTAACGCATACAACACTTAATCTACTTGTGTGATAGGTTTACAACAGGCCAATGCGGGCCGGGAGACTCGAGATTCCAATTTCTGTAAACGGATTGTCGTTTGCCAGAATTTAGGGCTGCCTGCCTTACTAGATAGTCTCAAAACTATAGTAGCGTACATATATAGCTTTTATCTACGATTAAGAAACAAAGATGTGACCGAAACTAGGCATGTCACATTCGTCTAGCCAGTGACATCAAATATCGAACATCATTCGAACCATAAATGCCGTGTTCTTCGACGCAACCTGGCGTAGAGCATACGGTAAGTGATAGAGCCAGAATAAGCATGTATAAACGTCGAGATAATCGTCGTTTTCCATCTGAAATGTGGAATACACTTCGTAGTACCTAAGGTTAGTAAGGGCCCAGTGCCACCACAACCTACCATATTTCTTACTCACACCGGACCAAACACGATGCAAACACTTGTAAGTCGCCGCCACCAGTCGGTAGCAAAAGCCAAGCAAAACTTGGTCATTTTGACTTGCTCGAGTGCCTTCTTTAGTTTTGAACAGCGTGATTATAGGCATCCTTGGGCTGGCCTAGCAAGCCCACGGCAACTACTTGTAAGCACCTTCCCGCCCAGCCATCGAAAGTGTGACGTATATGTACGTCAGATACATACCAAGTTTCCCGGTCTGATTCCTCTGCAACTTGCCTTCTTCCTCTCTGTCCTCGTTTTTACCTCTACCCTCACCAGTGACCAAAGTTCGGCCAAAGTACAATATTCCTGCAACGAGCCAAGACGCGGGTCTTCTTCACGATACCGATGTTAGAGCGTGCCATGCTGTACCCTTTAATAGCGATAAAAGCGATATAGTGATGTATACCATCTGCCACTGCAAGATCGTTGGTCCGTTCTGGCTGCTCACCTGCGAGTGGCACGCTGTGAACAGTTAGAAAGTTTCAACTATATCATCATATGGAACTTTATATGTTATCTACGACTACCGACAACTAAACAGTATTACGGGAGACAGCAACATGATCTCGGGCTTGCTTCATCATATACACCTTTATATATTAACATCGATGCCCCTAATGCATGAACCCATCACGTAATGCAAGCCAGTCTGCAATCAATAGTTGAGTAAGCCTCAAATATTTATGTTTCCTCACTGAAGTTCTAGATTCGTTCACTTGCTCCCCAAAGCGGTGCTCTCCGTCAATTTACTGCCGCGAATATCAAAGGAGACACATGAATTGCCGCCTAGCTGCATGGGAATGGAGGCTGTTTCTTCTCTTCACCTCGGTCTAACTTACTTGACCAAAGCTCGTTCTAATTGTAACATCAAGCAAGGTGATAAACTACTACCAATTCCAGACACTGAGACAGAAGAATTCTCCCCCTTTGCAGTTTCGATAGAATATGCGATGCTTGGAGCTAGTCGTTTTTGAGAGCTCGGGGCAGCGTCGTAGGGAATTCTAACTTTTGTGTCTGTTATTATCGTAACGACACGAAAGACGCAAGCGTCAAGACATAAAGGCAAGCATCGTTGTATGCTTTCCCTTAGGGTCTTTGAAAGATAATGGGTATATAGTACCAAGAGGTGGACCAGGCCTTCATACAAACTACTAGGTACGTTCATCCTAAGTGACGTCCATCACCAATTTAAGACTGACCAGATGCTAGGATTAGCAAGGCTCAAATTTGAAGGTTGTCTTTAACATCCCACCTCATCTATATCGGAGAGAGAGCTAATATCAGACCAAGGGCGCATCTTTACCATTGCTCAGCCAGCCATGGTGAAGATCACTACGAACTTGTGATGTCCGTATCTTAGATGTCAAGACATTCCTAGCGTCGCCACATCCACAAGATCCATCACCAGCAGTGTAGCTACCGGCAGCCCTTGCTTTGATATAGATTGGGCCCCTGACATTGCAGGTTTGCCAAGACCATTCTCTTCCCAATCAATGTCTATAAATCGGCTTTGAAGGCGGTTTCCGGCTTAATACCGTGCCCGCCGTGGGGATTTCTGGTTCTTTACGACGCCAATCGGGGCACCTCACTCTACTCAAACACTGGTTCAACTGCTTCAGCTTCAACCAAATAGGCTTGCTCACGGATACCAAGCAACCCGCAACACGCTCTTTCTATCAATTATTCATGCATATACCGCTTTCCGTAGCTCCGCTCTCCCGTTTGGGAGGGAGACACATATCTAATATGAGGCGAGGTAATCCGTCCACTCGAAAAGAGCTGCCCTCCCTTTCATGAGCTCGAGGCGGGGTACGACCGAGACGACCAACAAGCATGAGGCAAGGAGGGCGTTCCCTCGCCACATGAGCTCTGATACTCTGTCACAAATGACGGCGGGCCCACCTGTTCGGAGCATGCAGAGCCATCGTCAGATGACGATACATCAGCACCCACCTCCGGTATTCTACATGCCACCGGCGATTTCGTGACCCCAAAGTTCACCAACCTCCTCTTCTCCTCTTCGCCACAGGTCTCCAATACGTTCCTGACAAGAGATCTTATAATCTGCGCTAGGGAATCTAAATTGTGAACCTCTTTAAGCATGCAATAGTCCACTGCCGCACTCACACCACATAGTGGTCTCGAAGCTCAATCATAACGAGAACGGACTTTTTCCATGATCGCAATAGGGCTAGCCGGTAACGAGCAACGACTACGATTCTTAGATACCTGTCCTGGCGAGTTCCAGTCACTCTGCAGTAGGAAGATCAGTGTTCGGCAGGGGTTCCTTTTCGAAGGTCCTTTGACCATGTTGCCACCCAGGCTTCCTGTTTGAGCGACGCGCATATTTCTCTGCTCATTTGCCTTCTAGCTATACCTGAAGGCACCGTTTTGGTAGTGTTCTGACTGAAACAATAGACGGCATCCATCGTTGAGGATACACAAGACTACGTGAGGGCGGTACTGTATGTCCCTGATAAACTCGTCTGTTTGCTTGGTTCCTGAAAACGCAACTCCCCGCCCTTTCTCGTGATATACAACCTATGCAATTCCAACCCATAGGATTGGAACGTTGGCTCCAGGACTTGTCTCCGGCCAAGCATTGTTGCGAGGTGGAACCCAGCGCTCAGGGACCTACCTATCTGATCCACACAAGCTTCCAAAGCTCTGAGGTAGGTATTTTCGTTCCAGTCCTGCTCTAGTACGTGTCTCTCTCTACAGTATTCTACCTTGGCGTTGGGCGCAATGGATGCATGCGTGCTGCATGCAGATCAGGCGAGACTGGCTCGGATAGGACAAATTGTGACACCTTTACCCCCTGCCTGCACTACATGAAATTCCACGCAATTGGCCTGCAAGGACGCCCCTTGCTGGCTGTCCTTTGGCTGTTTATCGGACTCGGCACTGAACTCTTATAAGCTTATCATACTGTCAAGAAAAAAGGATCTAGAGTGCACTCAAAGGAAGTCCTAAGTCAGGTGATTTCAATATCATCAATTGACAGATTCATGAGCACGCCTGCGTGTGGCGTAGCACCAAATAATTGTGGTAGACGCGCACCCCTGATAGCGCTCATTCTATTCTCATTAATGCGGTCAGATCATCGAGGTAGCACAACCCGACCTAAGTCAAGTCTTGATAGAATGATACGACGGGATATGGCTAACGGGGTCGGCTCGTGGAGTTGTAAGTAGAGATGTGTCTCCGGGAAATAGTCGGCAGCACGAAACTCCCGACACAGCGGGCTCTTCCGGAAATAAAAACCCGAAAAGAACCTCTCTTTTGGAGATCCTGGCCACCCATCCAGTGCATGAGCAGGCAAGCATGTATCATCATCTCCAGACATCTACCTTCGGAATACAATTTAACCCGGCTACTATTGATCTCTGGGAGTTTGTTTGTTCTATTGGCCATAATGCAGTAATGTTCGGCTCTGGATGGAGCAAAGTCATGGATATGGACGCGTCTGCTTGCGTCACCTTTATCTCGAAAGAGCATGGTACTTCATTATCTACAAGGTTGAGAACAAGAATCGAGGTCGATCCTAAATAACAATCATTTTAAATCCTTATGACAGTCAATGATTAATGGATTATAAATACACCAGTACCATACAACCATCTCAAGTTCCAGCTTCGGCTGGTTGGAGAAGGGTGTTGTTAGGCCAAACATGAAAGTTGGAGAACTCGTTGAATGTTTATCAGCCATACAGTAGCTTTGATCCCGCCTGGTATCTCCATAAGGCTCAATAGACGGGAAATCCGGAGATGCTTTTGAAACTCCACACAGATATTTTTAAAGAGTAATCTGATAGACCCCTACGATTGTTTACAAGAGATGTACATTGAATTTATGTCGCCAGTAACATAAGCACACACTGCCCGAAGGATAGATAGGTATCTCATATATATGAATCAAATAACTGGAGAAGCAAGAGTAAGAGTAAGTGAAGCGCTTGCCTATGTATTTATGTCAATGAAGCTACATAACGCCATCTAAACATCTCAGAGATATGATAGAATGAATGGAGTGAGAGAGCAGATAGTTTTCGGCTGCAGACGGCTGGCTGACAACTGTCACTAACGGTAAAAGTTGGAAACTGAGCTGGCTCATCCAATCAGGAAGCGCCTGCAGCCACAAGATGGAAACAAAAGCTTGACAAACTCGTAAATTCCCAACGTGCCTAAATTACGGGGTGTGTCTTACGGGAAAGGGTGAAATAAATTAAGAGCAGAACTGTGAAGATGGACGAAGATAATACATGGATCGAATACCTATCCGTGGGAGCTAACAGACACACAGCCGTGGCGGACTGGAGCCAGGATGGCTTGGTAGCTTTCGGTGCTGACTCTAACATTGCCTTGTGGCGGCCTCATGTATGTTATCATCAACCAGCGCCTCATGGTGCAAAACCCAAAAAGACGAGAAAAAATTCCAAACGGTGACGAGTGCGCACTAATAGTATGAGTGAATTAGGACTCGCAACCGAGAGGTGTGACAAGTCTCTTATCAGGACACAAGGACACTGTGAAAGCCATCAAGTTTCTCTCTAGAAGCGAGGGCGAGGGCGAGGGTGCTCAGCACCGAACATATCTTCTTAGCGGGGCTGACGACCACTGTCTGAAGATATGGTCTTTGTCACGCGATGGTGTCACTGAGTGCATCCAGACCTTACAAGAGCACACGGCATCAGTAAATTGCATAGCAACCGTGTATGAGCGGAAAGGAAGGAGAAGAAGTGACTCCTCTACCGCCACCATTTTCGCCACAGGCGCTGCTGATGCATCGATTAAGATATGGGCTTTTGACGGGAGAGAGGCGCGGGTGGTACAGACGATCAACCCCAAGCCCAAGTTCTTCCCCTTGGCGATAGCTCTTAGTAGGCTTGACGAAAGCGGCGAAGCTTTGGTCCTTGCCGCGGCAGGAACAAGAGATATAGTCCAGATTTTTGTCGTTGAATCAATTGCGAACCCCGAGTTTCAGCTGCAGGCTACACTGACAGGCCACGAGGGCTGGATCCGATCGCTGGATTTCACCTGGGAGAAGGATAATGAGGGAGATGGCATGGGTTCAGATTTACTCCTGGCATCTGCCAGCCAAGATAAGTATATACGTCTTTGGCGACTGCACCAAGGCAAAGAGCTACCCGCGGCCGTAGCTAATGGGGCTGATCCCTCACTGGGCGCATATCTACCGGGAAAGTCTCCCTCCAACAAAGCCCACAGACTCAACACTGGTGGCAAAGATTATACTGTTACGTTTGAGGCTTTGCTTCTTGGTCACGATGATTGGATATACAGCGCGAAGTGGTATACGAGCACGGAAACCGGGAGATTACAACTTCTATCGGCGTCGGCGGACAACACGCTCGCAATATGGGAAGCGGATCCGTCATCCGGAATCTGGGTGACGAATGTGCGACTGGGGGAGATTAGCCGAGAGAAGGGTGCCACGACAGCAACTGGGAGTACAGGCGGGTTCTGGACGGGCCTTTGGTCGCCGGACGGCATGTCGGTGACGTGCCTGGGGCGGACCGGTTGCTGGCGAGTATGGAACTACAACAAAGACGAGGATCAATGGACGCCCCAGATCGGCATCAGCGGGCACACGAGAGCTGTGACAGGAATAGCATGGGCTAAGAACGGCGACTACCTACTCTCCACAGGTGCCGACCAAACCACACGACTGCACGCGAGCTGGAAACGGGACAACAACAGCACATGGCATGAAATGGCCCGTCCCCAGATCCACGGATACGATCTGAACTGCATCGACTCTCTCGGAAGCTCGCAGTTCGTGTCGGGCGCCGACGAGAAGCTCATGCGCGTCTTCGACGAGCCGAAAGCCGTAGCCAAGCTCCTAGGCCGACTCTGCGGGATCAACGACAGCAGCACGGCCGTGGACGCGATGCCCGACGCCGCGAACATGCCGGTCCTAGGCCTCTCGAACAAGGCCATCGAAGCAATCGACGACGACGCGGAGATAAGCACGTCCGCGAACCCGGAGACGGACCGCGAGGCGCTGGATCCGGGGACGACGGTGCGCAAGTCGGCGCTCGAGATCGACCACCCGCCCTTCGAGGACAGTCTCTCCCGGCACACGCTCTGGCCCGAAACGGAGAAGCTCTACGGACACGGGTACGAGATCTCGTGTCTAGCCGTGAGCCACGCGGGCGACCTGATCGCGAGCGCATGCAAGGCAAGCTCCGTCAACCACGCCGTGATCCGCATCTTCGAGACGCGCAGGTGGACCGAGATCAAGCCGCCGTTGACAGCGCACTCGCTAACGGCCACGCGCCTCCGGTTCTCCCCGGACGACCGGTATATCCTGAGCGTGGGGCGAGACCGGCAATGGGCCGTCTTCGAGCGAGAAGAACAAGGTGTGCCAAAGAACGGAGACGAGGGCGATAATACCGCACCTGAAGACGCAGCGCCAAGCTACAAGATACTCCAAGCGAACCCGAAGGGCCACACGCGCATGATCCTCGACGCTGCCTGGGCGCCCTCGCAGCCACAAGTCTCGTTTGCGACGGCAGGCCGCGACAAGTCGGTCAAGCTCTGGCGGCGCGGCGAAGGGGAGACGGAGTTCGCGTGCGCGGCGACGATCGCGGAGACACACTCGGTGACAGCCGTCGACTTTCACCCGCGCCCGGACAAAGACGGCCGGTTCGTCCTCGCCGTCGGGACTGAAATTGGCAAGATCTCGATCCACATCCTAGACCCGAGGTCTCTGACGGCTGTTTCGAGTTTTACATTACGAGCTGAGTATGTTGACGAAACCCCCTTTGTTTTTTTCCCCTCCCCTCCCCTCCCCAACGAAATAACATTTCAAAATCCCTTAACGTATTTGATATCATCTTATCGCGGCTCTGTCCACTAATGATGCCATAGGCTCTGCCTCGCAAAACCCGTTCTGCAACTCTCCTGGAGGCCGCAAACAGATTCTAGCGAGCTGGCCGTGGCGGGAGACGACAGTTCACTAAGGATATACCGCATCTCCGACGACGAGAAATGATCATATAAAAGATTCGATGCGATTCGTTGCCCTATTCGACTATAACTGCACTATCTAATGCGATGTTTTCGCCCACAGAGGCACTACGGCGCTGTCCAAAAAAAAAAAAAAAAAGGCGTGTGTCATTCCGCGTGACGCCGCTTGCGCTCTCCCCCGTTCTAAGACACATTTCTCAATTCGATATCCATGCCTGCGCCCTGCCTTTTTTGAGATCGTGTTTTTTTGCTCTGGCCGCCAAACAATAACTCGTCGTCTTACGAACCAGGTACAGCCTCGGTTCGCGTACTAATTAAACATTACTCCATTCATCCCGTCATCAAAAAGCCTCTCTCCTGTCTATGAAGGGGCGAGAGGCAGGCGCCCTAAGGGCAATATCCGTCAATCACTAGTTACTCATTATCATCATAATTCGCGGACAATTTCCGTAGCAGTGGAGGTAACTGAGTCCGTGTTGTCGAGTGACAGCGAGAGGGCGCTTTTGGCGGCGGCAACGACACTAGGCGAACCGAGACCGCCGCTGCCCTCGCCGCCGTTGACGTAGAACCAGGCGCGGTTGATGATGAAGACGATGTGCTGCGGCAGGTAGAGGATAGTGGCGATGGAGCCCATAGCGGAGAGTAAGAATACGATGGACCCTGTTGATTGGTGTTTCGCTCTGGTTAGCTAGCTAGCCATCATCGAGGATCGAAGAGATAACGCGAAACAAGGCATGGGTGTGAGATTGAATAGCAATAAAAAGCATGTAACGCTGGAATGTCCTAGCACATAGCAAGAATAGAGGAGAAAAACACGTGAAGCAGAGAGCAGAGAGAAAGAGGATCATTGCCAGGCCAGACCGGACGTACAGAATATGAACTTCTCAGTGGGCGTAAACATATATACACCAAAAGTGACTTCAATCTGGTACTGCTTCAGAGAGAGCCAACGGCCGAAGCGCTGGGGCATAGACTGGTTCTCGGGTTCCTTGGTTCGATACTCCATTTTCGGACCTCTTTTATTTTCTTGTTCGTAATCCGTTCTCGTTTCTTTACTCTCGTAATCCCTCGCCTTTATCCTCTTCTGTGGTTCGGCTGTTCGCCCTGATGGAAACAGGAGAAGATGATTCAATTGGCCAGTAGAGCAAAGACAAGCCCTGTCCTCCGATTCGAAGGGTATATCTCAATGGGTTGTTGTCGTGCAGTTTCGTCGCAAGTCTACTCGTGCAGCTGTGCCTGACTACGAATCGATATCAGAAGAAAGAAGATGTCAATGTCTTCGCGGGTAGAAGAGACGGTATGGTATGATTGAAATCGGTGTAGGCTTCAACAGTAGAAGAGATAGAGCAGTTAAGAGAACGCCCTTTTAACGCCTTAATAAATTTAAATTCATCAACACTATTTCCAAGGCAGCACTTAAATGAAAAAGGGGAGTCTCGTCCATCCTGGTCGAGGCAGGACCCCTGCACATTGCAAGGGTCTAGGCAGATTATCAGGTACATATAACCCCACCATAAAGGAACTACTGTACCTATGGGGTAGCGTACGCTGCTGTAAGCCCTGGACGATACAACGAAGATGCCTTTGAGTAGAGCTACGAGAAGCCGACAACGGTTACAGCAATTGAGCTGGCAATCACCATTGTTCCCTATTTTCTTGATAAAGTGACATTTAAAGAGGTGTAAATATCTCAATTGCCAGCATATTAATCAATAATGAGCTCTCGTTAGCACATTGGCAGGCACATATTTGCCCGTGTTAATCTGAACAACCACGATCCTTTTACGACTCTTCCACACCCACCACCACCACCACCATGACCTCGAAATGCCTTCTCCGAGTATTCACCTCATATAGAATATCGAAACCAACTCACTATGTGATCTCGCCTCTCGCCTCATATCCGCGAAATGCTGTCCAGAAACGCAGTCCCAGGGTCTCGAACCCAAGCCCCCCGTTCCAATGCCGCGCATTCAACAGCACGAACAACCCACCGCTGCACAAACTAGGCAGCAAGTCCGAGCCCTTCCCGCGGCGTCCCAAGCCACCACCAGAGTCAGAGATCGAAGAGTCATTCCTCAAAGGCAGTGGACCCGGCGGCCAAAAAATTGTATATTTCCCAGACCTCCCAAGCATCCTTCTTCCCAACCCTACCCCCTCCCGCGCACGCAAACTACAGAACTAACCCTCACTCTCCCCCCTCCAGAACAAAACGAACTCAGCCGTCCAACTAAAGCACATCCCAACCGGCCTCGTCGTAAAATGCCAGGCGACCCGCTCGCGCAGCCAGAACCGCACCATCGCCCGGAGATTGCTAGCCGACAAGCTCGACGACATGAGGCACGGCGACGAGAGCCGCTCGTCCATCGTCGGCGAGGTCAAGCGCAAGAAGAAGGCCAGCTCGGCGAAGAAGAGTCGGCGGAAATATCGCAAACTCGAAGAGGAGAAAGGGAAAGGAGCTAGTAGTACCGAGGAGCAAGAGATCCTAGAGGAGGAGGAGGAAGAGGAGGAGGATAATGAAGATAGCGCCGATCTTGTGGACGAAGAGCCGCTTGAGAAGGGAAGGGAACCCGGAGGCAAGGACGAGGACATGGGTACTACGGATACAGTAAACCTCAATAAAATAGAGCAGCAAAGTAGAATATGACCAATGAGATATATCACACTATCCGGCCTCTGCTGTTGCTTGATAAGTCAGTTTAGAATACCGGACTTATCAAGGGCGATTTGGTTTTCATGATATCACGAATAGAGAGGCAATGCCTTTCCTATTACATTACGACTGAAATGCTTCACATTATGCATTCTGGGCAACAGAAACATAGAGAAATATGATCAACCTCGACTGGATTTGTCTACTCCATTCAGTGCCAAACATAAAAAGCCCCCCTAAAAACAGCACTTCATATTCGCTTTTGTCTCCGACTCCAGCATCTCTCTCTACCATGCCCATAACTTTTTGTAGATGTGAGGCTCGTCTAGGATACATTCGCAACGGCAGGAGCTCTGAGTCGACCACAGGTGTCCTCGAAGCTTCGGCGAAGTCGCAGAGGGCATCTTTGCGTGTAGCACTGTAGCAGCTATTCCGACAAAAGTGTTAAACATAAGCCCGCTTTTTGAGGAGGCTACTAGCGCATATGCATACCTTAGAAGCACTTGCGGTGTACGATCGAAGGACCGCTCTCGTCGTACTCCTGCTTGGAGATCCACATCTGCTGGAAGGTAGATAGCGAAGCCAAGATGGAACCACCGATCCAGACGGAGTACTTTCGCTCGGGAGGAGCGATGATCTTGACCTTCATCGATGACGGGGCCAAGGCAGTAATCTCCTTCTGCATACGGTCGGAGAGACCAGGGTACATGGTAGTACCACCAGACTAATTGTGCTTGTTAGCATGTGATGTTTTACGTCATACCAAAATAAAGGAGTACATACCATGACAATGTTGCCGTATAGATCCTTTCGGACATCGACATCACACTTCATGATGGAGTTGAAAGTGGTGACGTGGATACCACCGCTCTCAAGACCGAGAACAGAAGGCTGGAACAGAGCCTCAGGAGCACGGAACCGCTCGTTGCCGATGGTGATAACCTGACCGTCGGGAAGCTCATATGACTTCTCCAAGCTGGAGCTCTGGGCAGCAGTCTGGATCTCCTGCTCGAAGTCAAGAGCAACGTAGCAAAGCTTCTCCTTGATATCACGAACGATTTCACGCTCGGCGGTGGTAGAGAAAGTGTAACCACGCTCAGCCAGAATCTTCATGAGGTAGTCGGTCAAGTCACGGCCAGCCATGTCAACACGAGCAATGGCGTGAGGAAGAGCGAAACCTTCATAGATGGGGACAACGTGGGTGACACCATCACCAGAGTCAAGTACGATACCAGTGGTACGACCTGAGGCGTACAGAGACAAGACGGCCTGGATAGAGACGTAAAAGGCGGGGGCGTTGAATGTCTCGAAAACGATCTGTGTCATCTTCTCACGGTTCGATTTGGGGTTGATGGGGGCTTCGGTGAGCAGGACGGGGTGCTCCTCAGGAGCCACACGCAACTCGTTGTAGAAAGTGTGGTGCCAAATCTTCTCCATGTCGTCCCAGTTGGTAACGACACCGTGCTCGATAGGGTAGCGCAGGGTAAGGATACCACGCTTTGACTGAGCCTCATCACCGACGTACGAGTCCTTCTGACCCATACCAATCATGATACTGAAAAATATACAGTTAATTGACGCCCACAGATAGCCAAAAGCTACGACCAGCGTATCCTAATGGCGCCGGAGGTTGTAAACTTACCCATGATGACGGGGTCGACCAACAATCGACGCTGTATGAAGATGTTAGCTGGCGGGTTATCAATGACAGAAGGAGCCGCATCTTGGCAAGGCACGAGCGGGGCTACGGTTGGGCAAGGCTGGGTAGAGACGACTTACGGAAAACAGCTCGGGGAGCATCATCACCGGCGAAACCGGCCTTGCACATACCCGAACTGGAGTACCAGTTAGCTTACATGACAATCCAGATATTCTTCTCCGAGGCAGGGTATGCTATCGGCGAACCGGTGTGGGCAGTGTTCGGAGTCTCCGCCCAACCCTCGCAAAGGGGGGGGCATGCGACTAAGAATGCGGTGAAGAGATCGAGGACCAGGTCCTTACCCATTGTCGATAACCAAAGCAGCAACTTCCTCTGTGACGAGAATACGGGTCAGCCATTTCAATCCGATTGATGTTCCACGACGAGTGCGACGAGGCGAGAAGAGCACGTCGAGGGCGGAGAATTGGCATGGTCAAAAGACCAAGATGACGGCGAGAGCTTACCCTCCATTGTGATTACGTAGGTGACGAGAAAAGATTAGCGGAAGAAAAGAATAGAAATTATCGGGAGATGCTCAGACGATACCGAAATCGACGGAGCTCAGCGGGAGACTGGAGAGGGAGGTGGTGATTGTCTCGATGTGGTTTGACTGCACAAGCGACAAGAAGTATGTTGTGGAAGGTTGAGTTCCAAGAGTTGTGTCGGGTCAACAAGATGTGTTTAGCGGGTGTGGAGGAAACGGGGGCTCTGACGGGGGGAGGTAGAAAGGGGAAGTAGCGGCGGCAGCGGCCAGCCAGCTGTAAGCAGCGAGGGAAAATGCGCCTGCTATCTATGCCAGGACAGGCTTAACGAGGTTGAACTTGTGGGCCGGACAAAAAGCACTGGCGGGGCTGGAGAGAGGGGGGAAGGGCAAGTCAGAGCTGGTTGGCGTTGGTTGGTGCTATGTCGATGGAGGATTTACTGTACAGTAGTAGTGATGATGGGTGGATGAATGAAGGAATTCCCAGCCAAGCTGTGTCTTTGGTTTCTCTTTGTTGGCAATCGGTGACGCTTGACCTGCTCTCCCTCTTTCTTTCTTTCTATCTTATCTGCTTCACCGGTCCAAAGCGCCTTTTATCACTGTTCTGCAGTGCTACAAGTCTACAAGTACTACCGCTGCGATAAGTGTTGCCTAGAAGAAATTATATGCCCAGGGGAAATACGTAAAATACTACGTACGGTCGTAGGCAACTAAATTCGTTGCCTTCCATTGTCACTCCCTTTATCCCTTATCCTTATCCCTTTATGCTGGGGGCCAGGAGGCACAGGCTAACGAGCACCGCAGCTCATTTCTTGGCTTGAGTATACACAATGGCGGTAATGGTAACTGTCCGTGTCCGCCTTTACACCAACTCGTGGCACACTGACCGTACGCCTACAGCTGTTACGTGTAGATGCTTCCATGGCAAGGCGGATAAGTAGGTAGTGCCTTGGAGGTAAGTACATGTACGTCGACATACTCGGTAACTAACAAGATAGATGGCAATGCTATGGCCAATAGTTAGAAATGTGGCCAAAGAAAGATAGCTACTTTGTTCCACTATGACAGCGATACGATACCTACAGTTACTTACTACGCTAAACACCAGGACAGCCAGCCAGGACCATGATCCACACACCACTCGGCCACTTACTGGTCCGGGTGGCTCATCAGCAAGCATGATTACGTAGAGCAATGAGTGCAGAGCAGACGTGTGTCCACTGCCAAACGCTATGCCTACTCGATGCCAAGCAGGCTTCGTAATTACCAACAAGTGGCTGGGGCAATGAATCCAAGCCCGTCTTGCGTATGCGGAGCACGAGGCCGGCACCAGCAACGCAATCAGGCACATACTTGCCTTGATTTCCCCAGGTCATATTCTTTGGCATGGCTGTATGAGACAAACATGAAGCTACTGCCTATATATGATGCTGTTTCAACTCACGCAGAGATTTTGTACCCTGGGTAAGGTGTGCCAGACAGCTCCACAATACGGTAGGTATGTAGAGCGATAGGGCCACTTTGTTACAACTGTTTGCTTGAATGGTATGCGCAAGGTGAAACGGGACGATCTGGATATGCCTCCATCTTCACCTCCGAAGACATTCGCATCAGTGTGAGCCTTGGGCTGGGGAGCCAAGGAGCCTATCTTTTTCTGGTCAGAAGTCCTTATCTAAGACATTTTCAACATGTCAAAAGGAGGGGTGATGAGGGGCAGATCCGCGCTGGGATAAAAACAGCCTCCGAATGCTATTGGCTGTTCGAAATGGCGGGGCATTTTCAAGTATCTACCTAGGTAATAGGTATCCATGCTAAGTCGATAAAGTCATGATAGTAGCAAAGACGATATTTATTGTAGTGTAGAACGTTGAATATAAAATATTACCATAATTAATTACATGATATATAAACCTATAATATCTGTCACTAAAGTCCTCGAAATGGCCCTTATAGCTAGCTCTAGGTAGACAATGTATATGTGTCGGCTGTACTTACCTGGGCAGATACCTAGCTCGATGGCCCCACTGTAAAGTTCGTGAAGCTTCGCGAATGTTGGAGATTGAAAGAGAATCAAGCTTAGCCAACCTGCTCTACAAGACGAACCTTTCGATTTCCAACAACCCTAGACAGCTTTATCTTTTGATTATTTTGAAAACAATCTTCGTCCAGAACGAAGTACAAATTCTTTTGTATCGCGAAATTCACACTAGACGAATATCATTCAAAAAGTAGCTGGCAACGAGTAATCTGCATACAACCTTGGTGGGGTTACAAAAAGCCAACTTTTCAACCTAAAGTACAAATCATCTCGCAAAACCACTTTATCACACAGCCAAATCACTTTATCAAACACATAACGTCCCATCTCCCAGCGAAAGCAGTAATAGCGAAATGGGTGACAAAGGCCTGAACGACCTCCTAAGATGGAGCATCGAGAACTCAGCGACGGGTCCCGACGGGACGACCAACGCCCCGCCGCGCTCAACCTTGAATCAAGAGGCTCTAGCCGCGATGATGGGCGGCCCGTCCGACGCCGACCTGATGCGCGAGAGCATGGCGGCCATCACCTCGCCCGACCCGGAGATCAGTCTCGAGTCCCGGCTGACAGCCTTCGACAACTTCGAGCAGCTCATCGAGTCCCTCGACAACGCGAACCTGCTCTCGAAGCTAGGCCTCTGGACGCCGCTCCTCGAGTGTCTAGCGCACGACGAGGCGGAGATGAGGCTCATGGCGGCCTGGTGCGTCGGGACCGCGGTCCAGAACAACGAGCCCTCGCAGGAACGCCTCGTGGCGCTCGGCGGCATCGAGAAGCTCGTGCAGATGGCCGTCGGCAAGCGGTTGCCGGCGCCATCTACGTCCGCAGAAGCGATTAATGGAGACAACAAGAAAGACGAAGAAGAGACGAAGAACGTCCGTCGAAAGGCCTTGTACGCTCTGAGCTCTGCCGTCCGCAATTACCAGCCCGCCATGGACGTGTGTGCCGCCGAGCTGAGACGACAGGGCCATGGCGAGAACGCCGGCGAAGAGGGCAAGGCTATCGATGCTACGGATATGGATGCCGTGGACACCGTTATCGGCGGGTTGAGGGAGAAGGTCACGAATGCATGATTTGATTCGCGATCATAAGCGGACATCGTCATATATTGGGCTATGTTAGGGACTCAAGTTGCCGAGTCATGTCTAAATAGGGAAACTAAGGGCAAGGTCAATCGAAATGGGTTGACTATATGAATGATGGTCTGGGAACTGCATATCTCGGCGTTGGTTAGGTGTCTTTTTGTACGTAAATTGCAGATCGATAGAAATGGCGAAAATGGGTCGGAATCAACAAAGCATATTGCCTTTATGGAAGTTTGGCCATCTTAATTTGGTGTGTTTATGAGTATCATATTGAGCATTCGTGATATTGTACAATCCTACATTATATACTCTCTACGTATCTTACCAAAGCGCCGGTTTATATACAAGTGAGAGAGTAACAATACGCTTGAGAGTACATGAGTTTCGATACATGATAGAGAGTCGCCGAGCCACATTTCATTGTGATCAATCTACAATCTTTCCGTAGAAGGGAATCCCTAATGCTTTGCACAGTATCCTCGCGTGTCTGTCGGACTTGGCTGTGGTCTCCAAGGTGATGCGGCAGCCAGGTATCATCTTTGACGGGTACATCTATGAAAACCGTAAGCGATGAGGCATTCACGAGTGGGTAAAATAATGAACGGGATATCTCATCAACTTACATTAAAGGAGGCTTCTACCTCTGGAAAATGCTGCATATCTTGCGGCTCAAGGCCGAACTGAATGTTGCCTGTACTGTCTCCCGTAGTTCCTGTTCCGCGAATGTTAGCGGCGGTCCCAGGTTTACGGTATCAACATGGTAAATGCTCTTCACGGACCTTGAACACCCTTCCATTCCTTGATTTTAGGAAACACGAGATTAACAATCTTGTCGAGAAACTCATAAGCTTGGTTTCCACTTATCGAGCATTTCACGCCAGACTTATCACCCTTAACTATGCTCCACTGGGAGACGCTGTTCTTTATCACTGTAGTTTTCGGCCGCACACCCGAGATACTCTGTAGTACGGCCTTTCCAACTATGATGTGGTCAAAGTTCTTCTTGGCTTGGGGCGTGTACACTGCAATATGCACTGCGCGGACCTCGGGGATGTTTTGCCAGGTGATAGGCTTCTCGATAGGGAATAGCACGTCAGCACCACGGGGACCACGCTTTGGACGGTTCTTCATGTATGGTGAAGAATCATCCCACTCTCGTAGTCGTATGCGCTCGGGCTTATCGGGGGCCCCTGGAGGGGTGTGTTGATACATCATAGTCATTATGTCGGAGGCAATGGTGGATTGGTATGTCTGCTTCAGTCGAGGAAGGTTGAATGGGCCAGGAGCGAAGTCTCTGGCAATCGGGTCGGAAGACGGAGGCGGTTGCACGGGGTGCAATGGACCACGATAGTATTTCGGGGCACGGTATCGGTATCTTGAAGAGCAATGAGCATCGGCGGCGTAATCACGAACAGAATAGTCCCTTACCTCTCGTGGGGCAGCTCGAAATTTCTCCTGCTTGCTCTCTTTCGTGGGTCGACGACCTTGATACCTTCCCGAGTAATAACTGGGGTCGCCAAACCGGAGTCTGCCTCAATATCATATACCGTAAGAGGTGTACTCTCAGTGGAGGCGCATCTGTAAATGCCTGGTGCGCATGGCTTCAGATGGGATACTGAGCCCAACAATTGCCTACCAGCGCGTGGCACCTCGCGAAGCGAAGCCATGATTTGTCTGCGCTACTATGATAGCTGGTTGGAGGTGTGCGCACGCGACTTCACCCGTCATTCAATATCCATACGCTGGCTCTCTGCCCTGTATCTTCAATTTTCGATATGGCCCCGTCTGGGCAATCGCTAAATACAAAGTCCGACGCCGACACAGCTTGTTAGTATAATCAGAGCTGGGATGTTGATAAGATAAGACCCCCCTGCCCCTCATGACCATCTGTACTTGGCAACGGTAAATGTACATAAAAAGAGTCGAATATTTTCAACGAATCTTCGATTTTCTTACTCAAAATCAACCTGCGTTTATGCATTACAAATTTGTTTTCCTTATAGGAACAAACCCATAAGTCACTATTACATCAATCTCCAGTGATCGTACGGTTGAGGCAGTGAGGCGAGAATTGACGGTTTCTAATATTTCTAGAACGAATGCACGTCAAATTGATCGATGCGAGATAGGCATACCGCCTTCAATAAGACGAGTTGCATTACCTAGGTAAGTGTATGTATACATTAGAATAGAAGGAGCGGAACATTACTAGGTAGAGGAGCAAGCAGCCCATCAACCATGCATGTTGATCAGTGAAACCGTCTTGAGTTTTGACACACTCTAGGTAGTCTACATATCTGGGCGCTTATTCACGGAAACGGGCGATTCTAGAAGCACATAAGTAGGACATCATGTCCGTCACTTCGATTTCCAACTGTTAGACTTGAGGTATTACTGTCTTGGCCAATTTATGATCTAGGTATGCTGACCGAGCGGTAGGTATGTATATTTTAAGTATGTAGGTATGTACTGTATGTATTTATGTAGCATCATGCAGCTGATACTCCACTATTAGGGCGATCTCAGGCTGAAAGCTCCTAATAGGCTGAGGTTTCGTCGGTGGCTACCTCCTATAGCAGTGATGACGACAGGTTATAGCAGGCATCTGCAATCATACCTAGGTAGAATAGGTATATACAGAGGTAGGTATGGACAGTCAGCCATGAACACATAGACGTCTGCTTTCTCGAACAATCCGCCGACCTTTATCATCCGTTAGGTAGATCATGTTGAAATATGTCTGCCTACATGATACCTATAACTGTATATTACTAGTACCTATGGAGAAGTGGCGCCGAGCGCATTGTCAGGATTCTTCGGTCTAACAACAGCTGACCTGTAACGAAGATGCTACAGCTGACGAATCAAGGGGGATGACAGCTCCTCTTAGCTGCCTTGACAGACTTGTATCGTTAGTGATGGGCAGACAGGCATCCGATTTCTCGTCATTGCAGGCAATTGAATTCCCTACCTATCTATGACGGTGCTAGTACTAGACGCGAAATCACGAGATACTTCCATTACGGTGTGCTTCGTTGGTACCCGTTGCTGGTATAATACTATATTATATACATGTACGTACTGTAGGCAGTGTCTACCTCTACAAGAATACCTACAATAATGCCTACAATACAATAATGGCAGTAAAAAGGACCGATGTGCGACCCGGGAGAGTTAGATACCTAGATTATCCTAGACAGGCTTCAAAGCTTGTGAGAACAATAACTACTACCTACCTGCTGCCTCGCCTGGAATATAGCTAGGAATTAACTCTCCGTCTTGGCCGATTCATAACCTACCCGGGATCGCCAACGGACCCCGATGATTCAAACGGAATGATCTAAGTAATGCTATTATACTCCAGCCCAATAATTGTATCCATTTGAATTCTCCTCGTTCGTGTAGATAACCTCTACGCTGCCCGGCCTCTCCTCTCTCAAAGCGCCTGCCACCGCAACACATCCCTAACCTACCACCTACACACCCGTTTCGCTGCCCGTTGATCCAAGATCCCCCCCGAGCTGGTCTAGAGCTGGTCCACCCCTGATCCCGATCCACCATACTAGGTCTGCTAGGCCTCTGCAGAGTCTCTGCTAGGTTTGCTAGGTCTGTTAGGTGTTCCCATACTCCATACTCCTGGACCCTGCACGCCAAACCACCCCACAACGCACGCCGTGGTGCTCCTTTCAGCTGGCTCGGCTGGCTCGTTGCAACCCCGCGGCCAGATCTGAACACCGATTCCCATTCTCGATACCGCGCCGATCCAAACCATAACCGTTCCCCTTCTGACAGTTACGTAGCAACGGGTTCAACAGCACCGACTGCGCCTGGCCTTACACGTTCTCTACTTACAAACCACATTGCCCGTCGGTATCTTCTATCATCCGACGGGACAATATCACCCCAAACCTTGTTGGTTTTTTTGTCCTGCCAGCTGAGCGACGAAGCCAAATCATATAGCGAATTGCGAATTGCGAAACTCAATTCGAACCGGCCGTTGGTCGAACGGCGCAAGCTTCTACCCCCAAAACGAAGAGAAAGCGACTTATTGATATTTGTCTATCATATACCTTTGTGATCGACCCTCCGCGGCGAACGTCATGAACGCCATGAAGGCTGGTGGTATGTCTAAGAGATTACTCAGTCGGCGGGAAAAGAATGGCCATCGTCGTGGTAAATCATCCGATACCAGTCACAAGGTAAGGCTTACTTAGCTCTTAACTCTGTCTCAACTCACCTGCCCATCTTAGATCACCCACTAACTGCTCTGCTTCTGCGTAGCATCGCCCACTATCCTCCGACATATTCTCCATCTTCAGATTCGATGGCGCGAAGCGTCAAGCTAAAGAGGAAGATGAAGCCACGCGGCGAGAGAAAGAAAACGCCAAGGTGCGTCATTGCGCTCTCTTCGTAAGAGGTGATTCGAGGGCTAACAGTCATAGATACAAGAAATCCATCAGAGAGCTGCCGACCTTGGTCTCGACTTCCACGGCCTCGACGACGATCATATTGCCTACGTCCTCAATTCAGAATATGCATCAATGGATGTTGCTCGGACAATCGAGATTTTAGTGATTCTCCAAGCATCGATCTCGGGAGAAATCCTCCACTACGACCCAGACGTGCGCATGGTAGGAGCCGTGAATAGGGGAAATGTCACCTGCTATCTTGATTCCCTGCTTTTCGCCATGTTTGCAAAGCTTGAGCCATTCGAATGTATGCTGAAGGCTGAGATACCCGACGATGAGCCCCGGAAAAAGCTTGCTGTGTTATTACGGGTGTGGGTAAACTTGTTAAGAAGTGGGAAGCTGATCGAAACAAGTCTGGTAATTCACTCTCGCCTGGCATTAACACCCTAATTATGCTAACTGCCAACAGACGGAGCAAATTCAAGATACATTGGCAGAGTGTGGCTGGAAAGAGGCACAACTGCTAGAGCAGCAGGACACTTCAGAAGCATTTGCCTTCATTACCGAAACGCTTCAATTACCCCTCCTCCCGTTACGGGTTGATCTATTTCATCATGGGAAGAACGATGACGCCGACCACAAAGTCGTATATGAACGATTATTGAATCTTGCTGTTCCAACTGACACCGAAGGGAAAGGTGTTAAATTGGAAGATTGTTTAGAGGAGTACTTCAATTCCAAGGTTGATGTACTCCGGGAAGGCCTAGACGAGAAGAAAGCCAATGATGCATCTGATCAAACCCCTACTCTAGAACAAATTGATGGTCTAAGCACGCCGAGAAGCACCATTCGTATTATCGAATCAGAACTCTCCCCAGACGCTTCTGCTGATCCGCAATCTCCCACCACAACGCCCGTAGCATCAGATTTGCAGGATTCCTTTTCAACACCTCATTCACTTTCCAGGCCACATCGCAGCCGCGCCGAAAGCCTCATACAAAGAGTCGTCATCGATAAGCAAGAGAAACCTTCAGATGCCGATACAGCGGACCTATTTCAGAGAGCTAAGAGGAAAGCATCAGTTGTCAAAGCTGTTACAATACCCGCCTGGCAATTTTTCAAGCTGATACGTAAGTCGTCTATGAGAGATCTCAATGATTGGAAACTGACCTTGGTTGGCAGCTTGGCACTCATCAGCGAATTCAGACCCAAAGAGCGACTTTGAAGTCGCTCGGCACTTTAGTCAACGTCCTGTTGTCGGGATCTGTTTGAAACGCTATATTTCGGACAATAACGGGAACACGAAGCGTCAAAATACGTACATTGACATACCCGATAGCCTTAGGCTCCCTCACTTCATTGTTGACGATAGACATCTAGAGGAAGGTGGTCTTACGGCAGTTTATAAGCTAGTCCTCCAGTCGGTGGTTTGTCATCGTGGCGATTCATTGCACTCTGGGCACTACATTTCCTTTTGCCGGATAGCGCCTAAGGTATTGACTGACAACCGGCGACACGAGGCAGATCCTCCTCCTGACTACGAGGAGGCGCAATGGGTTAAATTTGACGACCTTGCCGATGAGCGGGTTACTACAGTTACCGACATCAAGGAGTCGCTCAAGCAAGAGATGCCATACCTCCTCTTTTACCAAATTATTCCCATTGTTGACGTGGCGCCTAGTTCAGTGGGGAGCATTGAGGCTGACCCGCCAGCATATGACGATGGTGCTCCTGCCGTCATCGCCATAGATGCCCCAGAATACCAGCAGTATCAATCTCTTTCTCAGAAGACTAGCGGATACTTCGATAATTCGAGCAGTATTCCCTCAGCTCCGCCTAGCGTGCGATTTTCAGCCGAGCTAGAGAGACCATTGCGTCGTAGCTTCGCCGATGAAGACGGGTTTCTGAACGTCTCTAGACGTGATAGTATTGCTTACGGCGAGTTGACTGGTTCCAGTTCGGGCATGGTATCCAGTAATCACTCACCCGCTATTAGTCCTGGCGAAGAGACCACTGCACAGAGAATTAGCCGTGCGGCTGCGAAGTTCAGGGCGTCGAACAGAAGTCGGCCACAAAGTCAAGCTGGGGAGAACCGGATCAGCCAGACAATGTCGAAGTTTGGCGGATTCATGAGAGCTAGTAAAGAGCCGCTGCGAGACTCGACACATGAGAGTACTGACGATGATGCTGACATCGTGATTGTCAACAGAGTGGTAGGTGAGCAGGATGAGAACGATGCGTCTCTGCGGCCCCAATCCAAAGGGAAAGGGAAAGACAAGGAGTCGACCCAGAAGAGAGGTAAATCCAAAACACGCTTCGACAAGGCAAAGCCAAAAGATAAAGACAAGGACAAGGATTCTCAAGAAAGGGAATGTATTGTCCAATAAATAGGAGGGCAACTTTCCGCCCAGTATCCTACTTATATGAAGCCTGCATCAAGCACAGCGATGATAGCTAACTGAGGAATAGCTGGTGATGACCATATTAGGCATCACTGGTTTGGCTCACTATTAGGTGAGGATTAAAGGGCACCTCCTGGCGACTTGCAACTGCATGTTACATTCAATTCAAAAACAATAGAGAGGGGTTTGAAGCCAGGGAAGCCGGAGTTGAGATTCAAAAATAGAGCCAGCACAAAAAAATATCTGCTGGACCATCACTCTATTTCAAGCAATCAGTGGGCTTTGGTGTATTTATCTTGCATTTGCGCTGGTGAAAATCGGTACCTATCATGCATAGCTGGACGCAAGGCGTTATGGGCATGGCTAAGGCTTGCTAGCAAAGATAGACGACTAATCAGGACTACGGAACCCTTTTACGAGAAAACCACAATGCTTTGCGAAAGACGCCGTCCCAGGCATGTTTATAAGACGACAAAACATCGAAGAAAACTTTTGCTGCCTGCTGTACGCTATCAATTACGTCTAGTCTGGTGAATTTAAGAGTGGATTTGTCTTGAACATAATAGGAAGGCAGTTATCATTACATTGTGGTACTTCGATCGCTGTGATGTTTTTGCTGTTCTAAGTCGTGAGACTACGCCTATTTATAGAGAAGAGGGCGACGGTGCAGACACCCCCTGTTACGATGTTATATGCCACTATAAAATCGTATGAGGGATGATTTAGTATGTTTCTAAGCATAGCCACATACTGCATGAAATTATCTAGATTACACAACGTTACACGCGTATGTGGTTGGCTAACTGCAAGAGAAAGGTACGGAGAATAGAGAGGATTTAGTGTCCATTGCTGGAGCATTATAGCTCCATTCCTTCATGGAATTTGATTGTGTGAGATCCGTGTAGGTAATCATAATGACAATTACAGTAACTTGCAAACGGCAGTGCTGGGACTTGTCACTTGAAGAAGAGTTCCGCTAAGGAATACCAAGCTATTAGGACACCGCTTGATGTATTCTCGCAGCTCTGCACTAGACAGGCCAACGGAGTACCTTTATTCCATCAAGGGCAGACTGTTCCCGCAAAGCCATGGAACCGATAACGAAAGGGGTTACCGTTGCTCTATTCTGGGGACCTTAGCCGACTATTTGGTGACACCCTGTTAGACCGGTACAGACCCGTATCTCTATATGATGATTTGGTCTAGCGCAACTCAAGACGTTACAACAAGAGTTCTGGTAGAGCAAATATTCTCGGAAACTTCCGCGCTGAAACAACTCTACCATAGGTAGTAATAGGCCGATTGTGTGGAGGAACGGAAGCCGAGACAACTTAGCGCGGGCCGACTTTAGCAGACTGCTTGGTTGGACGAGTAAGCAGCAATATGGGGTTTTGTGATGGGATCGTGAACGGCACAGCAAGGTCTAGTCTGTGCGCCAGAGAAGCAAGAAAGAGAGGGCGAACACCGACGAAGACGGTGAGGCGAATAGGCAGACACAATGCACAATGGACCCAGAAATCCTAGAAGTGTATAAAGTTGACGAGATGCCCGGGACGATGGGAATAGCACTTCACGATCACCATCATCCCCATCAGCCCTGATCCTCATACATATCTGCACACATTCCACAATGTACGGCAAAGTCTTCACCACCCTCGCCGCTCTCGCGAGCGTAGTGGCCGCCACTACGCTAACCACCAGCAACGGCCGTCCGCTCACCGCAGGCCACGGTATCCTCATCGGCGCCGCTTTTGACGTCTCCGCCGAGGCCGGCTACTTCCCCAAGGCCCCCGGCTTCGACGTCACATGCCCGGCCTACTACGTCTATGACAACGAGCCCGCTACCGGCACCGAGTGCTCCTGGGACGGCGAGCAGCCCAAGAACAACAAGGTCTACGCCTACACCAACTACGACACGCTAGCCGTCACCCTGCGCCACGAATGGGCGGGCGAAGGCGGCGTCACCTATGTCACCACGGCCGTCGGCAAGCTGGCCTCGCGGCCGAAGTACAACCAGGACATCCCGCCGTTCTCGCTCACCGTTAGCAAGACGGCCACGAAACTATGAGCGCGCCCACCGCTCGACGCCCCTGACTTCAAGGTCTCGTGCTTCTACGACTACAACCCGGACCCGACCGTCTCGCTTTGGCGTACTTCATTACCACTGTCCACCACGAGTGGACCTCGTGAACACGCTGTAAGGTAGTGAGTGTTCTCGTGCGCTGTGCTCGTATGCGTGATGGGTTATGTTAGTTGAGTAGTCTATGAAAATGGTAAATTACTACAGACCGCTTTTTCTTCTGGATGAGTGAAGCATTGTCAAATTGCTGAAGAGTTCGAAGAGGTGAATGTAGATAGTCTCTGTGAAGCAGCTTCGGTTCTCGTTGAAGCTTTTCTGTGTGGTGTGTTTATAGATGTATTACTCGCTTGATTCTTTCACATAAAACCCTGAGGCGAGGAAGACGAAAGTCTTATACACTTTAGTATAGTATTACCAGGAGTAAGGTGGGTGAGTCAGGGGCTTATATAATTCCGTGCCGCGTGGGATTAAGATTGAACAACGTCAAGCATCACGATATGATTAAATATCGCTAAAATAACGGTTTCCTCAAGAGAGGAGGCATCGAATGAAGCCAATTATTTGTGGAATAACTGTTCATGGTACCTGGAACATAGCGAGCCTCGAACTGTTGTGAATATGCTTAGTCGCGTTAAAAGATACATAAAGTTTTATAGATTTCAATCATACAGGCTTTTTATTAACTAGTCAAGGTCTAGAAAATCATTTGGAACTGCGTTGATTCATAGCTGATGTCTCCATGATCTCGCCTTTGGCACAACAGTAGCAGAGCCGCTTATATCACGTATTGATTCCGCATCCGACAGTTAGATCCTCCTTTCACATCAATGATCGAAACAGCACGCGGCTAGCTCGTGAAACTACTCGAGATGTTTTTTATTTCTGATGAGCCCCGCTCCGCCAACCGGTTCGGATCGCCGACGCAAGGTGTTTACCCGTGGCTATTTTCTTTAATATCTAACCTGCGGCAAATCATCTCTCTCACTACAATGTATCCTTTCAGCAACTTAATATAGATAAGGCCTCGGAAATTTCAGTCATTGGGCCGTGCCATTTGAAGATGAAGATGGATATCAGTGTTGTCTTGAGGTATACGAATTAGGTTGATAGAGCTGTTGGGGCTATTTTCACCCCTACATATGCGTACATTCACTCTTTTGTATTCTGAACCTCTGTTTCTGTCGAACTTAGTTCTGAAAGACAATTCTTCCTAATTCGCCGGAGCTAAGCGATCTAGATATATCTCATTTTTAACAACGTACCGAAGACGGACGATCGCGCAAAAATGCAAGGACTAGGCCTCGTCGCCGCCTTCGTGGCGCTCTTGGGAGATGTGGCGATAGCTCAGCAGATGTTGAGGTTCTCTTGTTCACGGCTGACTATAGAGCGTCTGGATCCTTTGGTGTCGCCCGGCCAGATACAGAGTCCGCATACGCACCAGGTTGGGGGAGGGAACTCGTTCCAGGCCTCCATGTCGCCTACGGCTTTAGACCCTGTTGAAAATTCTACGTGTACTTCGTGTACCTTTTCCGGTCAGTCGTCCTTGAAGCTCCATGTTCCAAACCACTAGTCTTGCCGGGGATTTATGTAATCTATTTCCATCGAGCCTTCTGCAGCATTTTATTCTCTTGCCCTTTACGGGTGTATCATGAAGCAAGCATTATATCCTGTTGTTAACCAGCTATGTTAGAGGATTTCAGCAACTACTGGACCGCGAATCTTTACTTCCGCGCTCGCAACGGCACTTTAAAGAGAGTCCCACAGGTAGTTCATCTCTCTCTCGGAAACCATTAGGTCTCATGGCAATACGAGAATGGGACAGTTATAGACTAACCATAGACAGTTGGTGAACATGGGGCTCAAAGCCGATGGCGGGATAACCGTGTACTATATCCCACCGTACGATGGGAAGTCTAAAGTCACAGCGTTCAAGCCTGTATGTATATCCCATCGTACATCATACCCGAATTATTCTTGTCCTGCCATTTTACTAGCGAAAGAACGCCGTTCTGAACTTTACCCCCCTACCCCGTTTCTATCATGTCTCAACCTCTTGACCACTAACACCTCATCTCACAAGGGCTTCCGCATGCTCGTAGGCGATCCCACGTTGCGCTCCGGCGAAACCCAACAACGCCAGCTCTGCCACCGATGCTTCACGACAGTCAACCAAGTGCCCTTTGGCGGCGCCCCCTGCATGGGACCGATGGACACCCAGGAGCTCCCGCCAGGGTTCTGCCAGGGCGGGATTCGCACGACGATCACGTTCCCGACGTGCTGGGACGGCATCAATCTCGACTCGCCCGACCACAAGAGCCATGTCGCGTATCCCGTGAACGGCACCTTCGAATCGCTGGCCCCGTGCCCTCCGAGCCACCCCGTCAAATTACCGCAACTCATGTACGAGATCATGTGGGACACGCGCCATTTCAATTCCCGGGATCTCTGGCCCGAGGACGGATCGCAGCCTTTTGTGTACTCTATGGGTGATGGGTGAGTTGCTGTTCATCTACTTTCCAGCCTGACATCGAGTGTTTTTATTATTATCAAAAGAGTTCAGGGATATAAGAAACACTATATACGAACGCCCGTGACTAATCCCCTTCTAAACAGCACGGGCTACGGTCAACACGGCGACTACATCTTCGGATGGAAAGACGACTCGCTTCAGCGTGCGCTCGATGCGCGGTGCAGCAATGACTACTGCTCGGAACTCAAGAGGCAGACTGCGGACGAAGCCATGCAGTGTACGCTCAAACAGACTGTCCCAGAGGACGTTGAAGGATGTAAGTCGTGTCCATGTATAACGCCCAACTTGTTGGTCTTTCCATCTAACATGGACGGGTCTAGGGATGACGAAGCTTCCGGGAGACTGGGATATCACATACAATTAAGCTTAACCAGACGATCGTCGACAATGCTCATGAGACATGCATTTTGTATGATTTTTTCTCCTTCCAAATATGAAAATACAATTCAGCTTAGCACAGAACTTTGAAGCTTTGAACCGTTTTAGATTGTGAAGCCCGTGCAAACACTGTAATAATCTACCTTTATACTTGTGTGTTCGGGAGAGTGGGTGGCATTTGTTAGAGAACTTGGGTTACGGTGATAATATAACTGCAGAATTAAATCGAAGTTCCCAAGAGGGCCAGATATGTCTCCTAGCATTGTAATTATTCACTACTTCGCCTCGTATTCAAACCCACGTTATTCCGATCGAGCCAACGCCACCCCCTTCTCGTCTATTCATGCAAATACCTGAAATATCCAAATCTATGCATCTAAGCCATCGAACTCTATAAGTTTCGCCGCCATTCTAATAACCTCGTTATCGCGAACATCCATCTGCGGATTATTCACTTTCATCGCGATAACATTATCCACCATGCCTCTCAGCCTGGAAACGAGGACGCCGAGACGTGCCCAGCCACGTAGTCTATACATCATAGGATCAGCAAACGACAAGATCAGAAGCGATGTGAACAGAAAAAGACTCACCGAAGCCATCCATCAACCACTAGGCCTCTACCCAAGATATCAAGCTCTATGGCGCCGGAGAATAGAAGAAGAGTGAAGGCGTTGAAGGCTAAGAAGACATCACAGATCATGTCAGCAAAGCCTGATATATTCGAGACCAACAGAGAGGGATGAAAGAAACCACCTACGTGTCAACTCTCGAATGAAGACCTTGCTCGTAGAGATCATAGTGAAATACGATACAAAGGCCGCATTTCCTGTGAACCCCTGGCTACCAAAGAGCGCGCTGCTAGGATGGATGAACACGCGCCCGTTCTCCTGTGTGAAATACTTGATCGTGCGGGCCTCCGGATCTAGTTCCACGGCACCTGACATAGACGCTGCAAATTTCTTGTCCGGGAATTGGATGCGCGCGATTTGAGGCGTGAAAGCTGAGGCCGTGATTGCGCGAAGGAGGGGCATTGAGACGGTGGTGGCTTGGGATGACTGGCTCGCCGAGGTCCCGACGATGCCAATTTCCGTGAGCGCTGTGTAGTATTGTGTTCGTGTGGTGGATATGTCTGATAATATCTGATACGAGAGGAAGTTGTCGTCGCAGAATCTTCGCACTTCTCGTGTAGGCACTCGATCATTAATCATGGTCTGCCACTGTTGGTACGCTCGTAGGTCTGTGAGTAAGTCACCGTCTCCCTGGGCGAACCGCATACGCGCTTCCTTAGCTGCGTCACGCTTATCTGATGGCGAGTTAAAAGGGCTCTTCGAGCTCAGAATTGCGGCGATGGTGATACTGTCATCGAGGCAGCCAAATATCGCGCCATACACCATCAGTTTACCACAACGAAGGTCGGCGGGAATCATAGCGAGCTGCTGACCCAGCGCTGTGAGTTCATCACCATCAAGCGCACCCATTCTTTGCAGCATCTTGATGGCATTTTCTACCGCCGTAATGTCTGGTGGTGTAGGCGTTCGACTTAAGAAACCACCAATATCTTTTGTGCCCATGGCTCGAACAGATAAACAGAGCTGTTCGAGGGGTACACGCCGAATTTCAGGCTCTGGGCGTTCTGCCATACGCTCTTCGAAGCCTGTCGTGTAGAGCTTGTAGCACTTACCAGCCTGTACACGTCCAGCACGACCGCGTCGTTGCTTGCACGCAGCCCGTGATGCCCAAGTCTCCTCTAGTTTGCGTATATTGTTCTGGGGGTCGAAGCTGGTTTCTTTGACTCTGCCTGTGTCGATTACGGCAACAATGTCATCAATCGTAATGGACGTCTCAGCGACATTAGTCGCAACCACTACTTTTCGCTTCCCAGGTGGGGGAGCTTGGAAAACTCTTTTTTGTTCTCGCGTATCTAAAGATGCGTGAAGGGGGAGAACATGAAGCGACGAGATGGACCGCAACTGGTCAACGGTTCGCTTGATCTCACCAGCGCCGGGTAAGAAAATGAGAATTCCACCTTTCTTATTGCTGAAATGCAAGTCTTCGTCGATGGCCTTCGTCGTCTCAACTAGCAATGAATAGTTGATACGAGAACCCAGCTTCTGAATAATCTTTTTGATTGGGTCGTTATTTTGGGATTCTTTGTCGAGTGGCCCTTCATCCTGATCATCGCGGTCGCCGTATCTATCAAACGTGAAGTTCGTCATTTGGATGATGTCTTCGAGGTAGTAGTCTTCTACAGGGAATGTTCTACCGGCAATCTCAACAAGTCCAACCCTCAGTCCTTCGGAAGTAAAATAGTTCTTGAAAGTCGCAGCATCAAGTGTAGCGCTCATTAGTACTAATTTTAGATCTTTCCTCCGTTTTAATACGTCTCGGATGATACTCAAAAGAAAGTCTGTATCGAGACTGCGTTCGTGAACCTCGTCGATTACAATATGACTGACATCGGCCAGAGACGCCTCAACATCCTGGGTTCGTCCACCTGAGGTTTGGAGTCGCCGTAATAGTACACCAGTTGTCACGAATGTTATTTTGGTTTGTGGGCCTGTCTTGTTCTCCCCACGAATCGAGTAGCCCACTTCGTTTCCTACTTGCGAACACCGCTCCTCAGCCACCCTATCTGCTAGGCCGAGGGCAGATATACGACGTGGCTGTGTACATATAATATTTGTGGCATTCCCAAGTCCTTTGCTATACAAGTCGTCGAGTATAAATTGTACCGACTGAGTAGACTTGCCAGAGCCTGTTTCTCCAGCGATAATTGTGACTTGCGACTGCAGGACTGTGTTCACCACTTGATCTTTGACTTGCCAAGCAGGCAACTTCTGGCGTTGACGGAGCATCTCCTTCAACGCCGCTTGCTCTTGTAGTCTTAGCCATTGCTCTCTGCTCCGAGGATCAACTTCTCTTGGCAGAGGTTTAGGATGTCGGGAGCGGCGTTGTTTGATTGAATGAGTATTTCGTACTTCAACGGCAGCAGACGCCACGCCAGATATATCGCGAAGCCTACCTGGCTTCTCAATAATGGTATTAATATGCTGCTGTATCCAGTCAACAGCGAAGTAGATCTTCATGGGCTCTTCGCTTAAGGATTCGGCCAGATGACTGAGAGTTTTCTTAACGATGCTAAGCTTAATGTAAGAAGGAAGATCAGAAATCAAGGACACAATAACCTCGGATGGGTATCGAGAGGATCTGCGAAACTGAGCAAACGTCTCAATGTCTTTCTTAGGCCCGTTTTTGACGGATTCGATGGTGATCTGACAGACCTCGTCAGATATTCTCTTGAAGTGGTCCCCATAAACGGAGCTCAAGCTTTCCATCTCATCAGCCCAACATTCTTCAGGGGTGCCAAAGATGAGTGGCTCCTCGGCAGCCGCTTTGGGTAGTGTAGAATCACTACCACTAGATATTAGAGAATCTTGTAATGCCTCAGCTGCTCGCCCCTCATCCTGATTATACTGTTCATAAAGCTTCTTGCACAGTTCCGCAGAATATCCGGATTGCGATAAGCGCTTGATTGCAGCCTCTCGTTTCAGATCTGAAATCGCAGCAACCGAGATACCAGCCGCGTAGCTCTCCGGTAAAGCCCATCTAGGCAGGTCGTCCTCGGGAACGTGGACCAACAGCCACTCAAGGGTCTCTTCGCGGTCCTTGCATTCATCAACAGCTTCTTCTACGTGAGCAGGACGAAAGCCGGAACCAGAAAGTTCTCTCACTATAGCCGCCTTTTGGGATGGCGGCATCTTGACTTCATGTGGGTTCCATATGACTTCTCTCCGAACAAGATCCTCAAGTTGAGATCGTGTTTTTCGGCCCATCTCAATTTTGGGGACAGTGGTCCAACCTTTCATGGGGTTCGAGCCCTTGCTAGAACTGGATGTAGAAGCCGCATTGCTGCGCAGAACTAGCCCGGCGGCACCGGGCATATTCTTGGCCTTGGCCTCAATGGCTTCCCTCTCCTTCCTCTTCTTCTCGGCAGCGGCTTTCTCATCTTCGCGTTGCTTCAAGGTCGCAAATGGATCAGCATCGTACATCCATGCGTTTCCTTTCTTGACGTCGTCTGCTTTGAAAGCCTCAAACTGCTTCCATAATGACCTATAATCTGGCGGTAGGGTAGTATGAATGTTCTTCATGCTACAAACACGGAACAGTGCATATGTGGCGGCAGCATGTCTGGCCTCTAATGCCGTCTCCCTCGTCACCAAGTGTTTGTGATCTGGGTGGATCTTGAATGGTGGAACCTTGATCACCTCCTGAGTCTTGGGGTTTTTGGCACTGAGCTGGACAAAGTAGGAAAAACCTTGCGAACCTTTAATCTGGCAAAAGAACTTCACATTAACTAGGTACAGATGGTCATGACAGCGACACCGCTTACAGGCTGGTAATCTGGCTTGTCCCACTTCTGTCTTTGACAGTGTTCCGACAGGAGATTGACAGGTAATTTTCCAGTCCAGCTCGAACCTCCAATGATCTGCTTCACGGTCGGCTTCGGCGGACCCGTGGGCATCTGCTCATCATCGACCGCTTTCCCCTTGGACGAACCCTGGCCACCTCTCTTGGGCTTGGTGTCCTTGGTTGAGTTGGTGAAGACTATGAAGTCATCTTCCTGGGGGGGCTTCTTACTCGGCTTTGCTGGCTTTTTGGAAGAACTCGCTGCTGGCTGCGGCGGAGGAGCCGTGGCCTTTTCCTTCCCCTTTTTGACCATGTTGATGAGCCATGGGTGCCCGTATGTTAGGTAGATGAAAATATGATGGACAACTGAATGTCGGGCAAAGTGGCGCCTGCAGGGAAAAATTAGCTCCAAAAAGAGAGGACCCAGTGGAGGTTAGGTACCGGTACAATCTGTACTCCCTGCTTGCTGCACTATATTTAGGTACATGTACTTAGAATCACTATCAAGCTTTGGTAGGGAGATACAGGTTGAAGCGTCACCCTGCAACATATTTTGGTAACTCCATACCGTACTTGCCTTTACATACTCAGGTACCTTACATATGTAGGTGTGCATTATGTTACAGCAACTCCCTCGCAACGTATAATATAAAGGTGCTTACCTTATTCACATAACATTTACCATTTACCTAAGGTTCCTGAGGTTAGGTAACTACCTACCTTCCTACCTACCTACAGTCTACAGATACAGTACCTACTTTTTACTCAGCACATGTTTCCGCCTAAGGTTGAATTCATAAATTCAATGTAACGAATGAAGTAGATTCGAGTTAGTCCTCTGAGCCAATCAGACTAGCGGCAGAAGTCTACCTAGGTACTGAATGCTCCTTCGTTCGTACCTACCTTATCATAGGCATACAAAAGCTACAACGAAGTTACCTACCTACTTCCTCAGAGGCCCAATCATGTCGGCCACCGAATCAGACCCCGAAGATGCTATTACCAAACAGGAGATCGCTGGCACCGCACCGGCGCCGGAGCCCAGCTCTGCGGGTGTCGGCCGCGGAACGAAGCGCAATGCATGTGAGTTACCATTACCTATTGACCTGCTTAAGGGCAGACACGAGACATAGTTCAACTTTGTTATCACTTCGTTTATTCGCTTTATACCCACTTAACTTAATGGGTGAACAATTCACTTATATCATGGCTGTAACATGAAAAGCTGCTAACCTCGATATCAAGTCGCAGAGCTGATGGGCCCCAAGCCCAAGAAGCTCCAAGAGCCGCAACCCCTAGCCTCAAAGCGGGGCGCGTTCACAGGCAGCTTCAAGGCGCGCGACGGGCTGGGCGCATACACGGCGGACCCAACGTCATTCCCGACGAGCCGGGTCATCTACCATAACGCGTCCTTCGTCGCCATCAACGACTTATATCCGAAGTCAACCGTGCACACGCTCCTGCTCCCGCGCTCGCCGCGGAGCCGTCTGCACCCCTTCGACGCCTTCGAGGACCCGGAATTCCTCGCCGCCGTGCAAGCAGAGACGGCGCGGCTGAAGCGTCTAGTGGCGAAGGAGCTCCAGCGACGGTACGGACGGTTCAGCGCGCAGGACAAGTTGCGCGAGGACATTCTGAACGACAAGGTGGAGTGGGAAGACGGGAAACCGCTCCCGGTGGGTCGCGACTGGGAGAAGGAGCTGCTCGTCGGCATCCACGCCCATCCTTCCATGAACGACTTACACATTCATGTACTATCGCGGGACAGGATGTCCGAGTGCATGCGCCACCGCAAGCACTACAACTCCTTCAACACGCCTTTTCTGATCGACGTCGCCGACTTCCCGTTGGCGGCTGACGACCCTCGGCGGCACCCGGGGCGCGAGGGCTTCCTCAACAGAGATCTACGGTGCTGGCGCTGCGGGAAGAATTTCGAGAACCGGTTCAAGAAACTCAAGGAGCACCTTGATCAGGAGTTCGAGGAGTGGAAGAAAGAGTGAAAGGCTGGCGCGTGATTCTATCCAACGTGGAAACACCGGACCTAAAAGCGCTGGAATAGAGGGTATTGAGCTGCCAGGAATAAATACTCAATCAAGGCCAAGGAATTAGAGAACTCAAATGGTTGAGTTGAGGATTGAGGATTCAAGAGAGCCACATCACAGCATGATGCGACGTAGGTCGTGATGCGCTGTGGGGCCAATACCAGGGGTCCAATGTAAAGTAAATCGTCAGATGCCAGTTCCAAGGTTGACTGAAGCATACTAGAACGCTGCCAAAAGGTTTGACACAAAGTCGGTTCAACGTCTCTGCTAATCGCCGAGACCGCTGCTGATTGATAAGAGACAAAACCTAAAGAAAACAGACTTGCAATTGCTCTTCAATCATACACATAACTTTGACCAACTCCGCCGTCCATGTGTTATCATACTTGTAATTGATTTCAGGGCCGACCATCATTTAACCCCGGATTAACCTTATACTTTTACAAACCGTCAAGCACGATGTACGTTAATCGTGCACAAGAGCAAAGAATCAATCCCAAAACCGCCACCGAGTCATCATGGTTTCCCCACGCCACTTATCCGTCTAAAAGCGGTGGCTAGACTGGCTAAGCTAGGCATTATGGCTCTCGTATTATTGTTCTAATCCTACGGAGGGCGCCGCGGTCAGTCAAAGGATATTTCGGGAGGGGGACTACGCTTGTCTCGTGAAAGCGGAGTATGGGAAGATGGAGGAGAGGAGAGGAGCGGGGGTTGCTACCTCGTTGCTGATATCAACGTTGCCATTGAGAGCATCATCGTCATCACCGACAGCGTCTTCGTCGTCCATTTCCCTATCGGGCGAAGCAGAATCTGCGAGACACGGTAACCCATCAGCCGAAAGCTCTCGGAAATCAATCACATGTGGTGGTGCCATAACGTACCTCCATCACCATTGGCCTCCTCTGTTTCCTCGTCATCTTCCACAGGGGCCTTTGATTTGCGTCCCTTAGTAGCAGAGCCCTTCACGCTATTCTTGGCTGACGCAGCTTTGGGGGTTGCCGCCTTCTTGGGTGTTGTAGTGGCACTCTCAGACTTGGGGGGTCTGCCGCGTCTAGCACCAGTACCATTGGTAGCCGTAGCAGTCTTCTTAGCCGGTGCTTTGGCCGTCGCCTTCTTCACACCTCCAGATCCCTTGGGACGGCCACGAGGGCGGCCAGGAGTGCTCTTCTTAGGTTGAGCTGAAACGCCATTCTTGGGTGGCCTTCCACGTCCACGCTTTACAGGGGTACCGGAGGCTGCTGTTACTGATGGCTCAGCAGCGCCGGTTGCAGTGCCATTTGTAGCGCCGCGCGTAGCTCTTGTGGGCGCCATGACGGGAAATGTGGAATGTTGATGGACAGAGGGAATGAAAAATAAAATGGAGAAAAAATGAGATTAAAAGGCCTACAACACGGTGAAGACCTATATGAAATAGAACAAGCGATCGATAAGAACTAAGAGGCGTGGACGCGGGAAGACTGAAGTATGTTGGAGGTAGGAGAGGGAGGGAGAAAGCCAAGTTCGTGGGTACGTCCCTAGTAATTAGTAGTTGTGGTTGGCTTATTGCGCTGAAGCAGCTGCGCGCACGCGGTTTCAACGCGTACCTGCCCATCCCCACCCAGAGAGCCCCAGTACTTAGGAAGGTACCTTAGCTTGTGTGGGTCGATGGCTCGTGGCCTAAGTACCACCAAGATAAGCGGTTGTAGCGATCATGTACTCCGCACCCTACCTCTTGCACATGGTGGGAGGGATCTGGATGGCTTGCTTCTATAATACATAGTAAACAGGCAAAAGCAAGGATAATTACAAGAATAAATTAAAATTAACTAGTTATAGTTACCTAATTCAAACAATTATGATTCTGAGTATTCGACCTTTCTACGCAAAGGCTTGTTTGTATATCCTCAATCTAACCAGGTATGCTTTATGGAGTGTGATTACTTCTGGGAGCTGCATTTGATACCTACCGAGGTAGATATATGCTGGATCAATCTAGTACTTGCAAAGTATCTTGACAGCTTATATTAGATTCCAAAATGAAGGAAATCTTAACGAGAGAACTTAGGATTACTTAGTACCTATATGATTACATCTCTATAATGCTTAGTAGCTAACGTCACATACACTTCGTTGCAAAACACAGCTAATTAGGTTCCTGATGGACGAGATTACTTATAATATATAAACGCAATTTTGGGCCGCCTTGTTCGTGGACCACTGATTTAAACTATTTTCATGTTCGTTGTTTGGTAGTCGCGTCCGGCCGACACTTCGCCACGCGAGACAACTAGAACTGAAGTGCTAGTTGACTTGCTCACTACATTGTTAATATTATGTGCCTTAGCCAATCGATCCAGGATATAGCAGGATTAGAAAGGCGAAAGGGGGGCTCATAAGGTATGTAGGTAGATTATCGTTCCCAGGATCGTAAATGTCGCGTGTTTTCACAGCATTCAGTAGGCGCTTTAAAATTCGAGCCTCTATCGGTGAGGTAAAGGGTTTGCCCGAAATGAGGCGTTTTATGCCTTAATTTCTGTGATACATGCGATTTTGATAACTGTACAACATGGCCGGCCACCCTGCGAGATGTATTATTTACAAGAATTGCTTTTCTTATCCGAGGTACTTGGCTCTGCACCAACTCAATGATCCGTTTTCCAAACCATGTAATATCATTGTCTCCCAAAAGTATATCTTCTGATATGTCGGCGCAGTCTAGAAATCCCAATTTACTGATTCTACTCAGTGTTCTTGGACTTGGACTTAGCGCTCGCACTGCTCTTCACACGTCGCGCAGTAGGGCGGTTAAGGTGATCGGCGGGGATCCAGCTCTCATCGTAACCCTTGTCATTGCCACTAGCAGTACCTTCGCCACCAGAAAGGGGCTCCTTCTCGAACGCGGGCTTGGGCTTCTTTGAAGACCTAGGCTTCTTGGTCTGAGGGAAAAAGGCTTCGATGTATGTCTTATAGACAAAGTAGCAGGTACCGGCAAATGCGCCAGTTAGGAAGAGGTACAAGAAAATGCTATAATGGGTTTGTCAGCCTTCAATTGAGCGGTACGGGGCAAGTAGTAGTATGACAGTAGATGAATGAGTCTCACATTTGAGGATCGAAGAAGCTAGTAGGAGCCTCAACGATGCTAACAACCTCATCATAGATGCCAACAGAGAAGATCTTGTTGGTGCTGCCCATAATAACACCAATAAGGTGTAGTCGGACATCCTGAGGCTGCATGTCTAGAACGAAGGAGTAGGGCAGCGACTGTTTCTCGCCAGCGGGAATAGTAGCTTGGTACTGAACAGTAGACAGGTTGCGAAGGACGGCTGTATACACAGGGGTGTCGTCGCTCAGTACCTCTGGTTTCATGAGCTGGCCACCAAGGAAGGCGACTTGGATCGGCTCGGGTTCATTGTTGGTGATGTCAATGACAGCCTTGGTTGGGCGGCCGTTGACCAGCTTGACACCGAAGATGTCGGCTTCCGGGAAAGTGGCAACAATTTCAGCGTTCAGCTCAGCTTCCGCGGCACTGGTAGTCGTCTCGTCATCGACAACAGGAGGCTACAGATGTGGTGCCACTAAGGTTAGTCCATGCCGTCTCAATGCGCGCGCGACACCTTGGCATAGCCAAATGAAAAGGACACGAGACTTACAACATCACCCTCCTGAGCGAATACGGAAAGGACGCGGAGCGCGAGAGTAGCGAGGACAGAGTAGCGAAGAGCGACCATTTTGGCGATTACAAAGCCGAGACCAAGGACAAAAAGAAGGAAAGGGGGGGGAGGGAAAAGGAAAGGAGGAAAGGAGGAGAACAAGCAATGATGAGAGAGGACTGTATGACGAGAGATGTGGAGAGAGAGAGATCCAATTGATAGGAGACGAAGCTCTCAAAAAGTTGTGTGCTCAGTGGTCAGTACTGCACCTAAACCCAGCTGAGTGGTGGTGCTATCCGTAGCTGCAATCTGGTCATAAACCCCGGCGTACCTAGGTTGAGCCTCAAAGGTACCTCTCTAGGCTTAATTAGCATTACCATCTACATGCCATGTACATGCGTCCCCTGTCTGGGCTCCGAGAGCAACCCCAGCTTCTCTTTCCCCGCAAGCCACATTTATCCTGTGGCGGTGCAAGTATAGAACATCGAGGTAGAACCAACTCGCCAATAATGTATTTCGAGAAACATCCAAGTACACACGGGCTATTTAGATCACTCTATTATAAGTGATGAAAGTCCTACATAGTTCATAGGGGCCGAGCGGGGACGATAAGGCCGCTGCAGTCACCGAAGCCAACACCGGGTCCCGCGAACCCCGTCATTCGCACGCTGTCGCCATCCTGTAGGTAGGTCCTCTTCTGTCCGTCACTCAGCGTGAACTCGACCTTGCCTCCTCGGGTCATCTCAAGTAGACAACCATGTTCATCGTCTCCCTTGCCCGAGACCGTCCCCGTCGCCAACACGTCGCCTGTGTTGACGTTGCATCCATTTACAGTTTGCTGGGCTACCAAGTCCCGGAACGTCCAGTACATCCAAGAGATATTCGCCTTGCAAACCTTCGTCGTGTGACCCTTGCTCAGGATGGAGGCTTCTAGAGTGATATTGTAGTTTGGTTTTTCTTTCACGTCTTGCAGAAATGCCGTTACTGGCTCGACCCTGTGTGACGGCGAAGCTTCAAAGGGCTCCAAGGCTTCTAGTGTCACAACCCAGGGCGAAATCGAAGTACCAAAGCTCTTGCCATTAAGAGGTCCCAATGGTAGCATCTCGAAACCTTGGATATCTCGTGCTATTTCATCATGTTAGCCCTTGTTCGCGTTAAGATAGACTTCTCGCCATGCAGCCGGATGAGATAGGGCGGGGAAGGGGGTGCTTACCACTCCAGTCGTTGAGTAGCACCAAGCCGAAGATATGGTCGTCAGCGTCTTTCAGCTGCACATGCTCTCCCAGTTGGCTCGGTTTTCCAACAATGCAAGCCATCTGTGTAGAAGAGTGAAAACGTCAGCAATCAATGTCATTGTGAAAGCTGAAAGCATGGGGGCACTTCTTACTTCAAGCTCGTAGTCCAGCTGCTGGCACACTCCATACTCTACTTTATCCCCCACTTTGTATACGCCGCATGGCCTTCGGATCTGCGTCCCGGATACTACGATCGAAGAGGGACGTCCCGAGTATCCCATCGGGGAGTGAGGAAAGGACTCGGGGACCATGCACTTTCCAAAGAGCGCCGTGGACGCATTCTCATTGTGCTCCCTCGAGCAAGAATAGTCTGTGAAGCCGCGCACGTCGATGGGTAGATGAAGTGTAACGCTGTCGATTTTCTTGCCGTACTTGGCCACGTTATCTTTCTCACTGAGACATCTCTGTATGTCGGCTCGCAACAACCTCAACTCATCCTTGCTTTTAGCTGCTAACATGTTGAGAGTAGGCTATGATATCTTAGCGAGTACCTTCTCAGAGACATGGCTAACGCTAACTCACCTGCCATACAGCAGCCTGTATACCCGGGCTATAGTTCAGATCAAGGTCGACTAGGAAGAACACTTTGTTCTCTAGCCTTGTGGCGACGGACTTGCTATGCGATTCGTCACTCGCGATCCCGTAAGGGATGTTGGCGATAGAAAAGTGCTCGGCGTAAGCCATATCTGCAACTACGGTCGAAGAAAACTGCCTCTGTAAGTGATCAATGCTGTTTCCGATAGGGCTTTCTGCGTCGGCTATGTTTATGGCCAGAACTATGGCTACACTCTCAGTAATGCTTGAAGCTTTGGTTTTATTCCTACCTTTTGGGATTCGCCACTGACTTGGGGAGCGCATACCCCGCCTTAGGCAACGGACATCCGAGATACAATTACACAATGCAGCTATGGGTAATGCAAGATTCTAAGATAATGCAACATCCTGCCCCCACGATATGATGTACGATTCATGTTGTGCTAATACGTAGGCGTCTCGGGCTTCCTTTTGACTAATGAAAAGTATATTTGACCTCGCCGGTCTCAAAATGGGTTACATTAGTTGAGTGGTACCGGGGCGCCGGTGTAAAAAAAAGCATATCACTCAATGTAGCAGACGAATGAAATCTAGTCAGAGATACTCTACACCCATTCGTACCAGGGCGCGCCATCCCGTGTCATCAGGCTATCCGTTTCCCACATCGGCCCCTCGGCATCGATAATATACCCAGCAGCGCAATACTCGAAGTTCACACCCGTCTGTTCCGCATAGAACTCGTCGTAACCGGTTCGCAGCGCGTCCGCCAACGTTTCCACGTTCCCGGCCGGATGCAGCTGCTTCCAGGGCTCGCGACAAGTGTCTCCCTTGCACGACTTGAGCACGAAGAGGAGTGCGTCCAGCCGCGACACGACACTTGAAACTGAGCGTCCTGCAATAAGCGCTTCACCTTCCAACGGGGAGCCGTCGGCGGCTAGTAGGTTGTGCAATTGGCCTGGGTCAACCTATGCAGCAGATTTAGTCAATATTTCTCAAATTTCACTTTTGGTGGAAGGAATTGTTAACGAGATGAAGTAGGGACAGCGTACAGTCATATCATAAAGTTCGTGCTCGTTGTTACACCACACCGAGTAATATAGGCTGTACTCCGGACTGGACAACCGGACGGCCTTGTACGTGTGATTTGGATGCACTTGAGGCTCATATATACCCTCGCCTATCGCTCCACCCCAAAACTCGACGTTGACATGCTCGCGCCGTGAGTTCTCGGGCCTCTTGAGCCCCTCAGCCGTCAGCGGGATCGGTCTTCCGTCAAAATCATCCCGGAGTGGGATCCCCAGGAGCTCCAGGAATGTTGGCGCGAGGTCGGTATGCGATGTCACAATGTTGGTCTCCTGGTTCTCAGCTATGCCAGGCCCGCGTATTATTAGTGGCACGTTGATATCTTCCTCGTACCCACACGCCTTCCCTGGCTGTAGACGATGCTGCCCGATGTGGTAGCCGTTGTCGCTGCTGTAGACGAAGTACGTGTTCTCAAGAATGCCATATTCTTCGAGACGCGTGAAGAGTCCGTCAACTAGTTCGTCTACGGCTTGCAGCGAGCGCAGTCGTTGGCGGTAGAAATGGTCGTTATAATCTATGTTAGACTGGTTCTGTTGCGGCAGGTCTAGCAGCCAGTTTGCCCCAGATGGCTAAGGAGACAGCGGTTAGCACTAGCTGTAAGTATAGTATTGGCCTAAATCAGAGTCACTAACCTGGTCAGGGTTGAAGTTTTTCGTTCTCGGGACTTTCACGTCTTTGAATAAATGCTATTGAGGAATCTAGGGTTAGATATTTACCAACAGTGGGGATAAGCCGAACTAACCTCGTGTCGTTTCGCTGGGATAGGTTCAGTGAATACAGACGTTTTATTCGTCTCGGAATAGACAGTAGTGTGAACATTGGCGTGTGGGCCAATCGGCGCAACAGTTAGGAAGAACGGGCTGTTTTCAAGATCACGGACGGCATCGTCCAGAAAGCCGTAAGCCTTCTCAGCCATGACGTCCGTGCTGTATTCTCCCTCATAGCTTCGAGGCGCTTCCTGATTGCGTTGGAATGTGCTATTGAGAAATTCATACGTGAAGGGGTCCAAGAGAAAATCCTATAACCACCAGTCAGCTAATATTCTTGGTATAGAATGCCTTTTGGGCTGCTTCGTACTGAACCTGTGTACCCTCGAGGATACGGGTCGTTGTAATTTAAAACAGTATGCGCATTGAATAACTTCCCGGTGTAATAATTGTTATATCCTGCCTGCTGCAGCCAGACCGGGAAATAGTTATCATTGAGACTTTGATTAACGAATTTAGGGTAACCACCTGTATAACGATATCAGTATGAAGTTCCACCAAGTTAGTTATATGTTAGTTATATATTGAAGCATACCATATGGCGGGCTGACGTCGGTAACATTCGTATTATGGGGGACTCTCCCCGTCCACAACGTAACCCGAGAAGGGCAACATAGCGCCGTAGTGCAGTAATGCTTGTTGAAAGATGTGCCTTTCTCGATGAGATGTTTCCTCACAAACGGCATGTATTGCAAAGAATCTAAGTGCAAGTCTTGGTCATCTGTCAAGACAAACACTACATTTGGCCGAGTCTTGTCTACGAGTGGTAACTGATCAGCGCGAGCGAATCCGAACCCGAGGTTTAGACTTAGACCGGCACTTAAGCCAATGAGGAGCGTTTTCGTAAACCCCATACTGGACCATGGAAACAGCAACTTCACCTTCTCCTGCGATGACTATGAGAGAGAAAAGACATGAGAGACGAATGAATAGCATGAGACTACCGTATTATACAAACCCATATCTCATCCTGGTACAAGTTAAGGGACTCCAGCTCCATCAACTCACCTACCAAGCCCCCTCCCTGCTTCGTACCACCCCCGCCAGCGCACATCATCGACCCCGTTATCATTCTTAGCATCATTTCTCCAGAGAATGTCGCCATCGGGTCTGACCTTCACCTCCCCTTCGTACATTGATTAATCCGAATATGGAGCGAGTACTCCATACTGCTCACTAACCCACATGATAGATAAGATTCCGTTGAAATCTAGTATATCTTTCCCAAAGCGGCACATAATCAGTCTTACCTACGTACTCACCACGATAAGTCCATAGAACCGGTGGACATATTGACCTAGCTATACGGCGCAAATCGGAAATATACCAGTACATAGCTAGCTGCAAGCCAAGCGCGGGAGCGAAACCGAGACTACAGGAATCACGCAGTGCTACCTACATATGACATAGAAAGCGTTACGGAAGCCGCTTTCGCGCTTGTCCGTGACCGCCTTTGTATGACGATATATGTAACTAGGGCTGTTCCTCAGGGCGAGCCACACGAATCAAGAACCAATAGACATAATAGCTGTATCATAACTGCGAGAGCGAACTCGAAACCGAACTTACCAAACCCGTGCGAACAAGGGGGAGACAAGAAAGGGAGAGGATACGCAAGCCTTATTAACTTTAGAGGCTTCTTCCCTTGTGATCCACTCGTCCCTCCTTGTGGAATATCATCCGTATTACCTACCTAGTCATGCGAAAGATAAAGCAGTCACGCAAGCTACTCTCATGCCTGCCTTTCAATAACGACACGTTATCAGGAATTTGTAAAACACAGTAATAATTGGTCAAGGGTATCTTTCATATCGCTATTTCGCCCGGCTCACAATACCTCGATCAGCCAGTGATAAGCTGCCACCAAAAACACCGTAAACGCTAGGTTAGACGCAATGCAATGTCGCTATCCGCAATATTGTCCGGGGGGGTATGAATGATATTTTCAGCCGCCGGCGAGAATATCATGTGCTTTGTGTAATCCCTTACCAACCTCAGCGTCTAGCGAAAAAGATTCTCGTCCGTTTCGCCTAAGACAGATCCATCCCGTCTCCCCAGCCCTCGAGCAGGTCAGCACCACTACCCGCACCCCCTAAGTTGCCGAAGATATCGTCGTCGGTTCCAAAATCAAGACCCCCGCCAGAGTCTGCGCCACCAGTAAGGCCCATGTCGCTTCCTGCATTGCCGAGATTTAGGCTTAGATTGCCGTCGCCGGTCACGAGCCCATCGCCTTGTGTAACTCCCAATGCAGCAGCAGCGTTACCATCCAGATCAAGACCGAGCCCGGTTTGTAGCATCGTCTCTGCTGGTTGGGGCATCATGAGTTGTGCTTCCACGCGTCGGTATAAGCGGACAATATGCTCCGCCAATGCTGGATCTGAGTTTTGGATAATTTTAAAGTCTTCGGCCTCGGACTTCAAGGCTTCCCGCAAAGTCATTCGAGTTTGTGGGATCACGGGGTGATTGTTTGGATCTACGAGCAACGCCATGACTGTCGGTGGTGGCACGTTGGTTGCGTCCGGGGCGCAGATAAGTGCCGTGGCTATGTCGTACATTATGCTACAACCGCTAGCATCCGTTTGTTGTTTGACCTCGTCCAGAATTATGCCTAGTAGTCTTCTCGCCCCTAGGATCCTATGAGCCGCAAGGATCTGGCGGTGTGTATACGAGGTTGGCATTATGTTATTACCCGGTTGTAGGCTCCACTGTAAAAAGCCCTGTATTGTGTGTCGAACTGAAGCAGCAAGACCGCCACTTGCGGTGCTAGCCCATGCCTCAAGTTCGTTGTGGCCCGCACCTGCTGTGCGTCTTGATAGGCGAAGGTTATCTTTGATTGCGTTAAGGAGTGGCTCAATCTCCTGACACTTAGGATCCTGTCTCTGGTAAGACCTCAAGGAATGTTCTAGTGGCTTAGCCACAATGTTGAGAACAGCTGAGAGCATGGTTTGTGCTTCGTCAGAGCCCTTCTTGTTAAGTAATATTAGCTGCAGTATTGCAATAACTGCTTTCTGGTCAGATCTACTTTCCGTCCACAGCTGATTTGACATATATGTGATAGCCACAACCAATGAAGGGAGAAGGAAAGTATCAACTAGGTCTAGCGACATCATTAGCATGAGTAATCACATAAACCAGACGTGAACTTACATTCAACGCCTGTCTTTAGGCTCTCTTCGGCGAGCCACTTTGTATCGTACGCGAGCATTATATTGTAAAACAAGGTCGGCACGAGGAGATAAAAATCCTGAGGAGGGCATGTAGATATGAGTTCATCACCTAAGCCTCCAGTTTCCGTGTCGAAGAGACCTACAATCCAGCCATCTAAATGACCTTTCTCTGAGTCGGTGAGTTCATCCAGTGGTCGGCTGAGTTGGCCCTGGTTCAGTAATTTTGCAATAAAGGTGTCTGAAGATCGGATTCCAAGGTCAACAGCTGAGAGGTTGTAGCGGTACACAAACGCCAAAACAAGGAGAAGGATGGCGCCGAATTCTTCATAGACAGGTTGATATTCCCCTTGATCTTCATCGTAACGCCAGTTGTCTAACACTTCACACAGTGGATGCAGTATAGATGCTGGCCTGCCAAATAGAAGCATCACATCTAAGGAAAGGGGCTTCTGAGCAAGTTGGCTACATAGGAGTTTCAGAGACATAGTCTCCTTGTTGGCGCAAAGACGACCGATCATCTGATAGATGTTAGCACGGCAAAGACTTTGTGATAAACCTATGCTCACCTCAATCAAGGCCTGGCAGACAGCTCCAGCATTACCGTCCATATTGTCTATCTCACGAACCAGTTCTTGAATCCGTTCCGGGTCAGCGATACAACGCTCAACTAGCTTTTCTTTGACTTGTCGACCATCTTGTGGTAAGCTCTGATACGTTATTTCTCCTAGCAAACCCTCAATGCTAGATTCTGGTATTAGACCGTGCAAACAGCATGCAAAACAAAAATCTTGTCGGACACTGTCAGTAAAAGTGTTGTTGTTATTTGTATCATCGAACATGGCAGATAGAGTTGGAAAGGCATTAGTATCGACTTGGGCAAGGGCCTCTGTGATGCAGTATTGGGGAGTCAATGGGGCAAACATCGAGTTTGCCAAAGTGGCGAGTAATAGAGGGAGTTTATTTATCAGGTATGATCGAAGCAAGTGTCCAGTTTTCTGGCCTTCATTTCGAAATACTGCATTGGCGAGAACATCAAATGAGGCTAGAATGAGGTCTATTGTAGTAGTTTGAATATCGCCCTAAATACTGCTTAGCCACTCTTCTTGGAATAGTAGATCAAGGGCCATACCTGGTACCGGTTATGTAAGTAGCTAAAGAGGACGGCATCGTCTATGAGCGGACGTCCGACAAGCTGTCGGATGTTAGCTTTTATTCAGGAGGGAAGGAGAGGGATCCATCCATACCGATGCATTTAGGTAGATATATAAACCGGCTCTCGAGTTGGAAATGGGCAACTCGGGGATGACGATGCTGTCGAGGACCATGGATGATTCGAGGTCGTCAAAGTCTATATTCGAGACGACTTTTTTATCTTTATCGATGGGCTCAAAAGAAGCTAGTGTCTCGGTACGAAAGAGCTCTAGCCGGCTGGCGATCTGAGAAGAACTCTGCAAGATAGATGGAATGAAAGAAGTCAGGCTCTCTGACAGAACCCGTCGCACATCTAGAGCCAAAAATTGGTAAGCCGCCGAAAGCGTAACCTGGTTAACAACGGAGTCATACCTCTGGCAGACGGCCGACTCAAACCACGCAGGGCGAAATGGTTCTCGCAAACACTAAGGAGAAGCATGACGAAAGCGGCACGGGCAGCTTCCATCTCCTCTCTGGAAGTATTATGGAGCTGGCCCATGACGTCCTGCGCAAAAGCTGTGGAGGCAGTAGTGAACATGGTCATCCATCGAGCCATGAGGACGCAAATTCCAAGCGCTTCGCCCGTGGTCTTAATCCCTGATCCTAGCCTTACAGCTTTCGACAGCCGATAGAATAAAACCTCCTCGGGGGTATAGGAGCTCGCCCATCGTAAGGGCGCCTGGTTCAAGGCATTCTCAGTGTCTTGGTCTTGCCCATGTGCGCCGGCAGAGTGCAGATACATCTGAGAAGTCGAATACCTGTAAAGAGCATTCAGGATCGAGGGCGTGTCGACTAACTTGCGCTGGGTCAGGACTTCGAGGTAGCGCGAGATGCGTGGGTCGAGGCTCTCGTGGTTGGAAGGCTGCGGGCGCAAGAAGATGTCGGCAATGAGGACGGGGGGTAGAGGATGCTTGTTGTACAACAATGGGACATAGGATTCGAACTCCTCCGGGTCGAGACGAGAGTTCAGAAATTGGGACAAGTATCTCGCCCATTGGTCCTGCGAGCTAGTCGGGCCACCACCGTGGTGATGGCGAGTCGGGTCGCCAGTTGCCGTGTCATTTCCCATATCCATTTGCGGCAACAATTCGAAGTTATGTTTGCGCAAAGCAGCTCCGTTACAGTCTCTCCTCTCGCATCACCAACAGTTCACAGGTCTTCCACCATGTAGACACCGTGACCTGCCTGCCGGTGGTATGTCAGTATGTCTGTATGTCTGTATGTATGTGTTTGGCGATGGTGGTATCTTGACGGGGGTTTGTTTTGGCGTAGATGAGCTTGGAGCTTGATTATCGAGCCTTCCGATAAGATAATAATTCTCCGAGCTGTCCTTGCCTATTTATAGCACCCAATTATGTCCCTGGCCAGGTACTTAGGTACTGTACCTACTTCACCAGCCAAGATCTAGGTAACCTTTAGTTTTACTTACTTAGAATGGGTAGGTATAGTTGTAAGTGTGAAACAAGATCTTATCATCACTATCCAGGATTCCTATCTAGATTTTAGCTCGAACAACTTCCATTCAGGTATTTTTCGTAGGTTTAGTGTTCGTCTAATAGCAAGCTGAGCATGGCCTGCGGGGCTAGAATGGCTCTTTGATCATTCTATCCCCCAGTAAGTTTTCTACTTAGCCTGCTGGATATACATGTAGGCAGGGTCCCAAATGCGTAAGCAACTTTAAATTGTTACACAAGACTCTAATCTATATCATGATGCAAGCACGGGCCATACAGGGAGGCACCAGGAGCACAACAAATATATTACAAGATTTATTGAACCAGCAATTACTCACACGGCGATTGCTGAACTCCAATTAAAGTTTGATGGAGTGGACAGGAGTATTGACTACCTAATGTAGTAGAAGCACCCAAGGTTAAACTGTACCAACTAGAAAATAGGACCACCTGCTTCTCTCACCATCAACTCGAAAACCTACCGCAAAGGTTCGTGAATAGAGTTTGCTGCCGTCCTTTGCGACCTTTCTATAGGCTGTATTTCCCCTTCCCTTGCTTTTAGGTGAAAGGCATAGTTCTACTTCGGTGATCAGACGGGGGTATAGGGTGTAATTATACTTTAGCTCTCTTAATACAATCTCAGCTCATGGCCTCGGTGATAAGAGCAATGATACGTGTAGACAAATAGACCGCAGGCCGCTGGTAGTGAATCGTGTTATAGGTACGTGGCGGGGGCGCCGATATGGAATAATAAAGACACAGCGTTCGTCCCTTTGTCTTGGCCTTGCATCCGAGGGGAAATTGAGCATCGCCGAAATGGACTCACTCTACGTCATTAGTCATTTAGCTGCTCTAGATCTGTTGCGACCTACCCTTTGACCTTCCTACATGGAACTAGTTTAGGCAAGATCCAACCAGCCCATGCACTACGGAAACTCTGTTGTTCTACCATGGTGTTCCAAGAAATCCCATCTTTTTTGTTTTCCCGAGAAATAGATCAGCTAAATATTTCCATGCTACGTTATGACATAAACGCCGGCTGATCCAGCTGCTTCACGTGTACTGTAAGGTGGAACGATACCAATCAAAGGCAAACCATCAACGTATTATACGTATTATACGTAGATCATACCTTATCGGTTGCGTCGAGGTTGCCAGAATTGATCTAGGCCAACAGTAAGGCAGTTTTATGTAAACATTAATTTCAAAGGTTTGCGTGATACGCAAATCTCATTTCGATTCCTTATAAGTAGGCCAATACTTGAGTCTTAAGTCTGAGGCTGACTAGACCTGAGCCTCCTCAATCATGAAAGACTTCACCCTGGCCTTACCCCTGGCCTCCTACAATCTACTAGGTCGCAATCTCCTGCACCTGCCAGTGTGTTGCTAGACAATCCTCGTCATCATATTAGGATCCCCTTTCCAAAAGACAAGGCCGCCCTACCCAGATTCCCTTATTGCATCATCCCATGATGAAATAATTCTTTATCGTCAAAACACCAAAAGCTTGTTGTACGTCGTAATCTCAAATTGTCTCGAATCCATTCCATAAAAGCGCCATATCCCAAGGTCAATGTCAGGCATCCTCATCTTTGATAATTGGGGGTATATCCTCTGGATTTCTAGGTCCAATCATCCAATCTTGCATCGCTAGCCACTGACTCCAATTTGTTTCTGCACTGATAATTTCATCTTCGGTAACATGTTGGAGCGGCCGTAGGAAAGGGATGGTCTGCCCATCAGGCATGTCGTACTGCGACTTAACGTCGAGCCAGCTCGAGGCCTTGGCAGCGAAGAGGTAGTTTCTTCGCTCGACTTCGTGGAGATGTCCTATCCCGGCTGCCCAGTCATCGCCGAAGAATCCATGCAGGACACCTGGGAAGTCGAATCCAGTCGCAACTAGCCGGCGCAGATAAGGGGTCAGGCTGATGGCCATAGATGCTTGGCTTGGAATAGCAAACTTTCCGGGCGTGGATGAGGACGGCGATGGTATGGCGGACGGCGAGCCCGACGATCTCGACGTGGTAACGGGGTATTGTGATTTCTGGCAGGGGAGTTGTATGTTAATAAAAGCGGCCATCGCCTGGACGGGGCCTTCATGCTGTGCGTGATCTAAGAAGTATCGAACGCACGACTGGAAATGCGGATACCACTGGAGAATATCAAATTGAGAGTCTTGCATGGGAAGAAAGGGATTCGAGGGGTTCCTTTCGAGAGGGAACGATGACAGTGACTGCTGGGACGTCGATCGACTCATGCCCGGCTGGAACACATTGTTACGTGGACGAAAAGACATGGCGCCACTGCGTCGATTATGACTTTAGAGGGTCGTTAATGGTGGCTCAAAAGTCAACAAGTGCTCGATTAGTTCCCCCGGGTTTCGCCAGAAGTCCCGCCTGGGCAAGGTTGTTGGGAGTACGGAGGGCCGGTTTTGTGGGATCGTTAGATTCCCGATATTAAAGAGCCTAATGCCGGTTGTCAGACACAACCCGGTGGGCTTCACGTTTAGCGGGAACACAAATCAACAGCCCCAGCAAGGCCTCTAGGAATGTGCGTATGGAAGTTTCCAGTATGCCGAGACAGTTCAACTGAACAGCCGAAGGATGGGCGACCAGGACTAAAGCAGGTGACAGTTGCGGTGGGTCAGCGAGGTCTTTAATACTCGTCGAATTGGTTCTCGGCTGGTCTCGACATCTGTGGCCTTGACCAATATACTGCGAGACCAACCCTCTTCCAGTTAGGGAGACAACCAGGGGGGAGGAACGACGAAGAAGAGGAAGAGGAAGCTGGAGAAGAAGAAAAGCCTAATAGCTTCCGGGTAACGGAATGAGAGCGAGGGACAGCATGAGAGCAGAAAGTGTTCAAGAAGTCATAATACGCTGGCCGATGTAACCGGGTCACAGCGGCGGTCCCAAGAGCGGATCCACGGGAGCTGAAGGGAACGGGGCTACCGCTCCAATGGTCTCTTATGAGTGAACCGATAGGTCCATGGACAGGTTCATTCACGTTGTACCAGGTGGGAAGTGTGTTCGACACCGCACCAGGGAGAGCCTGAATGTGGCTTTGCGGGGGGTCGATCAGGGCTGACGGGGGCGGTTTGGTACTAATGCGGCAGATGGCCATGAGTGAAATATAGGGGTCCAGGGTAGTTAGTTGCAAGATTATCTAGCATAACATAGTATTGCCATCTACGGACTCTGCCTACCTACCCAGTAGCGACAGAGTAGACGAGCGGCAGACCGTCCGGCGGTGGCGCTGTTACTACCCACTTGACGGGGCGTCCTGGGCATGCAGGATCAAGCCTTTTGAGCTTATTTGGCGGTTTCAAGCACACGGCGTTTCCCATAATCCCATATACCAGTATGTCATACCATGTGACGGCGCGTGTACTTGAAGAGCTAGTTATTTTAGCTGCGTGTGGGAAACGATAGGATAAGAAGAAAAAAAATCACAACCAAAATAGTCTGTAGCCTGCTCATAGGGTTTACCAACTATCTACCTGAGCACCTAGGATACAATTCCTATACGGGTGATCCTGGGCTTAAGATCTTCTAGTAATATGGAAGCGCATAAGTAAACGCAATCAGAACTTGCGCGGTTCCCATGTCAATCAAACGATCGAGGGGGGTTACAAAGGAGGCAAAAACCGCGAGGGACAAACACGGTGCCCGATGTCGAGACTGACTGATATCATAACAGTGCACACGGTAACCTCGTAACCTCGGAGCTGGAACGACGAAGGCAATGTGCAACGGCGTCTGCGGCGAGGCCGGGGAGGGAGCGGGCTAGGCCCTACAATTACCTATCATCTCATTGGTGGCTACAGGTTTGCTGGAGGGACCAGAGAGGGATCCTGGAGGTATACTGGGAACGATATTAGCGAAGCGTGTGAGAGACGGGAAGGGGTGCTACGTGAGGGGATCGTAGAATGGAAGAATCGAGACCGTCTCGACCGTGAGAGCAGGTTGGTAGCGTCGAGGGGACTCGCGTACTACTCAGGATGGCCCGTATGGCCCGTATGGCCTATATGGCCCATATGGAGCATATGGAGGTTGGTCGAGGAGAGGTTGACAGATAGATACATGGGTACTTGGACACGGCAGCTACATCATCATACCTACATATGTCGTACTTGCCTACATGGCGTTACATGCACGCACAGAACGCGCATACTTGAGGCTAAAGTACCTAGCCTTAGATAGCTACTTCCCTACACCCTAGCGCACAGGTAGCGGAACAAGGTGAAGGTCATGTGCCATATCGTACCTCGCCCGGTTACCACAAGCACTGTACCAGCAGTCGCCGTGAGTGCGGCGGACCGGTACGAGCGTGTACAAAGTCGGTGCACATCGCGGCGGACGGCATCGAGTTCGTAGCGGTTCAGGCATTTGATAAAAGTGGTAGCATAGGCGGGTTGGATGAGCAGAGATGAGGTAGGTATGGTTCGCTTGTACCATGTATTGATTGTGGGATAGGTATGTCGTGTGTGTTTAGCGATGAGGCGGTTGCAGATGGACCAATTTGTCGATCCAACAGCCTCAATATCTGCAGCCAAGGTTCGCAAGGGACCGAAAAATCCGACTTACATACTACGTACAGTAGTACGTAGTAAAAATTATTCCACGGACATGTCTTCTCATCGACATGGGACGCGGGACATGGGGACATAAGACATGGGCCCTGCAACGGGGGACATGGGACGGTACAGGCCTAGGTATGTACTTGGGTAAGTACCTACATAAATAGTCGGAAAGGCACCCTTGATAGCCCGCCTGTTGTGCTAGGTATGTACCTATGTTGCCTTCAGGGTTCTGGTCAGGGTGCCCAAGTACCAAGTATCGTGCCAGGGGTTTAGGAGCAGCGCAGCAGGGGCTGCCTCTCTGCTGGGACGCTACGCTGCTACTATGTACATACTTACCGGTACTTACATACATACTTACCTACCTATGTAGTGGCAGAGGAACATAAGTAAGTATGTAGGTATGCGTGTACATACTGTACTGGGCAATACCCAGATGGATACCTACTACGTAGATGGTCTGGTCTAGAAACTCCATTCTAGGCTAGTAGTCAGACCAGAGCGCCAGCAATGTAGGCGATATGGATGCTGGCTGGTCGAAGGCATTGGTCTTTATGGGCCTTTGTGAGATGAATCGGCATATGTAGAGGGTTTCTGACATGCCCTCGGTGCCGTTTTCCGATGGCTGGCCCTAATAGTATGAAAGAAGTGTCTGACCGAGAGAACATATTCATATCTACTGAACTGCCGTGCTACTTCACTTGTACCACATTTCAGGGATATATCTAAGTAAAGAAAACCTACGGAAATACTTAGGTAAACACTGTAAGGCATACTATCTACTATGTACTACGTACCTACCTACTGTATAAGTAATATGGATACAGCGGCTACAGCGCTTAATTGGGAACCTAGTCCCAGTACATAAAGTGCTGTTACGAAGTAGTTGCTTACTTACATCACCATGGAAGTAGGTAGAACAGCTGTTATTACATTACATCTGGTCAATCAAACATTCATGTGCAGATGCGAACTGGTAGTACCAAGCTGTGGCCGCGTATGTACCTACATACATAGCAAAGTGTTGATGTGTTATGTGTTACCAGGTACAGTGGGTTCGATTTGGTGTAACTACATAGAGGCATCTTCAACCCATCTTGACTTTTGCAGGCCTCCCTCCCTCTCCCTCCAGCTTACTCTTACTTACTCCAATCTCCACAATCTCCGATCTCAAAAATCTGCTCCCAAGACGTCCATCCCGACCTCGCTTACTTACCCATCCCGTTACGTTACGAGGGAGCTCCATTCCATTCGATGTAGGTACTTACTTAGGTATGCATTACTTACACTGCCTGTACAATTACGCTACCTACCGGAAGTGCGCTGCTCCCCTCCTCCCCTCATCTCCGCTCCCCTCTCGGCCGTGGCCGGCCAAACCTAGACCGATCCATTTACTACCGCGCCATCGTACCCATGACGATGGGGATAGCTCCATGGTGGGTATAACACTACCACCTAAGTATGATATCGTTGCCTTGGCCCAATACGCCGGTAATCTCGAGTCTCCGGGAGGGTCTCGCACATGAAGGCGAGCCCTCGCGCGCCCAGTCTTCGGACCCGCGCACCTGGTCCTGCTGTTGCGAATTTAACCCTATTACTGCCCTATCTTCTCTCTCCGCTAGTGGCTGGTTTTTCGCCCCCCTCCGCCCCGCGATTTTAGATCCCCTGATACGTTGAGCCCCTTGCACATCTGAGACGAGACAAGACACATACCTGTGAAGAGAGTCCTTCCATCTCCGCCCTGGCTGACCCCAACGGTGCTTATCTGCTAGGGTAACCGTTAAGCAACAGCGGCAGCACAAGACAACAATAAATCATTTATTCCAACCAGGGCAAGAATAGCTCCGAGAGAACACGGTGGTCCATGCGGCGATCTGTAATTCGACCTTTGTAGCTTCTGTACAGTTGCATCGCTCCGTTCATCTTTTACTCATAAAGGTCCCCTTCGTATGCCTCCCTACACGTGTACCGGGCCTGGCCGTCTAAATTCCGTCACAGACGCTGCCCTAAAAACAAAAGCAGGATTTCATGGAGGCGCATCCGTCAACGGTCAACCAATGCGGAAGCAAACACAGGGCTAAGCAAGTATATCACTACGCAAAACGCTTCGCTACCGGCATGCCCGTATTTGCGAGTCATTGCGGCTCCGTGGGTCTGCATAGGATCTAGGCTCAACTAACAAATAGTGGTTCGCTTTCGTTGTGAGAAAGGGAACCTATCGCCTCACGTCTTGGCACGTCGGTTCTTGGCATCGCTTACTTGTCAGTATTACCCGAGAGCTGGAGAGAGAAGGAGGGGTGCTATATTGACGAATTCGTACTGCAAATTGAAGGCAAGCGTGTCCATTCCTGTATGGATGAGTCTCAAATGATCCTCACTTACCGAAAGGCGGGAATTCATAGCAACCTGATTCAATCAAGAGCATGCAATATACCCGGGAGGGTTCCCAAAATTCATGTCAAGACCAGCCTCGCGCTTGTTCAGGGGGAGGGAGAAGCTTCAATGCCGTAAAGTATCACGTCGCTAGACAATGCGTGATGCAATACCAAGATGCGTACGCTATAGCTCCTCAATCAATCCTCTCAGCTGGCGACCTCACTTGGCCAATGCACGTTCGAGGATGCCCGCGATATCTGGAAGCTGAAAAACTTTGGTCAACATCGTGGTCCTCAGCGCTCCCTCTTGAAGGGAAACGGGTCGGATCCACCATCACTTTTCAGCTGTAATAGCAGGCCTCAAGGGAGCTTCCTCGGTCTTATTTCTTATTCGACTTGCCCCTTGGCACAACTTGTTAGGGTATCGCCACACCTTTGCTTTGCATAATTGTGAAAGCAATACAAAATTTCCGAGAAAACTTCAACTTCGCTCCTATCAGCTACCTGGGCTGCCTCTGGTGAAACTGTATACGGCCAACAGGTAGATCACTCTTTTTTCTGGTTATGTAAGGCACTGCTATCTATTCTAGCTTTGCTGTTTTCGGTGGCTTGTAGACCAACGTATAGGACGCATATTGCTCAATGAACAATAGTTAGTTGCTGACGGGATGTAGTTTAACAAGTCAGCTGCCCAAAAGCAATATGGACAAGACAGTATTACACGACCAGTATTTGTCAGGGCGTTCAATTACGTCCAATAATATGATACACTTCAGGAGCTCTACATGGTTAGGATGAGACAACTAGTGTGGGTGATACCAGGTCAGTGGATTAAGTAGAAACTCCGAAACAGCTTTGAAGTCGTTCCTCCGATGTGATGATTTATAATACTTATGTGCTGTGAACACAACCCTTGTGAAACATATATGGAGAGTTAATCTAGTTTAGTTCCCCAGTGACTGCGCATATAGGAGGAGTTGGCTATATCTATCCCATGCTCTAGAAAGGTGAAAGGGGCCACAGTATATGACTGAAGAGCACTGGGGATGATATAGTAGAACACCCAGGATCTACATCCACGAACACTTATAGCTGGAATGGTATATGGAATGCACTGGTTACACTAATAATGTCTGCTTCTCCTTTGCCTATGCAATTTCCCATGCATGAAAATGATCAGCAGCATACTTAGAGACATGGAGAGTAACTGCTAACCTGACAAGTCACCTGGATATTATTCTGCTCACTCCGGGAAAAGATTGACACGATTCACAGACCTCACCTAAGAAACAGCTTCGGTCGATTTCCGTTTTAAGATCCCTAAGGTACTATGTATGGAAGCATGGGCAGAATGGGTCTTCATAGCTTTCGTGCTACTGTGCACGATAGTAGACAAAGATGACCTGAAAGATGGCTGGTTGGAGCGGAAGTGCATGTATAGAATCCATACTACCCACTGCCGAAATGAAGCATCTCGATGTCTCAGTGTACTTTATGTGCAGATCTGCGGCTGGGCACTCACTAGCAACATAATATTGCCCACTTGTGCTGCGATTTTACCATGGTGTTGCATGCGACAATGGACATGGGAAAGTCGATATCGAGGTCAGGAAAAGCATCAGTCTAGTCTACTCTAGTCAAGCAAGCCTGACCTTATCGAGGCTAGGTATTGTATACGTTTCTATCTGATCCTCAGAGCTGCTGCTTCCGGTAGACTTGGCGGTACGACGCGAAACAATAGCTTATCTCATACCACGATCCATCCGGTTGTGGGCGTGTATGTCACCGTAACCAAGGACACCAGTCAGACCCATGCATATCCTGTTCGTCTGATCAAATACACCGGGCCGGTTATTTAAACCAGGGTTTACTGCAATAGAACAATAGGATGCTCTCCAGCTTCTTTTTGAAACATACCCCTCTCTCTATCTCACCTTCCAAGAAACAAATCCCTGCCCACGGACCGCATAACGCGGTGGGATCCCGAGATGAGTGATAATAAATGATTACTCGACAGGGACAGTGTCGAACGCAACATCGTTGAAGAGAGGGGATTAGACAAACGAACAGACAAGCACGTCTGGTATGTAGGTATATCCCGGCTACAGTGTGCCGTCATACACCGAGTACATGTAAGTCGGTACATAGCCAAGTTATGAGTACCGTACCTATCTACGTAGGTATGTGAGTGTGTAGCACCGGTACACTACCTGATGTAAATAATCCCAATCTCATCCGCACCCGGGTCCCAGCGATCTGGGACTGGTTTCATTTCCCTGGAGATCGGATTCGTTATACGATTCGTTAGCGTAGTATCACTAACCTTGCATCTGCTGACGCCAGGTACTTAACTTAACTTGTAATGATTGGGATGAGATGGGATGGGCACGGGGGGGGGGGATCTGAGCTGAGCAAAAAAAAAAAAAAATAATAAATAAACCACAGAACACCCCTGTCGATACCACCTCGTGGGTACCAGCCCTGTCCAAACCCTGCAGCCAGCCGCATGTATCTCCCATACATAACTTCCAACATGGGATTTATTTACTTCTTTTTCTTGATTTTTTTCTGTTTTATCGTCAGCGGCTAGGCTACGTAACATACCTATTCTAGGTAGGTGTATCCCCTGCTTACCTACACGTATACTGTATAGTACATATGTAAGCACTGGTGCCATATGAGGCAAGTGATGACTATGCGCTAGTTACCTAGGTAAGCAAGGAGGTACAGTAGGAGGGCATGCTGCATGGACGGGAACGTGCAGCTGCAAACAGGTTGCCGTGACCACATGATGATGTTGATGGTAACCGCGGAGAGAGAGGTGAGAGACAGAAGCAGGTGTCTTGTTTGCCAATGAAATAGTTGGGATATTGTCCTTCGCCTCACTTCTCTCCCCTGCTTAGACGCCAGCCCACCAACTTCACTCGAGACAGCTCGGTTGTCTTAACCTATCTGAGAAGACGAAGACACAATGAGTAACATGTAACATGCCCGTATCCGTCGTGTTTCCCGTCTGTTTCCTGGTGGGCTTGTACCTAGAGCCAGCACGCGGGAGCATTGCGTCCATGTCGTGCGAGCACATATGTATGTAATGTGTGTTCGATCGATGTCGTATTCATGCAACTCGAGGTACCGGATCTCGTCGCAGGGGTTCGGTGATCTGCATATCTTCTGGTCACGCTGCCTAATGGTATGTGAAGTAACTTCACGGGGAGCCGGATATTGCATGAGCCGGACAGGATGGACGGTGATATGATACCGAGCGTTATGACATCCCTTCGGAATCCGGGGCTGCTGTGCGTTATGTGGCTTAGTTCATGACGTTGCTATGATCGCGAGTCAAATTGAGGTTGTGATAACTATCTTGGGTGTATAGATATCCTTGTGGCTGCAGATATGGCTATGGCCACCATATCATGATCTTATATACAAATGAAAAGACGTCATCAAAACGTCTACAGGCTCTGATAGCGAGGCGGGGAGAAGTACGATATTACCGAAATGATGGAAGTAGAATAGGGGTCTTGGGGGGAAAGCATGATGATAAATGACATAGGGCTGTTATTCGATATCCAAGCCCTGAATGCCACCCAACGCCCCGAACATCTCGTTAATGGTATTTCTGCAGTCTTTTTCCGATAGAGCCGCTTCACTCTTGTATATAACAAGTGCTTCCCGCCTCATGCTCTTCGATTCGCTAAAAGCGATGCACGATAAGTCGGAACATAAGTAGCAGTTTTGAGGCGCCACGCTACGGAATTCTTAATCCGGGGAGCGACGAAAAAAAAAAAAAAACAGACGACTGTGTGGGATCATGGTGGTATGATCGTAACGACCCTCGCATCGCCGCTCATATCCGGTGAAGTTTCAGATATGGGGAACCTTGCGAGTATCAGCACAAGAATTACGGGCAGAAGCTAAACGGTTTTCAGACGTGTCTTGCCTGAGTCAAAGTCGCATAAGGGCGCTTAGATTAAGATACTTTTTGCTGCGCAACAAATTGATGGCTAGTTGGACTCTTATAGATGGAAGATTGCAGAGCGGGATTGATGTTAGTTGATCGCAAAGCCCTGTATACCTTCGTAGATATAACAATAAGCGACGGCCCAGATGTCTCAACCTCACGTTGCTAATGCGTGAGTTGGCGAAAGCGCGAGGGGGGCTGTTACTTGCACACTTAGTTTCTACACATTGCTGATCTTAAGTGTCTCCTCTACTTAGCTCACCTAGGCGGTTGGGTTACGTTTGACAAAATGATGCACTCGTATGTTATATGCCGTATCAAACTCTAGGACTAGCAACTGAACGGTCACCCACCTAGGACTATATTCCCTAAGCATCTAGAACATGAGTGTCAACCCCCTTTAGTTGCGTTAAAGCGATAATGGCTCGTGGTTATCCTAATAGAATCTCGACAGTAGACCTGATCGCAGTGCCTTGTTCCCATGTCTCTGGCCGTGTATATTAATGGTATGTGTCATTTCCCAAAGAGAGAACTCTTAAAGAGGCATGAGGACGTGACACTCATCTTTCCTAAAGGACAGTGTATTTTCGCAAATTTCATACGTTGATATAATTCAACAGCTATGGCATGAATAGGACTTGTAGGCTCATCTACCACCTTAAAAACGTTCCTGATACATAAATTTGAGTGTAATCGGTAGATAAAAGCGCATCAAATCGGAAACCTGTTTAGTTATTGGGGATACCGCACTTCCATTCTTTCATGTCTTCACAATCAAGGATCCTCCCTTGCCATCGTGCGAGGTGGTGATACCTGAGTCATACTTCAGTTGAGAACTGGACATCTAGGAGGCTGTGTATCTGTATACTGCGATATTGAACATTAAGAGCAAGATCTGGGGGCGGTAGAGACTACATATTCTTAGACTCTGGTATTAAGGTAAATAATTGATATGGGATGGTGCGCGATACAGGGAGTGGGACTAGGACTTGAAACTGAGTTTACCCCTATTCTCAATTGCTTCTCAGGATTCAGCAAGGCTTAGACGAAAAGAGAAGCAACAAAACCGGCGGAAGTCGGCCTTGACTATTGATAATAGGAAGATAGAGGTCTCAGATTCGGTGTGTTAAACAGTGTAGCAATGTTGTTGTTAAATAATTCTTCCGTATCTAGGGGTTGTAAGATTAGAAGTCATGAACATCATGAGTTGAAGCAGGATTTGGAACTCATGAACGTTAGGGGAGATGAGACTTACCTATCTCGAGAGGTCAAGTGTTCTTTCCTATCAAGTCGAGGCTCTTTTATTCTCGATATGGCAATAGGTATGCATGATATCTTTCGAAAAGACACCTTGGTACTAGCCGGTTGTTCACAGGAATAACACACCACAGTCGAAGTACACAGTTCAAGACCCTGGGCTTCACATGAGATATCATTCGCTGGCTCCGCACTCCGAGGTGTCGTTTTCGTCGTTGCTCGGCTCGAATGCGCGGAACCTGATCATTGGGCTGTGCCAGTGGCGGCGTGTGTCGATTTCATAGTAGACTGAAACTACTAGTTCCGCTGAACCACCTATCACGGGCATTCTATGACACAACTCGGTAACGTGTCCCTCTCGATCGTTATACTCGTCAACGACCAGAAAAGATTTGTGCTTGGTGGGCATTCCTGGTCGTGCTAGTCGTGCTAGTTCTATCTCGACGGTGTATCGCTCTCTTTTATCGTGGCCTAGGGTAAGAGACCACCATTCACGTTTTGGTGCAAAGTAAAGGCGGTAACCAAAAACCTTTTTATCCTCCCTGCCGTCGTCGGCGTCTTCATTGCCCGCCCTGAATTTAGTTGCTGAGTTCAGAGTCCATCCGTTGCCAAAAGTGATACCCGACTGGACTTCGCGCGAACCCCAATTTGCGGGATCTCGGAGGCGCTTCAAGTGTGGCCTCGTGGACTGCAAAGCCCTATTAAGTGATATATGGCACTGCATGTATGGCCAGTAATAGACTGTTTCTGGTGAGACGAAGCGGTATACAGGCAGAGGCTCGGCTAATAATTCGTCATTAGCCACATGGCACATGAAATATCTTGCAACAAGTTGACCATCCGTTCCGCAGCGAAGCATGCCCAGGCAGAGAGACCTGTTGCTGGACCTTAGAGTGTCAAACATGCGATTTTCAATCATCTTCCGGTCGACTGATTCCGCTTCGACCTGAAATATTTTGTTCCTAGTGATGGTTATGCTTGGTGTGGGACCATTGGCGAAGGCGATTTGGACAATCCTCATAGGCACTGTAGTTCGCCGGAGTTAGCCATTACTCTTTCGGTTCGGATGGGTGTTAACTAGAGCAATTCGTATGCTGTCAAGCTACACTCATCATCCAAAAAGTAATGTTTCGTCTTTCTTCAAAGTTGACATTTAGAGGGGTAAATAACGCTAAGGACGACATACTCGAAATCACATCTCCTCTCAGTCTCGGGTCTTTCCTTGGATCATTCCTTGGCCACAATGCAGAGTTATCCGAAGACTGTCGAGTCACCAGTCGATCGGCAGTGCTAGGTAACGGAGACATGTTGACTAAGGACTCGTCAAATAAGTTCCCTGGAGTGACTAGCATTTGACTCTCAGTCCGCATATCTAGATAGGTAGGCGACAAGACTGTCGAATTTCTAGGGGCCAGCCCACCCAAGAAAATCGTATCGTCCTCGATGGTGCTTAAGATCTCCTGATGAAGCCTCAACAGTGCCTTATTCCCTTCTCCGTATAATAGAGGCATGTTGATATCAACTTTGAAGGTCAGTAAACTCAGACTGGAGTGGAGGGGTTTAAGGGGTATCGCAAGCTTGTAACCAATCTGAGGCTTGACAGGAACGACGCTTAAGAACTTACAAAGACCGAAAAGAGAATAGGCTCTGTCTTCGATTCTGGTTGTCTCTCTTCCAGTAGCCCATGACATACGTGATGCGACGGAATAGTTACGTCTGCACGGCGAGTCCAGGAGGACATTTTCTGGAATACGCGTCCTCCCTTTCAAGTCCGGGGCTAGGCCTCTCTTCGTGCCTAGCTGCTTCCATTGTCGATCGTAGATAATAACTTCATAAGGCGCAATGAGTTCTTGCAGGGTCCATCCTCGAGTGAACCATCTGGACATTTTCCAATCAAGCTGTTCAGCGGGGTGTTGGGAGTCCGAGTCGGAAACCCCCACGTCGCTTAGATACGCATAACATGTCGTCGAAAATTCATACCATCTAAACATAGAATTGATAGCTGGTCACGGGGTCATCAGTGATGAGCGCCATGTCCGGCTTGAGCAAAGAAACACACCTTCAGAAAGTTCGGCGCTACTCGTCTTATCGATGCAGCAGGTGTCTACCCAAGCCCAGTTCAGTCCTTCACCCCGGGCTAGTTCGCAGCATTTGGCGATTTTGCTAAAGCCTGCTTTTTTCTTGGCGACTTCGATATGTTGCATATCCCGAAACGTCACCTCGCCCTCGCCCCATGTATGTGAAAGAATAGCATATCTGGGGAATCGGGGATCGTTAGGCTCCCCCAAAAATTCTTTCAGCTCAAGAGACGTGGTGTTAATGAGCCGCATGGCGAAAAGCCTCCTCTTTCTTCGCTTGCGAGCTTCTCAAAAATTCAATTACCGAGCGGGAGAACACCCCATAGGACGGGTGCATCTATCGATGTGACGAGCAACCATCCCGTCCCGCGTCGCAGTCGTATTCCGGGTTGCTGACAAGATTACAGTTGTACCGTGGATACCGACTGTAGTAGGCAATGATTCTGATTCTAGTAGCTCACGCCAAGCCTTATCATAAGTACTAATTTGTACATTCGCTGCGAGGGTTTAGGTATTCTGTCACCGCCTTTACCGTTCTGGATTGCTCTTACTACCCTCAGAGCCGGCGTTGTTCTTGAGTGTCCCACTTGACTTAGTCGAACTCTAGTGAAACATGAAATGTCATAAGCAGCAGCATCGTCAGCAGCATGCGAGAATCCTCGTGCTTACCTTTCAGGCATGATTCTCGGACGATCTGACGAACAGCCATGCTCTAGGCAATGGTACTAGAATGGATCTAGTAGGGACACCACACGTTAACATGTACACATAGCATAAATAACCATACTAGATATGGTTTGGATACATGATTTACAGTGGTGACGATATATCGGTCCCGAGTTAGTCGCAAATTGACGTGTACCTGACTACATACATAGTAGTAGATGCTGACACTACTGGCTTGCTAGATAGCCTTTACATAGTAGACAGCTGATCGATTTTGTTCGTAACATATCCCTATTTTTAACGATACTTATACGATAGCTCTTAATAGATCAATTAGGTCAGATGAGTCATTCGCTCCACACCGATCAAGAGAGAGAGGAACGATAATCTCTTGAAGGAGCAACGCGACAGCTTTTACGGCTTAAAACAATACTCTCGCTGCATACTATGTAGTACTATGTAGTGTAGATACAGCAGGCCTACGAGCAGCAGGGGACATTCATGGGCACCAAGACTATACTTATTATATGTAAGAGGCAGATTGGCTTCCATTTGTTGATGGTACCTTGTCCCAGGGCGGGTAGTAACGCATCTCATTCTAACGTAATCGTGTGGCTGTCTAATTGGAGAACGATGCCCTCCCCCCATCTGCATGTCCCTGTCCCTTGGTGCGACAAAGGCCGAGGCAGGCTCTGAGTATCGAGCTATTTGATTTTCAACTGCATATTATGCATCCATTGTAGGTCTAGATAGATGAAAAATCGGTCAACGAGAGGTACAGCAAATGCATCTAGTTGGCCTTCGCTTCCCATCGGACTCGCTATAAGTATGCAATATGCTTCATCAATGGTCAGATCAGGTCAGCTGTTTAGTCTAGAACGGCGAACACCACCAACAACGGCGTTCTAAGAATAGAAACAGCGCTCGCTTCGGATCTCGTCTCACGCTCACCCAAAGCAGTTTCGTTCGAGGCACCAAGCCGCGAGATAGTCGTTCTCTCCCCCCATGTGCGCGCGAACGTATCCTCCATGGTCGACATGGCAGTTGGGGAGTTGGGGGGGGGTGCAGTGCAGTCAATAACTGGCAATTGTTGGCCGACCACACAGCTTCTAGTGCCAGCCCATAGCTTTCTTCCCGGCCTGGTGCTGACACTGCATGGGTTGGCTCTCTCCTCATTGGCATGCCGCCGAGGATCTTCTCCATGCTTGCTTAGCCGGGACACTTCTGAAAATCTGACATACCTACCCAACGGAGGCAAAGCAGTGTCCCATCAATGAACACTCGAGACTCTCGAGCGGGGTGTTGCTTCAGCTGACAGCCTCAACGGGAAGGGCTCGCGATAGCCGAGTCCGGCAATAAGCAGCAGCATCATCCGCGTTTTTCTTCCTACCAGACCTACTCCGCTACACGAGTACCACTCTTAAGTAATGGCCGGCTGCCGTTGCTGTTCCTCCCTTCCGCTTCTCGACGGCTCTTTCTCCCTCCCTTCCTCCCTCCCTCCCTCCCCTGATGGACGAATGTGCGAATGATGGCACTCGTGCTCCGATTGACTACCCTGAGCTATGTGGTAGCGCACGCTAATGCCCGGCGGTTTCAGATGGGTTCAAGTGCGGGGGACTGGGCTCCGGTGACACCTACCGTTCAAGTTTCGTCCACCTTGCGCCTTGACGAATGGATACCGAAGACGACTTCTGCGCCCGAAAGGCGGCCGTTCGATTGGGAGCTACGGAGGAGAGATGATGCCAAGTCTGCAATATGTGGTTATTCCGCGGATAACCTCAACGGTATGTTGACGCCAGTCGGCTGGTTCTCTTTCGCTTTTTGAAATCGATTTGACTAACTAAATATGTCCCCCCAGGCCCAGCCATCACTTGCGAGAGTGGGGAGTTCTGCAGGCTGAACAGCATTCTTGGCATCGTAGGTTGCTGTACAGAGACAAATCCTCGTGGCTGCATCGTGCCCACGACTTGTCTGGAATCTTCAGCGTCAGCGCAATGGTCTGGAGACCCCCTTACGACATATTGGTAAGCTATCCAAAGACGGCTGAGTCCTCTGTACCTGCATGCTGAGCGGAGAAAAAGCAGCGACTCGGATCGCCCGCATTGTGTAACTCACTCTTATGAGGCGAATTTCTGGGAACCGCTGTATGGCGCGTACTATATAGGATGCGCCGCTAAGTCCGCCACTGGTGATATTGTGGCCAGTCTTGTATCAGGGAGCGATCCCACGACATTATCACAATCTACTTTCACAACTACCGATGGTGTCATTACTACGACCGTCACCGTAAATGTCCCTGGTGAGAATGGATCGCCCACAACGGCACCTGATGGAACCACTGCATCAGTGAATACCGGCGCTATCGCCGGCGGAGTAGTGGGCGGCGTCGCCGGTCTCGCCTTAATTGCCGCTGCTATTTTCTTCTTCTTATATCGACGGAAAAGGCGGCCAGAGATTTCCAATCCTCTTGGTCTGGGGCGGAAAATGCCACCTAGCGATAAAGATATGTATCACCACAATGACCCGATACCAGGATCGCAATATCCGTCAACTTTCTATGGCGAGGCCCCTCCCGGTATGGCTCAGACATCGGACCAACCCATAACAACATACCCATCAAATGTTTACGGGGTGCAAGACCCGATATATGACGAAGGAACTAACAACAGCGCCGAAGTGCCGGCGTACTTTGCTCCGCGAGGTGCCTCCTCTAAGCCCCGAGATGAAGATGTATCACCACTTGAAGAGAGCCCTGTCAGTCCCGTCAGCCCTGCTGACAACTACAATACTATGGTATCAGCGCTCTCCAATCACTCACCACCTCTACAACCCCTCTCACCGGCTGTACACCACTACCATCATCACCAGCAATCCGAATACGCTCAGTTCAGTCCGCCAGCGCCAGCGCAATACCAATCATACCGGCCATATCCAGGAACATGACATCGGGAGGGTATTTAATGGCATTATTTTCGGAGGTATTTTGAGTCGATCATTTTATGTATTTTTGTATATATCGTGCGTTCTTGGCTCCGGGAGTTAGGGCGTCGGAGTTTAAGCGTATGATACCTAAGGGTGAACTGCATTCAAGGAGGAAACTACAGATTGGAATGGCCGCCGCACACATTCTACTAACTACATATATAAGGATTGAGAATATACCCGCTTCTCTCTCCCTTGCCTGAGAGAAAATATAGTTAAAGACGGTTAATGGCTGTAGAGACGGTCCACTCTGAAATGAAGGGTGGATTTACCTACCACTGCTCTAGCAATTATCTCCATTGCTAGAAAAACTGTAAAGTAAACTGTAGACGTAAATATGCCACGGCCTGTCTAGATTTTTTTTTTCTCTGCTATAAATTGCTGTGTAAGTAGGCGACTATATATTTGAAAGGAATCTAGAAGTCACAGAAATGAGTGATAGCTTGATAAGGTCCCGAACCCCCACCTCTTTAGATAGCCCATCAGATGCTAGCCTTGGATTTTATTTCCATGATACCGGTAGCTGCCAGCAAGTTTCAGATCAGTAAGGCTTTCACTCAAATTGATGCGGTGACAACCTCTTTTTCCCATCGCTCTTATCGGCTTAATTCATTTCCATTACAGACCCTAGATCCATCATCACCAAAACCTTGAGTCGGGGAGTTTCTCATGGTTCTGGTGATCCAGGAATAACACTATGACGACCTTACCAGATCTTCCCGCGAACTTCGCCGCGGCGCTGAAGCTCATCGACGATGCGCACGGCGAAGACCCCAAGACTCTTCCGGGCGCAGAAAATGGCGAGGAAACAGTACCCAACGAGCTGCATTACGCGCGCAAGATGACGCGCTGGCTTGCGGTGCGGTGTCCAGATGCATCGCCGGTATTGCAGCTTGCGTGCCGGGCGCAGCATTTCAGGAGGTGAGTGCACCTATCTAGGTTAGTCGTTTAAATGAGATGCGGATTCCAAAAGTTGAAACATCGCAAAGTTGCATCGTCACAGTAGTATGCATACCTTGGTACATACTATTACGTGTACTAGAAGTCCCCTTATCAAGAATAACATGACAACGCGGATCTACTCAAGAATCACAGCGGCTGATAAAACAAACTGGGGATGAAAAGGTGGGAGATCCCCCGCGACAGCTTTCCAATGACGCGCCCTGGCTACTTAACTTGGCGCGCAAAGCAAAAGACACAAGCAGCGGAGAAAATCAAGACTCTACTCTCCACACTTCCGTCACTGTCGCTGGAACTCCCGACGCAGGACATCGAGCGCATCGCGGCGCTCGTGAGGAAGGAGAACCTCTCTGCGGACGCTGAGACTCAGGTCCTCGAAGACACGGCATGTCTCGTCTTCCTCGACGACCAGCTCGACGACTTCGAGAAGAGAGAAGATGTCGACGAGGACAAGATGATTAACATCCTGCGCAAGACTTGGGCCAAGATGTCCCCACAAGGCCGCGAGATCGCACTTGGTATGCAGCTTAGCGAGCGCGGGCAAACACTTGTTGGAAAGGCGCTTGCAGGGTGAGGAAGGGGAAAGATCAAGGTGCTAGTTGAATATTCCTAAGCATTGAGGAATTCGCGTTTACCAAGGTTGGGATTATTTATGAGCACGATGGGCGCCATCTGAAAATTTCAGAATCAATAGATCATCAGCAACTGCTCAGCTAATATGGCAAAGTCGCTAGCCGAAGCAGAAACAACGGCAATAAGTATCCTGGGGTAGGCTATTGTTCTCCGAGTCGCTGATTGGGAAACCCGACGATCGTGGGGAAAGGGGACGCTGTACTTCGTAGAGAGAACCAAACAGTGGAGAAAAAGTCGGTGTCTTTTCCGCCGACTTACACGATACCGACCCAATAGAGCGAGAATGATTACTTATCAATGTCCTCGTGTTACGTGTAACTGGAAGGTTACCTCATCTTCATTCTTTTCTTTTGCTATGCCGCGTAGATATAGTCACAATTGAGTTGCCGAGTGAGTCGCCTCTTCACGAAGGTAGAAACATCGCTAGGACTTCGAGATGAGTGCTAAGGATACGTTAACCGGTCGCCCGATCAGCGTCGAGGAGGTCTCGGCACACCAGTCCCTCGACGACCTCTGGCTCGTCGTGGAAGGCGTGGTATACGACTTCAGCGAGTTCGCGCCGGAGCACCCTGGTGGCGTGAACGTATTGCTCCAACACGCCGGCCGTGACGCAACAGCTGCCTACCTGGAGGCTCACTCGCCATCACTCATCCGCACAACACTACCACCGTCCCGTAGGGTTGGCATCCTAGATAGATCAACAGTAACGGAGGAATGGACACGGCCGCCGCCGACAATGGAGAAACCGCCGACGAAAGTGAAAGGCGCCAAGCCCCCGCTTTCGAGCCTCATCAATGCGCATGACTTCCGGCTTGCCGCCCAGCAGAGTTATACCCCAAAGGCGTGGGCTTTCCTGACCTCGGCGGCCACAGACTGTCTGACGTATGAGCGGAATAGCGCCACATACAACGACATTGTGCTCCGGCCGCGTGTGCTGCGGGACGTCAGCTCCGTAGACGTCAGCACGACGATGTTGGGGCACCGCATCACGACCCCCATTTTCATCGCGCCGACTTCCATGGGGCGATTATTCCACCCCGAAGGCGAGCGCGAGCTAGGCCGCGGCGCCCAAAGCCTCGGCATTCCGCAGTGCGTGTCGACGAGCTGCTCATACCCGTTACCTGAAGTGATGGACGCCGTGGAGGAGACCAAGAGCGCCGATGGGACGAACGTGCCTGTTTTTTTCCAGCTGTACGTCGACAAGGATAGGCGGAAGTCGGAGAAGTTGCTACGGGTTGTGAAGGAAAGAGGGGTGCGCGCCATTTTCGTCACGATTGACGCCCCTGTTATTGGAAAGCGGGAGGCGGACGAGCGTATTAAGGCTGACGAGAACATGATGACGCTCCCCATGTCCGGCATGAAGGCGAAGAACGATAGCAAAGGCGGCTCGCTGGGGCGTATCATGGGCCACTTTATCGATGCCTCGCTCACCTGGGATGACGTCGCGTGGTTGAGGAAGACGGTGCCAGGCCTGCCCATCGTGTTGAAGGGGATTCAGACGGCTATGGACGCCGTCAAGGCAATGGAGGTTGGCGTGGAGGCCATCTATATCACAAATCACGGAGGGAGAAGTCTCGACACGGCACCAGCCACGATTCTAGTCTTACTGGAGTTGCAGAAATGCTGCCCACAGATCTTCGACAAGATGGAAGTATACATCGATGGTGGCATAACGCGCGGGACGGACATCTTCAAAGCGCTTTGTCTGGGCGCGAAAGCCGTAGGAATCGGCCGGGGTTTCTTGTTTGCTTTGAATTACGGAAAAGAGGGCATTGAGAATTTTGTGAACAGTAAGTCTCTCATTATGTCCTTGGTTTATGCCAAAGTTTGAGTATTACGCTAACTTGCATCAGTGTTGACCGACGAGCTGGAGACGACGATGCAGCAATGTGGAATCACGAGTCTGGACCAAGTCCATCCTGGTCTGCTACATACAGGCGCCGTTGACCATTTGGTTCCGGGTGGAGAGGAACACCCTTATGCTAAATGGAGACCCAGAAGCAAGCTATAGATTGTTGTCTATATATTTAGACATAATCATTATATTCCTAGTTTGATATTTAACAGCTTCCTACAAACTACACGGTGAACAAGATGGGGGGGGGGCTAATAGTATTACAGAAACCTTTTTAAGATTGTGTCGTATATCTAGCTGTACCTAACCATGTTATCGTCACCATTATCGTCGCCTAGGAAGCCAGGGTCTCCATGAGCAACCATGTACACGGTCAACGGTACCCGTGCTATCAATGTTTGTTGACACTTCACCACACTTTCGTTCCACAGTACACAAGCGAAAGAACACCCAGAACCAAGTTGATTCAGGTAATCAGTACCTACATGTATATCCAACTTCTGAATATCACCTGCCCAGTGCATGTCTAATCTATGTACACGCAGCTTTTGTGTTCTAACGCATTACTTGCATAAACCTACTCCTCCACGGGCATATCTGAGACGGAATCCCCCGCATTTTGGATTCCCTTTGTGTCTTCACATCTCAGTCCCATTTGTCAAGATCATAGGTGGGTTGACAAGAAGTCATACGTCCTTACAATCTACTTACACAATGTCAAACCAATTGAAGCCAAAGAAGAGTACGAATTCTTTTCATCACTTCCGTCAGGTGATTGCTTGACAAACACAGACAATTGCTAACAATCATCTCCGAAATCATAGAGGTCACTTTCCTAGACGACCACCCTGCTTGTATGGGCATCTCTGACAACGAATCGACGTGCGCCGTTGTCGGATCCGACAACGAACCAGACAAGGCTATTTCCGCCGTAGCAAGAATCAAAAAGAAAGACAATTACGAGGAGGAGATGCCTGCGTGTAACTCTACCGACGATGCTTCTGACACTGATCTTGAGTGGACGCGAGCGCATGATGGTCTAATCTGCGTCCTGAAATCCCAAGGGAACTCGTGGGTCCCATCACACTCATAAACGTTTTCATAAGCTCATCGCTAACACAAGTAATCCCAACCCAGTTGGGCCGAGATAGGGAAGGTTGTCAAGCGCAGCAGAAGAGAATGCCAACGGCGCCACCGCGAGCTCTCTGCCCATGCAAAAGGGCTAGGTTTCACTACCGACAAGCTGGCGAAGCTGTACATAAACGACTATGATGCGATGGCTCAGCCCAAAGCCAAGAAGGGCAGCAAAACTACGAACAAGTCTAAGGACAACAACGAAGAGAATGACGAGAACTCGGCGTCGAAGGGCAAGGGGAAATCAAAGGAAGATACGTCGAAGCCCGCCAAGTCTGAATCAGCGACAACGAGTAAATCGAAGAAAAGAAAGGTTACGGTAACATTTGCCTCTTCTTCGTCGGACTCGTCGGACTCGTGTTCAGAAGCTACCGACGACGAGGCACAGGAGTATTACGAATCGCGCCGCTACCAGGCAGACACGGTGTACGCCCAGATGTACCCGGACCAGAAGACCCTCAAGCCAGACCGCTTCTACAGCGAGAGCGACTGCCGCGTGCTCGCGGGCCTCGAGGCGCGATATCGCGCCAACAAGTGGTTGCATATCCAGGCTGATTTTTGCAACGCCACGGGCCGCATGGTGGAAGCGGAGATTCTGAAGGCCAAGTTCGACGAGGAGTAGATGCGAAAGCCTGTTTGAGGGGACCGAGAGAAGGAACGTATCTTTGAGTTGTTTGGCTCGGCTTGTCCGTGTAATTGATCGTTTACGTGCCGCTACTTCCCATGATATCTTCTTCAGATGGCTGGAAGATGTAGAAGCCTTTAAGCTTCTAGGTTTCATAAGGACCTTCGTTAGTGAAATGATCAGTTGTTGTTGCGAATATCACTGCTCTTTTTGAACTGGATTTTATGTCTCACTTTGTGGACCTTTTGGAGTGTTACTTTGAGCATCTGGTGAAAAACGGTCCCCTTGAAGAGGCGATGGCGGAGAAAAATTCTCTACAAGATAGAAAGAAAATTAGTATTGCTCATTGCCTAATAATCCCTGGCGTCTACAACGGTCCAGTTCAGATGCTCTCTACTTTATATTGATATTGAGTCCACCGATATACCGAAGTCAATGTCAAGCTCGCTTGTATCAACTTTGCCAGATGAATTCCATGTCTTTTCTCTGGCTAGAAGTTCACGAGTCCATTACAACGTGTTGCTACCAAATCAATCCTGCCAATGTCCTTGCTTGGCCTTAAATGGAGTGGTATGAAAAGAACATCGCCGAACCCGTTTCAATCAAAATCGACTAATACCATGAGGTATCGAAACGCCATTACCAATAGGAATGTAAACCGTGTATTATTTTCACAATCCAGACTAGTATTAATTAAGAATACAAGATTTGATAATTATCAAGGCTTCCCTTAATATCGTGTATCATTGTTAATTGGCGATTAAACACACCACTGATCAATAAAACTTTCTTACAATAAGAAGGCAACAATACCTCCAGCGGCGGCGGCACCAGCTGTAGGAATTGATGTAGGATGGGGCGACATGTATGAGCTAGAAGTCGAGGTGGTGTTACCGGATCCAGTCGGTTTGGGGGTAGAAGGATAGGAAGCTGTAGGCGTAGTAGACATCGAATTACTCGGCGGAACAGAAGAAGGCTCGACGACCGGCCCGTACTTATCACACATAGCTTCCTCTGCAAGCGGACAGGTCTCGTCAATGCAGATCGCTTGTAGCTGGGCACCCTGCGACTCGATGACGGTGGTGGGTGGTGCGCACCGGTAGCCGAAGAGGGAATTGAGCGCCGTAGCGACAACTTCGATATCGGAGTCTGCAACACCGAAAGACTGTAGGATTCATAGTCAGAAGGTGGTTTGTGTACGAATATGGGAGTTATTGGATACCAGGCTACCTAAGTAGCTATAGACAAGGGGTATCAAGTGAAAGGTAGGAAGGTTTAGAGAGGCGCGTGTCTAACGAGACCATCACTCACAGAGGCAGCCAGACCAACCTGGCTAATGAAGTACCCAACTTCATACGGGTCCAAGTCCATGAACTTATGTACTTCGTACATCGAGGCATGGCCCTCATATGGGTCGAATCCTGGCATCCCTTGCTTCGAGCAACCTAACAACGACCCGAAGAACTGGTACAAATGCGTGAGGAGGAAGCTACATATGGTTAGAGAATGCCCCTAGAAAAATCACAGATGATTTTGTTGTCCGGGCTTACTATTGCGCTGAGCTCTCGGTGTTGGCAGGCTTGTTCTTCTTCAATGGTTCAGCACCGCCTCCATCGAGGAAATTGACAGACACCCCGCGACTACCGCCACGATTGCTGGAAGCGAGCTCTCCGGTGAAGTATGGCAAGAGGTTGACATCGGTGGCATTGAATTTTCCCGGTGCTAGGATACCCGGCACTTTTACGCCGACATTGGGTTCTGTATCTAGGCAGGGTTATTATGGACCGTGTTAGGAATGAAGAGGCTGAGATACTTACAGTTCCCAATTACGACGGTATTGACAACAAGTGTCAGCAGTGTAGCCTGGTTATCAGCCGTGTTATCTTTGAGCAGAGCTGTCGTGTAATAGTCGCAGATCGAGGTGTCCTCGGGGCGCTGGGCCAGTGCCGTACTGGCAATAGCAAAGGCGGCTGTCTTGGAGAATCTCATGGTTATGTGGTATTACGTTGTATGTAGAGGCTAACAAGTTTGAGAGGTCTTGAAAGAACAGGATAGTAGACGGGTGTCATGATCTTAAGTATCTAATACCGCCACCTACTGACGAATACACTGACTCTACGAAAATCCCAACGCCACTATGTACCCAACCTTCCCATCACAGTCTAATCTAAACAAAGGCAATACGTAGAATGAGGTATAGCGGGAGTTGATGTCGTCTTAGAGGGATTTGAGGTCTCGGGAAGTATGAGACCCGATGACTAGCGCCTCGTGACATTACCACTTGTCACCACAGTCAATAGTTCACTGAACTAGATGAGATTACAAGTTTTGAAAACAAATTGCTGGTTCAGACGCTGGTTACCTAGGAATCTATATGAAAGAATCATATCCAAGCAGCCTATGAATCAAAATTTATACAATTCGACATCTCCAGCAGATCACATTGCTCACAAGACCTGCTATAAACTATTATTCACTGGAGATAGGTGAGTAGCATGTCACGATAGAAGATCGTGGGAATGAAACAAAGGACAGCCATATAAAGTAGGATAGGTCTACCAGGTAGCTTGTCTTTCTTCGCTTGAATCAGATTCATTTGCACATACAGCCAATCACATTGGGTCAATTATTAATTTCCCCACGAACCCGTGGAGAGTCAACAATCATCGAAAACGGCTGTTGAAGACATCGGTAGCTCATCCATTCAAGCCTTAGCGTCCGTCGATGCAAGTAGTATCCAAGACAGATCGTGCTAAGATCAGCCGGAAGGCTGAATAGCCGGCGGAGATGTAGCATTCCGCCAAAAGCTAGACTAGACTCGTCTATTATTGTTTGTACTCAATTTCCATGACGCCCTTCTGTCACCTCATGGCACTAATGGCAACGAAGCCAAAATCATCTCAATGTATCTAATAAGGCATATTGCCATTTATTATCTGTAGGAGGTGATACGGTGGTATTCATCATGACGTAGTTAAGCAATTTATTAAAGCTCTATTACATGGCTTCTAACAATGTATACAGTGTTTCCAGCCTTGAAAAGGAGTATTGGGGTGATTTGGGAATGTGGAGGTAGTGGTTGGGAATTGAGCTCTGGTGATTAGGGACGAGGTCTTATAACACTCTTTGTTTTGGAATGATTGTACAAGAATATAGGAGTTATTTCGCCGGCCATAAGGTTCTTTTTTATTGACTTTTACCATCTGTTATTCCGTAAATTGTTTCCCTTCGAACACTGACCAGTATAACCCGAATCAGAAATGCAGAGTATGATCTATTTCTTCTTGCAAAAAGATGACGTAATTAGCCATTAAGTTGCTTACATCCACTGTAATAAGCCTTGGTGATTGGGGTCGTATTTAACCTTGCATATAACGTTTAATACAATAATCTGTTGCTGTGGCTGGCTCCAAGGGGCTTTAAAGGTCCATTGGGACCATTTTAGGTCTACAAGCTCGTTGCAAGAGTGATTCTATTATTATGACCAATACTCAAAATATATAAATCTTCTAAAATGACTACGACGATGTGCCACGAAGAGGCTGGCAACACCTCTGAACCTTTAAGTGCTATTGATATATATATGTGTGTGTGCTCAAGAAGGACAACGAAGGCAACAGCTGGTCAAAGTATATCTCAGAGTTGCGACACAGAAGAAAGAGAGTCAAAATATAGTCTAACCGGGTATCATATTCAACGTATCTCATGCTATATATATCCATCTATCGATTCGCTAAACCAGTCTCACGAATACCACGCTGCCGTCAATTCCACCGAGCGCCGAGCTGAAGTCCCCAAATAGCCTCAGAGCCGCCTTAGGCTTGCATTAAGTTAACCTTTGCAGAGCTTTCTCGACCCAATTCCGCGTGCGTTCGGCCGCCGTTTCGGCAGTCGTCTTCTGCTTTATCTGTTCTCTTCGCTCCCGCTGCACGACGAGGCTGTCCCTGCTGCGCAGACTCAGCAACCTAGCCTCTGCGGCCTCCTTATCTGTTCCGCAGATATCGTCTAGCTCGCCGATAATGCGGATCATGTACTCGAAGATGCGGCGCGCCTCTTCAACGATTTCGTCTCGCTCCGGGTTTGTGAGGAAGGTTTCTGACTCGAGGAGGCGCTTCTTGAAGTCCTGTTTGAGGTCTTCGCCGTCTTCGTGTGTGTTGAACCGGAAGAAACTAAGTGGCAGCAGATGTTCTTTTGGAAAGCCTCCGAGAGTGGCCGAAGTATGCTGCTGCGCTGACGCGGGGATCCAGAACGCCGGATATATGTTCTCGAGCGAGGCTCGAATAAAGCGCCCGCCTGAAAAGAGTGCCATATATAGGACCCAAGCGTACGCGAGCAGGACATGGGGAGATTTACCCACAGACGTTTCGATGTGAGCCAAGAATTCGGCTAGTACTGGCGATTTTGACGCGTTCTTGAGTTGCTCCGAGAGTGTACGGTCTGACCAACACGTCAAGGACATCAGATCTTGTTGAAGTGGACTTGAACGTTGAAGCCCATCGAAATATAGGTTGGTGAGTAATGTTTCTATCCGGGTATCGATGGTTAATTGACGATGAGCGCTAGGCCTGTCTTCGGGTCTGACTTCGTCTGGTCCGCATGAGGTATCGGTAGGGCCATCCTGCTCGGAATTGTGAGTCTCCAGAGATTCTGGCATTTTCAAGATTGTCCTCCATAATGACTCAAATGTGATGTATATTGGCGCAATGTGTAACAGGCCAGATACATATTGAGAGGCATCATCGGCTTGTGGAGGCTGTGCCAGCGGTAGTCGGGAGACGACCAGTTTATTCAGTTTCGTGTGGACAGAACGGGTGGCGACATTGATAGAGTCGGATAGGGTACGGTTAGGATCACCAATCTTGGAGGACATGATTATAGGCGATTATAGATAATTATAGGTGTAGGAAGGCAAGTGACGAACGGGACGGCTGAAAGAAGATGAGGTGATGATGTATCATGAGGGCTATGATGAAGCTACCTGGTGTCACGAAGTTGCATTCGATGATATAGTAGAGATATTGTAGTGATCCTAGGCAAAACGGGGGCCTGTGGTGTGACCATGAAACCACGACCCCGAATGGACACGGTGAAGTAGGTAGCCGGGGCCGGGATTCGTATTCATAAAATCGCAGCGTTCACGTACAGAGAAAGCACGAAACTTCCTGGTCGCTAGCGAAATGACTTTCCCGACGGAACACCAATGTGGTGATATAAAAGAAAGTACGTAGGACCTAGACTAGTTTAGACAAGGAATTGCGACACGGGCCACGGAAAGGAAATATGAACTTTGCAATAAAGTTAAACTTCGGACTTTGACAGACCAGAGGTGGGAAATAGACGACGAGAAACGCGGTCGATCATATATCCTCTCAAGTGAAAAAGATCCGGAAACACCTCTCTGCTAATCTAGCGTGATTAATAGTCACCGGCATCGCGCAGGACTCACCCAAGTCGAATAACAACCGCGCGGGTCGGGCGGGTGATCCACGTGCCTGGTAATGTCTGACTGAATGACAACTTACTCGACAGGCAGACACGCTGAGATAACCCAGATCACACGGTAATTTGAGCGAGGCTGAGTTATGTCAGGTGGATCAGATCCGGAATTTGCCTTAGCACTCTGTTGATGACTCGCCCTACGATGGCGACATGCTACCTATGGAAATTTCTAGAGGAAATGGACGTCTCTGAGTAGTATAGTCACTAGAGCGTACTAATCAATAGATCCCGTCCCCCGGCTGTAATCGGACAAGGAAGGTGACTGGCACTGTAAGTGTAGTGTAGCCGTTCTACGCTCAAGTAGAGCCACTGCAGGAATGGATCCATCATCTCCTGCACAAGCACGGCTGTCGAGAAAGGTTCAGGGATCCAAAAGACGAGATAGGGTTCAAGTCTCGCCGAATGCCGCGGCTTTGGACTTCAGCTGGCACCTTGTCTAACCTTCCTTGGGTTCTGACCAGGTCAGTGCCTGGATTTCAGAGAACACTACCTAGCTAGCGCATGAGGCTCACATGTCATGGGGGCGAAGGGAGAGGGAGAGAGGGAGAGGGGTGGTCATGGTCATGGTCTTGCATGATCCACCGTATGAGGAGAAAAAGCTTGTTGTGCGATGTTTTCGCCAAATTTTCCCCATCCCACTTTTCGATGAGGAGAGATGGATTTCTGGGGTTTGTCGATCATGGGTTAGGGAAAGATCGGCGATGCAAAATGGAGATAATGCTCCGGCATCTTGGCACCGAGTCTGGACATGGCTGGACTGGCAGCTACTTCGTAAGCAGCAGCAATGCGCTGTTGGGAATAGACCCAACTCACGACGATCCGTGTAGCCCCCCAAGTGTCGTGAGATCTCACGATATCATGTTCGCATGCGTCCTATATGCATATCTAAAAGTACTGCGTCGAGTCAAACCCAGAGGTATACATAGTCCTCCAGTCACCAGAACTGCGCACAACCATCAATCTCATCACCCAGACATCTCCTTCCTCTCCTTTTCCACCCTTTCCCACTCCTCCCACATCGCATTTCCAGCAAGGTCTTTCCCATCTTTGATCTTGACTACATCATCCAGATATTAGCAAATCGACTTCTTGGCTCAAATGCTCAAAAGATAGCACAACTCACCATGCTCTACACCCCCCATTTCCAGCGCCATCTCCCTCCAGACATCAACGTGTAATTCCGGGACATCATAAACAGGCGGATCTCCCTTAACAGCACCAGCACCAGACTCATCATGTAAAAACGTCCTCTCGTCCTTAAGAATGACGTTACTGAAATATAGATGCCCCGCCTCCGTAGGCACGTCGTAACGGCGCATGATAGCCATGCCGTCAGCTTGTAAGAGGATGCGCCTCGCTCTCGCCTCTACGGTGCCGTCGTCGTCCGTCACCCCGGTTGATAATGACCCAGGATTAGGCATGTGGATCTGGATGTACTCCCAGACCCCGAATTTCAGGGCCCACGGCACCGCGAGGCGTCCGTGCCGGTGCCACGCCGCCGCGAATTCCTCGTGCGAGAGGTCCGGGTGGCGGAAGATTGGACCACCCGCGGAGTTGAGCTTTGCGTTATCGTTTGCGGACATTATGGATTTCGCCTCGAAATCTTAGATAGATAAGATCTAGATTAATATCGTATCAATACTTAGATTGCTCGGTCGCACTATAAACAGTTTACCTGTTGCTGTACGGACGTAGCTATTCTTATAGACCTGGCTAGCTCATCTACTTGCGTGGAAGTTGCTATGCTGCAGTCCTGTACCTTTGACTGCCTCTTTGCTATCATATGCTTATTTCTAAGCCGATTGAACATCAAGGTCCGTCGCAACTATGTTATTGGCTGAATTGCCCTGCACGATCACTCTTAAGCGTGATTTATAAGCTTACTAAGTTTGTATCAGGGCAGGGTATCTCATCAATGTGCAAGAGAATAGGGTTAAGAGTACATTCATCTGATTGACATACCACATGCTCTCAGAACTAATGTGCAAATAACGGGAATAAGAATATCTTTCTCTCAGTAATCCCGGAGACCACGTATTCCTAGAAATTGGTCATCCGTACTTATTATGAGCGTAAACCTCCAAGTTGGACAACTGTCCTTTTAAACCGAACTCGCATCAAGCTCAAGTTACTCAAGGCCTGGAATCTTATAAGTTTTTGATCTAGCAACCAAACGTCTAGTTATGATATAGTTTACATGTGCCTGCCAAAGAGAAGCCATAACAACCAGCCCATTCAGGCGATGCCTTATGTTTAATGCAACCTTGAATCTAGCATGACCCGTTCCCTTCTTTTTAAAAGTACAGTCCTTGTATCCCATCATTCATAAGTCACTTTCTGCACTTGCGGTCTTGGCATTGACATCGCGCTCATGGCTCTCATGGTTGATGAACAAGAACGAGATGACCACTATCACAGCACCGACCCAGTATACGGAGCTCGAATATTGTTCGTACTGGATCATCTCTCCAACCAGTGATAGCGGGATATTTAATGACAAGCCCACGGTAACAACAAGGGGTGTAGTCAGGAGCATGGCGTATGCCCATGATATATCACTGATGAAGGAAAAGAGTGAGTTGATCTAAAAAAGCACTGTCAATTTTATGAAACCGTCGAGTGCCGCATGAAACATACCAAAACGATTGCCCATATTTTACCGGTAGGAGGTAACTCGAACTGCATCTCGGTTAATCTCGCATTTTGTTCAATTACCCCTTGGAGTAACTTACAGGTTCAATGCCCGTATAATGTAAAATGGGGAACAATGGCCAGAGGAGTAAAAGATTGAAAGTGCCGACAAGCCCGAAAAACAGGGGCATGTTGACACGATCCTCACTCCCTATCCTGATCTTCATCACAACTATGTAGATACCGTAAATAATGGCACTGAAGAACGCCATTGCATCGCCGATCGCGATCTGCCCTTGCGTCTTGTGTGGGAAGTTGCCTCGACTATCATCGTTGTCATCGCTGGAGAGATCTACTAACGATATAAGGATCACACCCGACAAGGAAGCTACCACCCCAATGAGCTTGCGGACTGAGAAAGGTTCAATTTTCATGATTGCGCAGAATACCAGCGTCCAGACGCTGCTAGTCGATGTCAAAATCGTAACACTAGCGACGCTCGTGTACTCCAAGCAGGCAGATGCGAAATAATTGCCACTGAACCATATCATGGCAAATTCGAGGCTGAATCTCGCCGTCTCAAAGAATGAGAGCTTCTCAGCGGTAGCCTGGATACCTTGTGCTTCGAGACACTCCTCCTCGTCAACGAGCAACCGCTCCGCTAACGCGGAATCCCCATGTTCCGCTTGAGCATTGGGTTTCCCCGTTTGGTGAGTGTGTTCTCGCCAGGCCTGTAATGCTTGGGTTTTCACGTGTTTGAATCCACCATTCTGTATGATGTATTTAATGGCAATTGGTACTGTGGAAATGGCGAAAAAGGACGTGTTCATGTATACCACAAAGAAAGGCTTATTGTAGCTACGGTCAGAAAAGATGTACTGACGCCTCGTCAGTTACGTCATTCATCGCTGGGAGGCCCCTGTCTCATGACACCCGAATACTCACGCTGGCGAGAAAATTGGAGGTGGTCCAGAGGAAAACAGTCAGCAGAAGCAGACTGATCCCAAGCGTCCGGCGCGCAAAACGCCAGATACCGCGCCTGTGCCCCGCACCGATTGAGCTTCCGCGTAGTCTGTGAGAAGATGGCAGATGGCCGCTTATGGAGGACGCTCCGGATGACCGGGTTCTCACCCTATCTTCATCTCTCGGGTCGCCGGTTGTCACTGAAGGCTTTGAAGGCGCCATTCCAGCAAACGATCAAGCACGACTAAGAAGCCTTGCTCAGGTGGGATGAGTACAGGATTGGTAGGCAAAATCGACGACACTAGAGGGAATCATTGACTTCCAGACAACGCAGAGAGCTGTGGGGACTGGTTATTAGGCCCTAAGGTGAGGATGTGTGCCGTGCGCACGTGGAAAGCAGATATAAATACAACCCATAGGATCACTTGAAACCGACAGATCAGCAACAGATCGTCGCATCGTACAAAATCTGTGAGCGTTTATGGATTTGGAGGCTGAAGGGTTACAGCAGATGCAGCAGTAAGGTACCTAAACGTCACAGCTAATCATTACAAAATTCCCTGTAAATGGGCCGCATCGGGGGGTGCCATTCGCGCTAAGACGTCCAATGGGCACCTGGCTAGCGGCACCCTGGAGAGGCGGCATCAGCCTCCTCAGAAAGTACCTACCTACCGATCCTACAATAACTACAAGTTTATCACGCCAATGGCTACCTAAAGGATAGTATTTGTGCAGACCTTTATTTACCTACGTAGGCTTATATGATTGAATTTGTTTCACAATCGGGTCAAGTCGATAATAGTACAACAAATGCCAAAGAAACGAAGTTCTGCCCTGTAATATATCAAAACGGCATCTAACCATAATAGGAGAGCTTAGGGGTATTCTGGCGCGGTATCAATATTGCTCGAGTTGTGAGCTTCGCTTAACGCGGCATAGCAACCACGAATTTCACCTCCTCTATACACATTCTCTTTGGAGTGATGATAAACCGCTCGATGTTGTCCTGTAATGTCGGCTTGGTCCCAGTCGAGCAGAACTTTGAGCATGGTTTCATGCTAGTCGGGTTCACACAGGGAGTACAGACAGCGTAATGGCTGACGCCACACACTAGGATAAATTATTCCTCTCTTGCGGGTCGGGTATTAGTTGGTTCATGATGGAAACGTGAAGGAACTGAGTAGGGCACAGCGTGTCGCTGTCGCTTAGCAGGCGCAACCATCACGGTCATTCTCGATATGGATGTTGATAGGGTCCTGGAAATCTCCACTAAACTCTTCGGACTCTTCCTGAGCAAGTGCGTTTCGCGCAATGACTATCGGCCTTGGTTAGATCGTGCGAGAGTATTGACAGAGTGTACTTAGTCTTACCTTCGAAAGCTTGCTCAACATTGATAGCTTCCTTGGCACTCGTCTCGAAGTACGGAATGTCACCCTTGGAGTGGCAGAATGTAGCTGCTCTCTTACTTGAGATCTACAGATTTAAGCCATCAATATAACAGCCCGAAGGAAAAAGGAACGGAGGGAGGAGGAACTCACCACTCGCTTACTTTCCTCGACGTCGATCTTGTTGCCGAGAACCACCTAGCGGTATCAACATCAGTATTCGTGTTGAACGTTTAGGAGTGTCTATTCGGCTTCCACTTACAAAGGGGAAATTCTCAGGGTCCCGTGGCGAAGCCTGGATTAAGAATTCATCTCTCCAGCTATCTAGAGCATCGAAGCTCTTAGAATTGTTGACGTCGAACACTAAGACACAGCAGTCGGCACCGCGGTAGAAAGCAACACCGAGAGATTGGAAGCGCTCTTGGCCGGCCGTATCCCAGAGCTACCATTTGTCAGTCACTTTGCTCGATATTCACCACGCGATAACACCATGCCCTACCTGCATCGTGACTTGCCTATCGTCCACCAGCACCTCTCGGGTCAGGAAATCGGCACCAATAGTGGCCTTGTAGCTGGCACTGAACTTCTTGTTGACCTAGCCTCGAAATATTAGTCTCTTGCCACTTTTGGATTCGAAAGCATCGTCTTCACGGCAGTAGAGCCCGTGCTCGTGGTATGACGGTGACGCACATATTGGTTCATCAAGCTGGTCTTCCCGACACCGCTGTCGCCAAGGATAATAACCTAATTGAATGACAAGCATTAGATATGTAGTCCAAAGGCATGATTCTAGAGCAAAAGAAGCTATACCTTGAGAAGCACCTTCTTCCTTGACGCCATATTGAAGTAGTCAAGCGTAGAAGCTTAGCTGGGATGTGGCGGTGATTCGGTCAGTTTCGTGGGTCCTGACGACTATTCCTGTCGGTCTGGAGGCGACGCAATCGCTTGTCTTCGTTCGGGGGACGCGTGAGCGGTCTTGCGTAAGTTATATGTAGGGGACGGATAGTTTGAAGGTTCCAAGGTTGTTGTTTAGGGCCAGGCTTAGTCGAGAGGCAGCGGCAGTCGGACCTTTAGATAGCTGAGACACCAGGTCACCCTTATTGTTACTAAGTTAGGTAGTTCAGAGGCGGAGAGCTCCCTACCAGGTAGCCAGTTTAGCACCTGCGACACAGCGCCAGTTATTCAGTGGCTGGGCACGCCAGGTGACCCAGTAACCCCACGATAAAGCCACAAGCGCCCCGCATCCTTCGACAGCGCGATAAGGCCCTCCACATCTACTACAGTATGTACTGTAGGCTACGGCGTAGGCGGGTAAGTATCTACTCCAGGGCTGTAAGGAGTCCTGAAAGTGGTAGGTACATACCTAGGTACCTACTCCTTTAGGTAGGAAGGGACTATACTACAGTCTTCATCAATAAATGCAGTCAGACACTATTGCACAATCAAGATTCAGGGGTCACACGTAACACAAGTTACAAGTGGAAACGAAGAAATGCATATATGTAAAGGTACCTGGTACTACGCGTATAAATTGATGATGAGCGGATAAATAGATAATCGATACCTGGTCACTGCCTGGTACTACCTGATACTACCTGGTGTCTGGTACATAGTGAAGGGAGAAGGCAGGTACGTACCCACAAGCTGTATGAAGCTCCATCCTTTTTGAAGTGAGTAGCGTCATGATGATGACATCACATCTTCTGGATCACGATTGATACCATGACATTGTATAAAGCTGTTGGCGTTGAATTGTAATCATCTGAAAGTCCTGTAATCAAATTTGAAGAGTAAATAATTCATCAATATCAATTCTAATTGGTGTTGAGCTCGCATTATATCAAAAACAAAAACTCATCGTTAGCCATATATCATCACCATGGTTGGCCTTCGCCTCACTCACTCTATGAGAGCCCTACGGGCTACTACTCGGACAGGAGCTCTGCACACACAGCAACGCACCTTTATTGCAGCTTCCCCTCTTCGGGCACACCAAGGCTACGGTGATGGCAAAGGGGATCCCGTAGCAGAGCACCCAGAGAAACAGCCTGCGCACACCAAAGCCCAAGAATCTTCAGAGCACCCCGGGCCCGCCCCTCCAGATGTCGGCCAGGGATCCTCCAGTGCCTCCACCAAGAGGTCCTTTTCCGATAGTATGAAGAAGGCGGCCTCGAATGCTGGATCACCCGAGGAGCAAGCCAGCGCACAGTCCGGTGGCTCCAGGTCGAAAGAAGCCGCCGAGACCGGCAGCAGCCCAACTGGAGGTGAGATTCCTGAAAACGGGGTTGGAACAGCAAAGGGAGGTGAGGCTCTGAAGGGACCACAAGGCAAAAACGCGCCGCAGCCCAAGATCCTGAACCAATCGACCAACTCGGTGAAATCTGGCTTAACAGATGAACAGAAGAGGGAAGTCGAAAGGCATAATCAAGATTTCGAAAATAAGCACGACAGGGCCGAGTCGGCCCCTCACGATAAAGTCGATAAGAAGTTCTGGTCAGGAGTGTGAGTTGTAACACGTTCTGCTTGCTCCCCTTAGCAATTCCACTAATGATGAGAGTAGCGGCGGCCGAACAGGTGGTGAGAATGATTGGAATGCGTAAAGGTGATAGCCTCCAGGGGATGACCATGAGGTGTTAATACTTGTAAATAGAATTAACTTAATTATGGTAGCAATGAAGCTTCCAACGAATATATCTTGAAAACAGTTGGCTTGGGGTAACATTTTGTAACTAGGTTTAGGTAGGGACTTACCAGGTTAGTCCATAGCAGTACCTAAGTGGCACCCTGAACACATACCTAACCTTATTGCATGCCTAGGATAACCCTGTATCGTCTCTACCTACCTGTGCCTTCAATTGATAGCGACAAATGAAGCTTGCGAGAAAGCGACGATGATGTGATTCGATGGAATCCTCGACGCCTAAGAATAGACGAGATGGCGGACGAGGACATTGTGAACAAGATCCGAGAGCTCGGAGACGTCGATTTAGCAGTACTGCTCTGCCTCATCAGCCGTGAGCATTGCATCATCAGCACCGATCCAGAGTATCTCGACGACCTCACCGTTGAGCTCCAGCTTGTCGCATCGCGCACGTTCGGCCTGAGCTCAGTAGTCGTGGACTGTACCCCCGAGACAACGCTTGACGACCTTGTCGTTGCAATCCAGCTACCGCAACCCCAGCCACCGTCGATACCAACACCTGGTCCCTCACCTCTGCATGCTCGCAATTCGGAGACCTATTTCAATGCGTATCATAGCGGTGGTAGCGCCGGCTTAGGAAAACATCTGCAGCAACATCACCATGGATCTCTCCGACCGTCTTCCCGCTCGCCGAGCGCGACTGCAGTCTCGCCGTCAAGGGCATCTTTGCCTTCAGCTGCGACACAGCAACCCCAAATCGCCAACATAATACTGGCTCGAAATCTTGACGTCGCACCAAAGGCCGTACAAATACAATGTCTGGAGCTGATGCGCACGCGGCGGATTTTCACACGGACGGCCGTGCAAGCATGTCCTAAGCAATTCCTGCTCATCGCCGTCCTAGGGTCCGAGAGCGCCGGCGAGGCGCGTCTAACGAAGCATCTAAATGACCATTTCTATATATCGCATTGGCAGGATCCCGAGGATGGATTCCCGCACATGGAAGAAGAACAAGAAGGGGGTGTTAAAGAGGAGGACTATCAAACTTTTGATGACGACAATGACAGAGGGGCCGTCGAGGATGCTAATCGAGACAAGGACGACGACACCGCCAGCCAGGCGAGTGCTGAAAGCGTCGTCCGCCGAACACGAGACTCGAAGACCCCGTCAACACCAGTACCACCAACACCAACTATGTCCACCGGTCCAGAATCAGGACAACAGCACATAGTAGTAACAGACTGGGCGATACCCACTCAAGGCGTTTCCCATACAGCAGATGCCCAAAACCGCGACAACAACAATAATTATACTAGTAGCAGTGGCGGCAATCCAATCCACGGCCCAGTCTTCACCGAAACAGACATATCCACACTCTCAAGTCTCAGCCTCCAAGCCCACGTCGACATTGAAGTCCAGCGGTACCAGATGAACATCATCGCCTTCCTCCGCATGCACCGTGCCGTATCGCCAGGCAGCGTCCCGCCTACGGGAACGACGCACTTCCGCACGCTGATCCGCGCCCTGGCGACGCTGCACGGCCTCGCGTTCGTGACGCCCGAGCTAGTGCAGCTCGCAGCCCGCAAGATCTACGCGCACCGTATAGTCATCGTGCCGCCCGAGCGCGAGCGAAGCATGCAATGGGGAAGCGATCTGCCCGCCGTCAAGGCGTTGCTCGAGGGCGTGCGACCCGAGGACGTAGTTGAGGATGTGCTGGGCATGGTGGATGTTCCGCTATAAATCTTCACACATTCAAACCCTGAATGAAAGGCGGGCGACTAGCCAGCCGCTTCTACTAACGTGTAGTTGCTATTGCAGTGTTGATGAATATGGCCCAAGATACCCCATGAATTATAACAATTAATGTATTTCACTTAGTTATCATAGAACGCGAGAGCAAAAACAAGCCAAGCCATTAGTATTTCCAAACTTCATTGATATTGACGAGACTCAGAACGTCCTATAATAAGTACATGAATGATAGAAACAGCAGCATTATCGTCCACTCCTCCGCGTTTAAGCCCTCTCTGGAAAATATGCGAGAAGACAATGATGATAATGGTAATAGTAATCGTTTTCTGTCATGCGCCACGTTTCATAATTTCTACAACACCCGGAATTTCAGTGTTTCCGCAAACGCCAGGCCCTAATGCCCAAATCTTCCGATCCCCCGAGCATGTATATATCCTTCGGTTTTTACCTCCACTTCATTAGTAGCGTGAATAATATAGTAAGAAGTCTAGTGATGTCCCATGATTTCATCGGCGCTTAATTCGATCTGTGTCTGTCTGCTATATAGAAAGTTCGCAAACGTGTTTTTAGTAGACTTGGTTGATTCTACACGTCCAGCCAGAGTCCTTTGCCAACAATGGTAGACTAAGATGGAAGTTAGTTGAAATCTGAGATGAACCTATAAAATCTCTATTATGAAAATAGCTTACCTTGCTCCTAAGCACCATCCCAGCTCATTGCCCTTTAGCTTTTTAGCTATTCTAACCTCACGGTCAATTGGCATATCATAGCCTGTGTGTAGTAGACTAATCATAAAGTTGAGGTCGAGGCAGTATTCGCCACGGTCATGGAGTTCGTCTAGGGCCTCAGGGAGGTTGCTGAAACCGGCCCAGGAGTCTTCGCCACCGCAGACCGTGTTTGTCAAATCGTGAAGCTCTCTCAGCGTAAAGGAGTCTGGCATGCCTAGAGGCTTCGTGCGGTCGAAGAAGAATGAGAAAATGTAGACATCTTCCCGCGCAAATGTCTTCGCTAGCGAGGGCTGGTGGACACCATTGAAAGAGCAAGGAGCCAGCGCACACTCAGCATCTTTCGCCAGGATCCTATCAGTCAAGCTTCGACACTGAGCTGGGGCCGGGATAGCAGGACCTGATACCTGGAGTTTGAGCTCGCCTGTGCCTAGCGGGCTGCCTTCAGGTAGTTTGACCTTGATAGTGTCGGTTTGGCCAGCATTGATACAAGGGTGGTTCCGGATTGGTTTCTGGAGGAAATCACGGCTCTTCTCCTTCGCATATATGTCATTCAGTAGTTCCAGATGGATCGCATTGCGAGCCGCCATGAGACCATATCCGAGATGGGAGTGCTGGTATAGCTCGAACTTTCGTCCCCCAAAAGCCAAGTCATACTTGTGATCACCTTCGGCCATCTTCTCGGGCATCCCCCCAGAAGCGAGTCCCTTAAACGTTGGCTCGAAAACGATCTGAGTTGACCCACCGCCTAAGTCGAAAATTGCAGCAGTAGGGCTGTCATCAGGGCCGCCGATCTTCCCCAGGAGGTAGTTTGTGGTAATCCAGGCGTATACGCCCTCATCGGAGCCGTCCATGATAGTGACACCACTCTCCTTCTCAGAAACCACGGCGAAAGGATAATTCTTTTCAAGATGTTCTCGTACAGTTTTCAAAATTGCGTCAGCCGCTTCGGTTCCAATCATGCGCAGACCAGCTGTGGCCTTGACAGCGATCGGAGTGCATCCCTTCAGTTTGTCGGGAACGTGCTCCATGGCCACGGCGAGAAGAGGATCTAGAGTCTTAGCGGCGGCGACCGGGTCGTCCTTATAGCTACTCAAGCCACCAACGCTCTTCTCGGTCATCTTGAACTCCTCGCCTTCCAGTTCGGGGGTGGGACCACAGTTGTTGAATTTATAAACGTGAATACGAGATCCAGTGCTACCAGCGTCGATCATGAGCACATATTGAACGATGGGCTTGTCCCTCGAGTATGATTTCGTGCATTTATCGGTGCCATACGATGAATCGGCAGGGGTTTGACCACCAGGTCGTGATACTACAAGGGCTGTCAGTAACTACATTCTCAGGGCAGCCAACGAGATTCTGTTTATAATCTAACGTACCTCCCTGGTAGTAATCTACACCCTTGGGCGACACATAGTAGAAAAGGAAGAGGATGAAAACAACAATGGCAGTGGTCTTAAGCCACCGCGATTTCTGGGCCGGATTCATTCCGGCGTATTGTAGCTTCTCCAAGATGCCTAGTTCTTTGTGACCGGTGTCGTACCGGCCGGGTTTCTCGTGAGGGTCGCGCCGGACTTGCTTCGTAGGCAACGAGACGGATGTTCTCCTCATACCCTTTAACAACAGAGCATCCCCACACGGAATGGGGAAGAAGGTAAGGAAAGAGAGTGAGGCTAGAGAGAGTACGCGCAACGGCGGGAATCCCAGAGTCCTCGAGACCAGAGATAATCGGGAGTCAAGGGAATCGATGGCAGACGGGCGAGCTAGCGTCGTCGTCAGTAAGTCAAATTACTTAACTGCCTGGCAGTTGGTGATGAACGAGCGTCGTTGTGTCGAGTCAACCCGGGAACACTGTGGCAAGATAGGGGAAATTAGATAGATAAGCAGTCAATAGGAAAGCCGCAGGCTAATTCAACCTCGAAAATCTTGACCCTAATTTTCAAGGTTATTGAAATGGTTGGCTAGGCCAGGGGGGTAGTTGGAGAACCTCAATCAATCAATCAAGGTGGTGTGGCATTGCAGTCAGCCAAGGATAGCGACAAGCTAGGTACCTAGTGCCTGCCCAGGTGCGTAGCGAGTAGTACAAGGCCAGACAAGGCCCTACAGTGGGCTGTGGGCCACTACCTACCGGTAGGTGGCCTGCTAGGTAGGTTTTAGTGGGGAGGAATTGCGGGGAGGTTCTAGCGCCGCCATCTTGGCGATTAGGAGGCTTTTACTTCAAGTACCACTGCCAACCATTGGTTACATCTACATATAAATCAAACATCTGAGTAGGTACACTTTCACTAATCAATAATCATTCCTAAGGTTTGACCTTCTAGTTAGTATACGAGGCAGAAAAGGGACCACGATATATCGTCTCGCTTTTCATATCTGTCGAAGTGCAACTTGAGTCAGCCGAATACAGGCGCAGGAGGCATCGTCGAGTTTGCTACGCGAAACATACTATGTTACATAGTAGCTAGGTAATGTTACACGTTATCCGCTATCTAGACTCAACAAGAACAAAAATCGTACCCAAATCTAATAATACAATATAAAACATCTTGAGAAGTAATACATAATTCAGAGTCAGTGCTTCCAATCTCATACATCGTCATGACTACGCCTCCAACTAACGTTGTTTCGGCTGGGAAGGAAATGTCTAGGCCAGCATCAGGCGCCATAAACATCTCCTATCTAGCGCCATATATTTGATCCCAATATCACAAAAGATGCCAAAAGATCCCCCAAAAGAATACAATAAGTGTGTAAAACAGATCGGCCCGTAAAGTCGGTTGAGTTGGTCGCATGGAGCTTCCTCGCCCCCTATCTGTGCCGTGAACTCGATGTTTCGCCGCTTGACATTGTTATGGCGACCAGCCCGGCGTGGCCCAGCTCGTGCTTCGAGCTGGTCTTGCTCTGTGGCCCATTAGGAATCTGTCTGGGAGGTTCTCATAGTTCAAAACCGGCGTACCTGAATTCCTTCATTATTCGCTGGTTTTGCCAGACAACCAGCATGTTGCAAAGTACGGAGAACAGTCCAAAGACAATGCTACTGACGGACTCTGCGGTTGCGAGGTGAGACGTCATGGTGATGAATAATCCAGAATAGCCAGGACAACTACAACATCAATCAGGAACATATCTTATTTTCGTGAAGGGGTATCTCTCACCGCTTCAAAAACAATGGTGCTCTGGAGTTTTGACTTAGGTTGAGAACCTGAAGTAGGTATCGTTTCTATTTGATGGTATATAGAGTTCATGGGGTTTGGCTGATATCTAGGACGTCGGATGCAGAGCCGAATCCCTTTTATAAGTCATATCTTAAAGCTAGCAAAATGCATAGAAGTCGATTTGGAACTTCTATGCATGTTGAATGTGACCCTATGAAAGTGTATATCGTGGCCGTGAACTTGATATTTGGTTAGATATAATAGTAATAAGATGAATGGTCAAGCTGATGTGACCCTGCTGCGGTAATACAACATCGTACACGGCTTGACCTATGTAGTAATCGCAACAGTTAGAGGATAACCCTCATCAGGTTGCTGTATAGAAAGATGACAAGCTTCTATATACCACGCACACCAAATTGACGAAGTGGTATCGTTTCAAGTTTGTTCCTAACCCCATGCATACTACCATTACTTAGGTATGCTTTATCTTCCCTTCGTACATTACCGAGGCTCAGCAGAGAATGTCTATAGACATTTACTTGCAAGACTATTCAACGTCAAGCTACTACCTATGCCTTACGGTCTTAAAGGTGTAATATCCTTGAACACATAAGGGGCGCTGCAACTTCCAATATTCCTTCATACGTAGAAATCTCGCTGCACAGATTCTTATTCCCTAATTGGGGATGCGATATCTCACTGCATACGTACTGCCACAGGCGACACTCCGGCCGATTCCTCTATGCTGCTGTTAGAAATTAAAGTGAAATATGACAAATGAAGCTCGATTCTGTGCGGCACATTCGGTGTTTTTAGTTTCATGTTATCAGATCCATCCAAAATAAAGACCAACCTGCCTTAGCCGTGCCGTTCCCGAAATGATGGCCAAAAGCGCCCCTTGTCGACCTGCCGAGCTGTGAACAGTACTACGTGGAGCAGATGAAATCTTCCGTGACTTTGAAGGCTACAACTCAAAAGACCATATACGTGATCTGTCTACCCACCCACCGCGAGTACGAATTCCTACTATATGTACCTGATTGCGTTTTTCCTATGGAATTACAGCCAAGGAACAATACAAATGCCGTGATAGTGGGATTTTATTGATCGCGACTTTACATATAGACTAGAAATACAGCTCCCCGAAGTGTGTAAATAACCCGAGTGCATATATAAGAGGATCCGAGGTGAGACGGGATAAGCTGAACCCCCCCACGGAGATGTGCCTGGCTAGGTTAAATCGTCGGGGAAGGAAAGGACTGCTTTAGGTGAGCTACAATTTGGGGACTCCAGAGATGGTCGTCAGGTGTTGGTTGCATTGGCGTGCATAGCCAGCCTTGACACTTGGAGAATTTTCTATTTTTGAAGGATGGCTTAGGTGCCTATCTGTTATCTGAGATCCTCCCTCCTTCACGGATATTGCCGACCGCAAGGTGAAGAAGATATCGGCCAAGGCGGGCTTGAGGACATGTAACCTTGTACCAACAGAGCTCACCTTGCTGTTAAAAGATTGCAACCTTGCCAGCACAGTTGTTCTCTTTAGATATCGGACACTTTTACCGAGTCATGAGGTCTCATCCTGAGCGTCAGATACTTAAACTCTTTGACCCCCTTCGCGTACCGACCTTCCTTCTTATCTCCTATATTCCACGCTTACTCGTTTATGACACTAAACCTTCCCTCTTGTACCTCTAATTACGCTCTTATATAGCTTGAATCTGCTCAGAGCTGTGTGAGGTATGTCTACTATACTCCCTTTTCCCGTTTCCTCGAATCTCTACCTCCCTTATTATCATGGATTCGATGGTAGTGTTAGAAACAGATATAATGTTATGAATGGTCGTCTAATTAAGTATATATATATATCTACGTAATCGATCTATGTTTATCTCCCACGACTGTCGAGACCGAAGGCCACTACACTATTTTTTATACTGTATAATGATCTAGATCATCTTCTGACAAGACCCTTGCCCAATAACTCAGTCCCGATTTCGTTTACCAAGGGCTCACTAGGGAACGCTTTCTTTTTCGCTATAATGGTCCCTTGTGCGTCCATCGTCCTCAGTAAGTCTATTAGTTCGCCCTCCACAGGCATGCAATACGCCAAATGCCCTAATGCCAAAAGCATCCCGTGTAGTGCCTCGTTTGAGGACTCTTCTTGGGAAATAGCTTCTAAAACCGAAGCCGCTAGCTCTATCTGATCCTCTTCAGGAAGCCCCTCTTTCGACTGCTGCCTTTTCCGGCTATTTTCATGAGCTACGTTATACAGTAGTGATGCAGCTGCCACCCGAACGTTATTGTGACTATCATCGAGAAAGCTGCTTGAAATAAGCTGAGTGATAGCAGTACGTAATGTGCTCTGTCCGAGGATCTGTTCAGGGAACAAGGGGCTTGAGAAAAGATTGCAAGTCAGTTGTAATGTAACCAAGCGGAGCGCGTAAGGACTTTGGGGGTCGCCGTTCACGGCCTCCAGAAGCGTAACGATGGTCTTATGATCATGTTCCTCAGCGTAGTAGCCACTCAAACGCGGGTCAATGAGTCCGCATCGAAACAGATCTACTACAGTGAAGAGGAGCTCTCGAGGTAAGTCTGCTAATGCTGTGACGACAAAATTTGAGAAAGCAAGTAGGTTGGGCAATGTCGCCATCGCTGGCCCTTCCCCAGATCTTGCCTCGATGAAATGCTTCATGCCTTGTATCGCAGCATCGTTTGCAGTTGGTCCCAGCTTCGACAACAGCTTCGGTATTGGCGGGAGTTTGGTGAATAAGACTGGTTTTGAATCGGTGTTCGATAAGTGTGGGAGATGCAACAAACGGTGCGGGTGAGAAGGCCCAGCAGCCATGTTGGCCAACAATTTCACCGTACCCCTCAGCCGAGCCGGATCAGCTCCAGCCCAATTTTCTTGTAGCTTGCCATGGATGAAAGACATGAATGTGGGTGTTGCAGTCACACTATACTGCTGTGCAACGTCGCTTGCTCGCGAGATATCAACTTTGATCAAGGCCACCATTTCCCAAAATTCAGCTGCAAGCTCGTTGTACAGTGGGTAGAGGACCTTGCAAGGTGGGCACGTAGCTGAAGTAAAGAATATTATGGCTGACTTGTTTGCTGCACGCTCCAAGGCGGCGTTGAGAGCTCGGAGATTGGACACTTCCACAACGGTTGTGGATGGAGATGATGCTGCTCCGTTGATATGCTGTTGGTTATTCTGTATGCCGAGAAGCCCACCTTGCTGAGCCTTTCGCTGTTGAACCATCTGTTCTAATTGTGGTTGCAAGATTCTACCAAACGGGGAGTCAAGCACCGCTTGTGGCATGTTCGCGATATGCTCCGGAATGCCCTTGCCTAACATAAACGTCGAGAAGTCGTTGCTGAAGTTGTTACAGTTATGACGAAACAAGTCGTAAGCCTGAGGTGTGTAGATCTCCCTCAGCGAGTCAATATACTCAACAATCACTTCTAGGGGAAGTTCGGTTTTGCCAAGAAGAATGCGTTCGAGGGGCCGGCCGAGATGGGAGCTCCCGGGCCGTATGGAATTGATCCCGCCATCATAGACATATTCCACGCCCTCTAGCTCGATGGATGTATGATATATTGCGTCAAGTTGGAATCCAAGCATGCCCATAGACATTTGTCGGGCAAGTCCACCCGACAGATCGTAGACTAGGAGATGAACATCCATCATGGAAATAAAATGCCGATGCTTGTTTTCGCAAAATATTTGCGATTCGTTTTTCCAGAAGATTTGGTGATCGGTCACGGAATGCTTGCTGTATAATATCGTGAAACTCCGACTGTAACAGGCTACCTACCTAGGTAGCAGCAGTCTAACGTAACACCAGGATTAACTTTCTTTTTACAGAACTTCTAGATGGTACTTTGTGGCTGATGATTGTATTGCCTATTTGAGTTTAGAGGCTTCTATCTCGACGACATTTATCAACATACTCACCGTCATCATCTTCCTTGATACTAAGTACCTTTCCACAGCCGTGTGTGTTACAGGGAGATATACCAGCCTTAATACCTACCTAGGTAGAGACATTATTAAGAGAGAGAGTACTTTAGTGGGTGGGTAGGTGGTATAGAGTTCTACAATATTCATCACAGGATAAGGTTCTGGTTCCTGGGCACTTACTTAACGAGACAGGGCGCTGCTTAGGGTGACCTTGACTCGCACGCGCATGAATCGCATGAGTTCGTTACCGTACCTACGATTACATAACAATTGCAGGTAGGTAGACAATAAACAGTAGAATCAGATCATGTCTTTGTAGCAGCCGTGAGCGCGTTTCTGATTGTCCCTTAGCAAACAAATTCCCTTACCATCTACCATCTAACTCAACACTTCCGATTCAAACCAGCTCATAAGTATCCGGTCACCCTCACATCACGTCATTTGTACAATCTTGGTGGGGTTTTCGGCGCCCTTGCAACACAGCACGAGGCAAGTGTCTGGGCGCCAGCGCATCGCGGCTGCCGGGCAACCAGAGTAAATAACCAAGCCCCACAATAACCCCCGGCAAGGGTGCGGTTACCTGTCTGAGCTGGGACTAGGTGATGATGTATGGCATCCCAGACAATCTAAATCGACAGCGATATCGCGACGCTATTTCGGACTTCTGCGACACATTGTCTGTATTGGTGCTGTCGCCGCAATTATTATTACCGCTGCCTACTTCATTGTCGTCTAGATCACGACAGCATTCCACACAGTCACTAGCTGGAATTCATCAACAACAGGACATAGCAGACGATAAAGACATGAGACCCGCCGCCCACGCCATTCGGTCGTCCGCCTCGACCCCTTCGTTGCGTTCCCGAGATGGCACGCTTCCAGCGCACATGATGAGGCTGGATGGAGGCGGCAATGTGAGGGTCGTGGTGCGAGTGAGGGCCTTCTTGCCTAGAGGTACGTCCTGTTGTTCCTTGATTGAATGGCGTCAATGGCCGATGAGGCTTCAAAAGAGGGCTGTCATGGGCCACGGTCGCTTGCAATAACTAACGCAGACTACCGCGACTACAGAAATCGACCGCGGCGCAGAATGTCTGATTAGCATGGATCCCATTACCCAGATGACGACACTGCACATCCCAAACGACGATGACCCGGCAAATACGAGGGCCAAGAGTCGCAAGGTTATCGAGGAGAAGTCCTTTACCTTTGACAACTCGTTCTGGAGTCATAACACGAGAGATAGACACTATGCACACCAGGAAGACGTTTATAACAGTTTGGGAGAGGACTTTCTCGACCACAATTTCGAAGGCTATCACACGTGTATCTTCGCCTATGGCCAGACAGGTTCCGGCAAGTCATACACCATGATGGGCACCCAGGAACAGCCCGGTCTTATCCCTCGAACGTGTGAAGACCTCTTCCAACGCATCGAGGCTGCCCAGAACGAGACCCCGAATATCTCTTACCACGTACGGGTATCCTACTTCGAAGTATACAATGAGCACGTCCGCGATTTGCTTGTGCCTGTTGTACCAAACCAAGCGCCATACTACCTCAAGATCCGTGAATCGCCAGTGGAGGGCCCATATGTCAAAGATCTGACCGAGGTACCTGTAAGAAATTTCAAGGAGATATTAAGGTATATGAAAGCAGGAGATGCCAGTCGCACGGTAGCGAGCACCAAGATGAATGATACCAGTAGTCGAAGCCACGCTGTATTCACGATCATGTTGAAGCAGATCCATCACGACATGGAGACAGATGAAACGACAGAGCGAAGCTCACGTATACGTTTAGTCGATCTTGCGGGCAGTGAGCGGGCCAAGTCCACAGAGGCAACAGGCGCCCGGCTACGCGAGGGTAGTAATATCAACAAATCACTGACAACCCTCGGACGGGTGATTGCTGCATTGGCGGATCCTAAAGCAAATCGATCGGGCAAGAGGAGCAGAGATGTTGTGCCATATCGAGACTCCATTTTGACTTGGCTCTTAAAAGACTCGCTCGGCGGAAATAGCAAGACAGCAATGATTGCCTGTATCGCGCCATCCGATTATGAAGAGACCCTATCCACACTGCGCTACGCAGACCAAGCGAAGAGGATCCGCACGCGTGCCGTGGTCAATCAGGACCACATCAGCACGGCAGAGAGAGATGCACAGATTGCCGCCATGGCCGAGGAAATTCGCTTGCTACAACTTTCCGTATCGGACTCACGACAACGAGAGAAGAATGCCCGCGAAAGCGAGGAGCGCCTCGAAGAATACCAGAATAGCGTAATCGCCATGCAGCGTATGATGGAGGAGCGTAGTCTAGTAGCCGAAGGCAAAATACGCAGTCTGCAGACGGAGAACGAGGCGCTGCGTCTGCACCTCAAGCTGGCGCTCGACAGCCTCAAGAATCCTATTCCCGAAGTTGTCGTGCAACCTCGATCCTCGGAACTGGAGGATCTCGATGAAGGAAACGCAGTGGAAGAGGCAGACGAAAAGGGTAGCGCAGGGAATAACAAGCGGCAGAGCCCTGTTGATGAAGCGTACTATGATGACGAGGACGGCGAGGACGACGGGTATGAGTCTGAGATATACGAGGAGAAGGCAAACGACATGCAAGACTACATGCAGGAGTTACTCAAAGACTTGTCTCTGTTCAGACGTAAGATCGGTGACGATAAGGACCGATTCTTAGCCGAGAGTCAGCGAAGCCCATTTGGAGTCAAGGTCGACGTTTGATGGTGGTTTCCTGATGTTGAACCACAAGAGCTAACTGGAAAAGGAAGAAGAGACTGTACGTAGCACTTTTCATTGTTTGACAAGCCCCGGTGTCTGGAGTAGCGGTTGTTTGCATGATTGGAAATGAAGGAATAAATAGGACATGACTTTGTTTGTATGGTATAAGCCGGCTCTACAGCCAACAGATAGTAGCAGTCTGACTTATAATGAGAATGTACTTACGCCTCTATTTGATTATACAAGGGCCTCTTTCAAGCTTGCTACTACGTGTACAATTTTGGCTCTTCATTTATTATCATGCGCTCATCGGATTACGGCTCGACAGGTTCATGTTTCGGACAAATGAGCAAAGTGAATATAGGGGCCCACTGAACTCCATATCATACCTGTAAATCATGTCAGCTGTGAGATGGTCTAGCGGTGTCGAATAGGGAGGTATGAAATAGTGCTTACCAATAATTAACAGCGACACAGATTCCATCTTCTGAGCAGGATTGCGACACTTTATGGTACCTTTGCACTAGTCAACGAACAAGTCCTATGCGTAAATAGAGACTACGTGAAAAGCGTCCGCTCTCCATAAGAAATGATAAGTCCTACTTACCACATAGCCGGAAGATAGAGCATGTCTCCAGGTTCAAGTGTTACTCGCATGGGCTCAGCGAGATGCGAGTACGACGTCGCGCGCACCTCAGGCGCATCGGGGTCCCAGAGAGCAAAGGGGACTTTCGGTACCTGATCCCCATTCCCGTCTGATGCTTCGTCCATACGCAGGACGAGATTCCCCGTCGCATCTTCCCTTTTTGTGCGAACATACGTGGCTGGCTCAAGATCTTGCTCGTTCACGCAAGGCTGGAAGAGCGGGGGTAGGAGCACGAAGTGTTTACACCCCGCGATCTGGACGTAGATATTCTCATAGTTGTCCCTGTGCAATGCGGTCACGGAGCGCGAATTGCCGATCCACATGTTGATAGCATCGGGATCTCGCTCCAGCGCAATTCGTGCAAATGCTATACTCTTCTCCACCTGTGAAAAGAGCGTTATATACTCGTGCCGCAGATTGTCATTTTCTTTCTCTCATTAATACAGGATCTCAGGAACTGAGGAATGTGGGAACGCGGCACCTACGAGTTTGCGCGTATCGTACTTCATCCTCAGTATCAGGTGAAATTGTCTTTTCCTGCCGTGTCACTATTCACACCTCGGTCAGCAACTATTTCTCGAAACCCAAATCGGTAGGTGTTTCAGAACTGCGAGAAACCTTGAAAAACAGGTCTTTGGCCCCCAAGGACGCTCGTATACTCCGAAATTGCCAAGAGCGGCGCAGAATGATTCCGTAGCTAACTCACAGAACTCAAGAAACTCGCTAAACTCGTGGTCTTCTTCATGCGGCTTTGCAAAAACGAGATGTCCTTGGCCATCTAATGTGGGCGAATCTGCATTCCCATACGGCGTGATTGCAACATTCACATTGTGGCCAGCCAGTGTTGAGCGCAAATACGCAGCGTTCCACGTTCGCGTAGCCGTCCAATCCTGTGCGCCACGCCGCACCACGAAGGGTGTATTGCGCGCCACATAGCGCATAAACTCTAGGGGACTTGGCTCCTCGTCGAGCTCCTCAATATGAGAAGAATTGAGCTCATTATAAGTGGTCAGGAGTTCCGCAATTGAGTCCTCGGGTCTGTGAGCTTCCATCTCGTAGATACATTGGTGTGCTGGCCGACCGACAGGCAGGTCGAACAGCCTTCACCCCACCGTTCTAGTGGTTGTGATCTGACCCAACTACCTACTATAAAGTACTCTGTGCAGCAGCGAGTCAGTTTGCCCTATGTTGTCTGTAGAATCTGGGGGTTCGAGCCTCGCCTAAGTACAGCGGATCTGCCCGTTCACGATGAACCACATCTACACTATCCGTAAAATCCTCTGATCCGCCAACCTGGTCCCAATCTCTTATGGCCATATGCTATTACGATGCTGTTCCGATTCCTATGCCGTCTGCCGGAACGAACATGATCGTCGGTCAGGCAAACATCCCCTGAAGTTACAAATGGAGAAAGGTCAATCGGTCGGGGAATTTTAACCCTGTCACACACCACGCCTGAGTGAAGTACACAGCCAATGGAAACCAACGCGCTGGGTCAAGATGCTTTAAAGTGAGCTGATCCGACTACGATGCCGACACCTCTGACCTTGCAAAGCAGTGCGGCTAGAAATTTCCAGTGGTCTGATTAGGCACGAAATGGCCTCTTGTTAATGGAACCGTCATCAGGGGGCGGCGGACAGGAACACATATAAAGTATATTTGCTCACCGTCTCCCAACAACCCGTCAGTCTTAGCACTGCGTCCTTAATTCACGTTATTCCTCGACAGCTCGGCCGATCACAACTACGGCTATTACCTAAACACTTACCGGCCAACCTCATGGACCTCACGTGTCAAGTTCGGTGCATACGCCTCCTACCGTCATTCTAGCAGATCGCAACATCCTAGCTGGTCGGAGCTGCATAAACGTTTTGAGTGGACGCCAAGTTAGATGCCTACCGTAGCAGACCATCTAGGAGAGTTGTAAAGTATGCACACAGGAGACACCGCATCGATGCAACCGGCCGAAATCCGGGCACGCAGGGCACGCCACACAGGAACGGGAGAAACCAAAAAGGCGTCGGCTGCCCTACGGCACGTAACCCTGGCGACTCTGTGTGCGTGTGCCTGGTGTGTATGTGCGAGGGTATGAGTGTGAGTGTGAGTGCGAGTGCGAGTGCAAGTGAGAGTGGGAGGGAAGAGAGGGTGAGGGGAACGGGCGCTTGTCAGAAAATGCGGAACACAGCAAACGGCTAGCGATTAGTTGGCGATGCATAGGTGGCATAGTCATGGCGGGCGCCGACAGAATATACTACATCAATCATGATACCGCCCAGACGTGGTAGATCAGAAGATGTAGGTAGGTTTAAGAGGAAAAATACAGGGTCATGTTTGCTGATCTCGTGGCTGGCGCTGCCTGTTCCCGTCGCTCGTCTGCTATTCTGTCGCCAGTGAGCGTTGAGGGCGCTCGGAGGGGAGATGGACGAGAGAGATCTGGGCCTGGGTAAGTGGATGGCAGACTGCTGTTTTGCTGTTTTCGGCAAGTCCTCCCCTCTGCGCCCATGGCCTAGTGAGCCGACGGTCCACCTCAGAGGACACCATACAGACCATATAATGCAGCACTAACCAATCACTCGATCGCCATTTGCATGCCTCATCGAGCAATTGGAATCTTCTGGTTACAATCGTCGACCCAGTTTACAGTCGGTGCTCAGATGCAGATGGCAGAGCGCTTGAGATGGATACAGATGGATACATGCGACTGAGATGTGCTATCGAGATGGGAATACCGAGATGCGTAGGGTAGCGCCTGCCCACATACCTACATACATGCCACATACATGTGAGTAAGTACATATGTACCTACACACATCCATACCTAACGCATACCCACAGTACCTAGGTAAGTACTTGCACACTCAAAAGGTACCTAAGTAAGTAAGTTATTGCAGATGTACTTGACAACAATTGGTAAGTCTTCCAACTTCCCGCACTAACGTCATCTGAGTAGGGGAGCCTGGCAAAGGGTACCTCAGGGACTTAACATGCCTACTTATCTACCTAGGCACACTACATACCTACCTAGACAGTTCTGACAGTTGCTAGTCGGGGCGTAAAGCTCGTGTACCCTTAGACTGGAAGCACGCTAACTGTCTAGGTACCTAACACTTCACCACTGCAGTACGCTACAGCACACTACAACGCACTACTGTACACGACCATGCGATGCCAAGGTACATACACCACGCTAGCCCAGGATGGCCCCACCACAGAACCCACGGAACCTGCGGCAGAGAGGGGCCGACCGAGACAGACCAGTCAATCGCGGCCTTTCACTTGGACTCTCCCCTCCCATTATCCTATTTCCAATCAATTGAAGCGAAGGCCTTATTTCCTTACATATCATCAAAGTACTGTAAGTAAGGAGGAGGCCCTACTCGAGTAGGTACTGTAGGTATCTGCCCAGAAGGTCTAAACAAAAGAGCCACCCCACCCGCCGCGATGCGAGGCCACCTGTCCACCTTATCCATCCATCCATCTGCCTACCTATAACCTAACTACCTACCTCGCCTACTAATCGCCTACTAACTCAGGGTTACTGACCTGCCTAGCCTACCTTGGCCTTAGGTCCAGTATTCTACGGCACTACGGCACTATCGACACATCACTTACTGCCTACCTAGGTATTAGGTACCTAAGTAGACCGTCCACTAGCTCGCCCAGACTCGCCCTCTACTGCGCCATATCGGCGACTTTTGACCTCATCAACAACCCATTCAATAGGTAGACTACTACTAGTACCCGACATAGGTATCAGTCCGCGCATTTGCACTTGCACCACGCTACAGCATCTGAATGCTACGAATACCCGCCCAAATACCACCACCACGATCAGCCCCTCAGTGAGAGCTGAAAAGAAGAAATCCCAAGAAACCTGTTAACCTCCCAAATTTGCCCCCAACCCCCCAGCTGTCCCTCCCAGTCCCATCTGCGCGGTCCCATCCCATCCCATTTCTTTTTCGCTTAATCGGGCAAATATTCCCCTACGCTTGCCCGGATCAATCGCCATCTCGATTCGGCCCATCGCAGAGCATTGTGTCGAAGCTAGCGCCGGGACTGCATCAGCGACGGCCGCCCAGGTCTCTGGCCAATCTAATCACCACCAGTCCAGTAGCGCACCGCACCCTTCCTGCCCACTCGCCCTCGACACCTCTTCCACTGGCCCCGTCGCGGCGCCAACGTCCGCAAGCCTGCGATCGAGTAACATTGGCGTCGCTCTGGGCCCAGCTCTTTGTTCAGCCCGAAGCCCAGTTGAGATTCTGCATTGTATCATGGTGCTGTAGTCTAGTGTTCCACACGGCGAATGTGCTACACCAGGCACCTTGCTGGCTTGCCTCGACTGTCCAGTTTCTGACACTGGGGGTTCCCTGCACCCACGTAACCCGTCCCTCACAGACCTACCTAAACCATCCCTAAACCAAGCAATCAATCAATGCCTTTTATGACCTAACCTGCGAGCTCTCACATACTGTACTCTCCCATACCAGTAGTGCTGCTGTACTGTACCGACTGACTGTGTGGGAAGTAAACCTGGGTCCTCCCGTCCCGCTCTCGCATCCCTTTCGCCGCCGCAGAGTTTACCTACCTGTCTGTTGTTATCACACACCCTGACCAGTCTATCTACCCGCCTTACCTAGGTGCCCGAAAGATTTGCCTGTGTGCGATGCCCACTTGAAAGACTCACCGGTTGTCTTCACCATCTCGTCGTGGACCGCCACTTTCTTCGACTTCGCTGTGTACCGTCTTCATGTCTTCGTGCGCCGCATCGACTTGATTTCCCAACTTAGTAGCGAACCCACACTATGCGCGATTCGAGTCTATGCGAAGGCTGTCTGCCTCTAACTTTAATTTACCTTCGCTGCACGACCGTCGGTCAGTCCATGATTGGAGACTCTACTCTGGTCGTCCAGTGCACCCGCTGAAAGGATGATTTGGTATCTCCTTTATCCGTTCCGAGGGTATGTTACCGCTCTCGTCCTGCTTACCGTCCCATCCCATTGTAGCATCGTTGACTTTTGTGTGAATCAAGAACAACCGAAGCTCCCGTTTTAGATCCGAGCCACCCACTGCGCAGTGGCTTTACGCGATACGGTAGATATGCCGCCAGCCATGTCCTGAGCACATTATTGATATCTGTTGCTGTCGCCGCCGTTCTCATATATCCTTTTCCGTTCCTCTACACCACCGATTTTACCAATGGAGCGTCCAGTCTTCCTCATCATGTCTGGACAGATGCCCATCTCGTCGATGAGAAGACTCCTTGTGAGCCCGATGTCATCATGCGATCTATTTGGGTCCATGGAAGTTATTTTCAGGCACTTGAGAAGGATGTCTTGCTAGGAGCTCTTGAACTGCAGGATGAGCTGCTAGGCCCAACCGTCAATTTTAGTCCGCGCCTGAGTCCTGACAGCCTGGAAAGACCCGCCGAAGCAAGCAAGTATCTCACGTTTAAGCAACGGGATTCATTGCATGTTGTTAACGGTCTGACCAATGAATCATGGTTCTTCCACTCACCTTTGCAGTATTGGTCTTGCTCCTCTGATATTATCGAGCAAGACCACGATATACTCGCAACGGTAAATCGGAGGAAGAATCAACCCACTTCGGTCAACGTCACCTTGAGGCATTCGATTGTATTTGCCGGAAAACGTTTCGAAGACCGCCAACTAGTCGCTGCCGACGCCTTGGTTATCACCTTGATTCACCGCCGAGACTCTCCTATGGGCTCTATCTGGCAAGAAAAGGTGCAAACCCTTGCTAATAGCATGGCACATAAGTGGAGAGTTATTACACCTCAAGATGGAAGACCAAGCCAACTTTACGAATTTCAATTTCGCCTCATGTCTCAGGTAGATGCCATTCTATTGGGCTCAGCCTACTCACTTGTCCTCCTATATTTCCTCTTCAGCTTGTCCAAGCTGCGAGCTGTCAAATCCAAAGTGGGTTTGATGGTCACTGTGGTAGTGCAAATTGCTCTTGCCATTATATCGAGTTTTACTATTTGTGCCATACTCAAGATCGACCTATCGAAAATACCACGACTTGGCTACCCTGTAGTCATTTTCTCAATGAGTCTAGAAAATATTTTTCGGCTTATCAACGCGGTAATACTCACCCCTTCAGAAGACAGTTCGAGTAATAGAATCGGCCACGCCTTCGGCGAAACGGCTCCGATTGCGCTGGCTAGCGTTGCTCAAAACTTGCTTATCCTATTCGGTCTCTCGCGAGTAGTATCATCAGGGGTGTCGGCATTTTGTACCTTTGCTGCCATCGCGATCGTATTTGATTTCTTCTATTTGTCAACATTCTTCTTGGCCGTATTGAGCGTTGATGTGCGCCGAACCGAGCTTAGTGATGCTTTAGCCAAAGCCTCTACCCGGTGTCATCGACCTTCTCATGATACCCAATCACGTCAAGCATGGCTTGATACTATGCTTCAAGGGAAAATAGCCATGTCAACACGCATAGCAGGTACCGCAGTCATGGTTGGTTTCGTTCTGATTGCACAGTGGCACTTTTTCGAGAACGAGAGTCTGGTCAAAATATTCCGCAGACTTCTCTGCACCACGAACGAGCATGATGACATGGATCCGGCTCAATCATCGCTCCTCGTCGAGGTCCATCAAGCGAGGAGCCCTACGTCATGGCTTAGGTTGCAAGACCACGAAACTGCTCGCGAAGTTATCAATATCATCAGACCTGCTGCTTACAGTTATACTGCTAGGGTGTTTGATCCATATATATTTGTGCTCAAGGGATCTGACCGAATGCTGTCAGCCCATGAGCCCCTATTCTCACCCGCTATTTACGATTTCGTTCGACACCAACTTACTCCATTCCTGGTTACAGTCCTCCTCGTAACTGCGCTTGTGCGACTTTTGATGAACTATCTGCTTTGGGACCAATTATCGGACACCGAGGTACTTCAGTTAACACAGGATTCGCTCCTCAGTGTCAAAACTCTGCATGGAGGACATAGGCTTGATGTTGCCTTAGTAACAGCATCTTCCGCTGGTCATCTCGTATCTGTGGGCCTCGACCGTGTCGTAAGGGTTTGGAATGTCAAGGATGGCGGGTTCAATTATGCCCTGGGTACAGAAAAGAACTCGCCTAGAATACCATTCCCAATTTTGGCTATGTGTATTGAAGACGAATTTGGCTGGCTTGCTCTATTAACTGTCGACCGCGTGTTATTATGGAATTTAATCGACCTTCGATGGGGGCCTTCAATTCAGGTAGAACCTTTCCGACACAAACCAGAAGTGTTTTTCTTTGGGAATGATGATTGCTCTACTATCCCGCCGTTAATATTGGTACGCCGGGATGGTGTCATTACGGAACTAAGACCCGAACTGGGAGAGACCAGCAGCTATATAATACCAGAAGAGGGCGCTGTTGCTTCTGTGGATGCGCTTGCCGAGAAAGGTGAGTACTCTGGGCCCCCTTTTATATATTAAGTTTCACACTGACGTGTTGTCAAGCATTCACCCCAAAGATCATGGCTTCGACCAGAGAAGGTCAGGTTCATCTTATAACTCAAGATGGATACGACTGGGTGTCTAGTGCCATTAATGTTGGCCCACACCACTCTATCAAAGAGAAAGAATTTATTTCGATTCAGGCACTACCTGAGTTGAGTTTCTTCCTTATTATACGATCCCAGACCGTGGATCTAGTAGACTCGCAGACTCATAGGGCCATCTATACCTTCAAAGTGGACCCGATACAGCCAAAGAGCCTCAAAGCATTCCATTCAAGACCTAGGCGAATGCGATGCGGTTCGGTTGCCTTGTGGAGCTTTACAATTGCGTATCTCAATGCATATACTCGTGATCTTGTGGTGCAAACGTACAGTCCACAGAACGAGGATGAGTCCCTATGCTTCTGTGACCCTGAGTCTCCCTCACGCAAAACCTGCTGTCCATGGAGACGTGCTAAGGAAACAAGGCGCATCATCAAGAATCCCGGAGTCTGGTTGGCCCTACCGTCCGGGATCATGGTAGGTGTCAGGAAGAAACTACCACAACACCACTTCACAAATATTCATAGTTTTCCGCCATCACCGCCACAGTCAAGTGGTCTAAGGAATCGCCGGCACAATCATCACCATCATCACCATCACCACCACCATCACCAGGTTGCTCCGCCACAACACGCCCACGACGATTGGGAAGTCTGGATGTTCTCTCACTTTGGCGGCAAGCAAGATACATGGGAGACGGCGCCACTCTGTGTGGAAGGTGATGACGGTCACCTCTTCGTGACTCACCTCGGCCCGATGTCTAACGTTGGTAGCTCTAGCATCGTTGTTGGGCTCAGTAATGTCATTAAAGTTATCACCGTTGGCCAGGAACGCTTCGATACCGAGGATGTCCCTGGTCCTGGCAGCGGCGTACCAGCTGTGAGCAGTCGAAGGCGTAAGGGACCTTCAACTCTCAGGGCTAGGCAACCAGCCCCCTTCAAGTGCTGCTAGCCGCCAGCTTACGTTGAAAAGAGAAAAGTCACATTCTTTGTATATATTTCTTTTATGTTTGTTGATTGGGACACGGAAAACCAGTGCGCATAAAATGGGTGCGCGTACATGAGATATGACGACAGCATTTTCACATAGGTTCTTCGACATACTTAATACCGACGTGGATGAACAAGGACCGAGCTTTGGGGGCATATCATCTACATCTATACATAGCATCTACATGGACGGCGGGTTGGTCGGCAGGACTGTTTATAAGGAAGGGAAAACCGGCGCTCGTGGATCGCAATATCCGACTTTTAGGTCCCGGATTTTTTTGTTTTTGAGGAGACATGGGATACTGGGAACTTGAAAGGAGAACAGACTACCTAAGGAGTTGGCGCGTCCCATAAGTATACTACATACCCTTTGTGAGCAAACGGCGGCACTGTTGAAATATAGAAATTCCGTCTGGATTTCGCCTTGTACCGTTGACACATTGCGATACATAAGTTAGATGGTACAACTCATCTTAAAATGTTGCCAGATCCTTTGCAGGATGTGATACCTCGTTTGTTCATATTTCATGAATAGACTATAATAGCAACATTGCAATGTATGGGACATGGAAGACATCACAGTTCACGTTTAATCATCAGATCATATTTTAGTGGTAAAGACATCAACTCGCTTCGTTTTTTTAAGCCATCTCGGGAATTATCAGTTCATACCAAAGTAAGCAGATACTCATTACAAATCATGTCGAAAATATGGTGAGCTTGAGTTACTAACGCAAGAACCATTTCTTATGGAACAGGTGCCTGGGAGGGGAGTGCTGGAAAGGAGTCAGGTGTACTGCAAGGTTTCACGTGATGTCGATACACTGTACCTACCTAGACTACATATGTACATAGGGAACATCGTATATCTCTAACACCCGGCATTTCATAAAAAGTTCAAGCTTGGATCGGCTACAACCAATCTTCTCATGTATGTGTGTATCTAGGACCATAATTCTACCCCTGCTATGCTATCGCAGGACGTCCGGGGATAAAAAAAATCGATCGATAATGAACCAATCGGGGACAAGGGCTGTAGTTGAGCTTTGACGTGATTTGCAAGTTTCACAGTTTTTGATGCGGGAAGTATATATGTATGTATGTATGTACTTATGTAGGTAGACAAACAGATCAGATCGAATACTTGGGGGTGGGGAGGGAATTTTCGGTGAGGGTTGTGGACTCGGATACGCCAGGTCGATGTCGATATGGACGGACTGCTGGTCTTGGACTACACTCACTGCCTAACCTACCTACCTACCTACTCTGCTGCGCAGCACAGGTAGTAACAGATATAGTATACCTACCTCTAGGTAGGGAAAGGGGAGCGAGGTAGGTTGACTAACACCACATAACACAACATCCATCCATCGATAGGTAGGTATGTGGGTACGGACGGTAGATTGGTTGTTTGGCCTGGCCTTTTTCACATGCGACCAACCCCGCCTTCCACTTCCTTCCCCAGCGCAAAGCAAGGAATCCGTCCGGCTCATCACGGCCTTTTCGGCGGCCGCCTATCGTGATTTTCGCTTTTTCCCTTCGAGGGCGACGCGTGCTTTATGCCATCATCACACCACATTTATTAACTGCACATTCTACTGCCGTATGTGAGTATGTGTGTGTGTATGTATGTATGTATGTACGCGGGTAGGCAAGCAAGCAAGCAGGCGGGCAAGCAGGCAGGCAGGCGGGCGGGCAAGCAAGGAATCTGGCGGTGAAGCCGCTTCGACGGGTTGCATGAGACGGAACCAACCACTTAGCATGTGCGGTCTAGGTCGGTAGTCAGTGCATCATGGTGGAGGTGCGCGACTTGGTCCGACCCTGGAAAGGAGGAGACTGGCTGGCGGTCTCTTTTCGCTGGATTTTGCCACCTGGCACTGTCGGTTCAGAACAGCTGTCTTGCTTAAGAGGATGTTATGTCATTATGTAGGCAGATTCGGATTGTCTAGACTCTTCTTGGTCTCGTACCTGTGGACTAAAATAATAGGTAGATCAGGTGGCTGGGAGGGACGGGGGGAAGAAAAAAAAAAAACGGTTCATCCTGGTGATTTTACCTGATTGGCCAATTTTTAATAGCTTCTTTGTGTGAACGAGTCCCAGTCGCGTGGTTCTATCAACGCTCCCCTAGCTTGAATACCTAGCTTCGATGGGTATGTCTCCCGCTGGCCGCGGTCAATACATAACTTCAGCGTGCGTGTCTTTTTTCTGTCACGGTATGTGTAATTGCCTGCTTTTTTTCGCATTAAACTTGTTATTAACAAATGGGCGATAAGCTGACATCTCTATCTCGGAGAATACCTGCGTAGGTTGCATTCTCGCGGTGTGGTGTAAGACACGCTTCTTGCATGCTTCTATGTAGATGGCCAAGTCCAATCGATGCAATTGAATGCATCTAGACTGCCCACGAGGTCGAAGGTACATATGTAGTTATGACAATAGTAGAAGATGTGGTTTGTGAGGCTAGTTTGAGAAATGAGAGCGCGACCTAGGAAACACTTTTAAAAGGCGATTGTATATGCAAGTAGGTAGATAGATAGGTAAATACACATATTCCCAAATTAGTACGCGGCCCAGGTAGAAGGATCAAACGTCCCCCAGTCCCTTGCCCGGGTAGACCCAAGACCATCTCTGACCATCTTAAAATGGAAAGCCAGGGATTTGTTTTTGATCAGTTCGATCAGGGGGCTCTTCAGCGCGATTGTAATACACCACTTGTCAGGGTTTCCGTATTATCGTCAGGTTCTCGCAAGCCGCTGCTTCATCTTCTCTGCTGAGACTGCGCCAACGAAGTCGCTATAAAACACCTCATCAGATTTCCATAAGAGGTACCTACCTACCTACCTTGATGTAGGTACCGGGTACCTTTACTTAAGTAAGTACTCACTTACTTAAATGGACTAATTTCCCCTTTTCTCATTGGCTTCGCGTCCTTGGGAGTCCCTTGCACCTTCTCTGTAATTAGCTGCTTACGGCCATTCACTCAATACATCTCCTGTCAAATCACGTCACTTGTTTTCCTCCCTCGTCACAGATTGATACCTATCCATTCGACTTACACGCAAGTAAGTGTCCGGCCTGTCTCCTTGCTTCATGCTTCATATAATTGATTCAAGTCATTCATGTCCAATTCGATACCTAGTTCAAGCTTCACGCACTACCGACACGCCTAGTCGACAGCACAGCCTCGGCTTCGAGTCTAGGCGCGTGGCTGACCCAAAGGGCTGCCTCCCCAGGCTCTTCTTCCACCACCAGACACCGCATTTCCTGGGAACTGAACAACTCATCTTGCATCCTCATAACCCGTCCCCATTCGCCCCGCGACCATTCATCCTGGACAAAGTGCAATTCCTCCGGCCTATGACTTGCCCCAGACAAGTGTTACAGTGTTACAGTGTTACATGGCCATCTACATAGTAGCCGCATACCTGCTACAACTACTTACATATCCCTGTTTGTTTCCCTCGTGGCTGTCGACGTTCGCGGTGGATCTGGTTCTGCCTCCGTCTCTGTAGTTCATGTGCATTTGCCTACATCCTCGTCGTTCGTCCGGCTCTGCAGTTATATATCACTTCCAATGCCATATCCTGCCACAAGCACGTGTTAAAGTAGCCCACCTTCTACTTCTACGTATCTGTGTCGGCCTGGCTCCGGGTTTGCCTCGGATTAGGCTAGATACATACATGTGTCCGGACCCGATCCACAGACTCTTTGCCATTCCCATTCCTTCATAGTCTCATCATACCTACTTACTGTAGTATAGGTAGCCTCATATGCGGCCTGCCATGAGACCTGCATACAGCTCTACATACATAAAGTACATACCAGATCCAACAGGCTTACACCACCGAGCCTGCTGACGTACCCTATTCCCAGTTGTACCATTCTCGCTTTATTTTCTTTATTTTCTTTCTGTTTTGCAAGACGCGTCGTTCCATCATCCACGCCCGAGTATGAACATGGCTCCCAGATCAATTGCTTGCTCGGCATCTCACTCATACTGAAAGTAGGACTTTCCTAGTCTCGGCGCCTCTTCTGAGGGCCGCTTTGTAAGAATAACCAAAGCCTCACGGGCCTGACAACGCCTCAGTCACCACAACACGCGCTTCGTGTTTGGCGACTCCACACAATCTCCGAATCCTCAACCTACTGCGTCACAGCCGTTTTGACGGCGATTGGCTTGGGATTTCTCGCCTTCAATCCTGGCAGTTCCCTGACGCCTCTGGTGGAGTCGCTCTATATACTCTCCGTATTCATATCGCTACCACACGCCTCTCTAAACTACGGACGCCGAAATGCTTCGCGACCTTGCAAGAGTTTCTACCCCGATTCTCATTCACCCTCATCAGCCTCAACCTCACACTTGCCGCGTTCCCTGTTTACGCTGAAAATACTGGCCTTTGAATTTATTATTGGCCGCTTTACTTCAGCCTCAATTGAATTGTAAAACCTTGATTTCCCTTCTTGTATCATATTGGTCAGTACAACCCAGTAGCGGGTGCTGTTGGCGCGTTATCGCAGATAATACCCTAGTAATATGTGCAACTAACTTTGTGCGATCCTAGTGCGCTTGTAATTTCGAATGTTTAATATTGCCCGGTTCTGACACGTCTGTCATTTTGTGGCGTTAGTCGAGCACTCACCCTCTCCAGGGTTGCCCTCGCAAAACCTAGTATAATTACAAGCACCACGCGACGTCACAAACCTGTGTATCGGTGGTAGCATCTGCGTGGTCGAATTTTCACGCTCCTTGTAGGAATACCCACGCACGTCTCGCTCTGGGTTCAATACATCTGGCTTGATTGCTTCACTCACGGATACACCTACTATCTATCTCCTTAACAGGTGACATTCCGGCCTGTGTCATTATTTCGCTTCAGGAATAGAAGCGACTCGGTTCAAACATCATTGTATTTCAACACTAGACATTTGCGCCGGGGGATTTCTCTCAACAATCTCGCAGTGCTGGAGTTGATGCTGCCAGAGGAGGATCTAACTTTAATCAGGTATGGTTATTTCCTCACGACGGAATTGGCGATGTCCCTGCTTTATTGCACCGGCTCCGATCTTGTCACATCACCCTTCTCCACGTCACTTTTCTCTGTTTGCCTTAGGCTGAACATATCTGGACGACTGCAAGTCTGCGCCATATGCTAGTTCCGTGCTTTCTATACGGCCCCCTTCAATGACCAAACCTCATTGGAACTTATTCTTATGCACCTGGGACTAATAGCGGTAGAAAGATTAGATATTCTCAATGGCTTCGTCCGAGGTAGACCGCAAATTTCTCGGCAATTTGGCAAAACAAGTCGAACCGAACAATGCACTCCTTGCATCTATGCTATTCAAGATATTAGGTCTACATATCAACTTGACGGAGCAGACGGCGAAAGCACGAAAGCAGCGCAAACTGGATACGTCGCGGACGTCAGAATCACTCGAGTTGTATTTCCACATAGTATGGCTTGCACGGGAAGGTCTTATCATGCTCGAACAATATGTACTTCCGATGGTTGGAGATCACGGAGAGCTCAAGGTACTTGCGTTCAAGCTTCGAGCTTCATTCTACCACATCTTTGTGCTTTTTCATAACAACCCCTCCATATCTACGATGGGCGTCAACACTTCAATCCCAGGTATTCCACCAACATCTCGACTTGATAAAGGTAAAGGGGTCGAGAGACACGACACTATCTCTGAGTCAGGTCGATCATCCGTACAGCCGACGCACCCACTAGAGGGAGGTCCTGTAGGACCTCCACCGGGTTTTGGACCAAAGCTTCCCGAACCAGCTGGAGCATTTCTGCTGCCGTCAGTAGACTATAGGCCTACGGCTCACGAGTACTTCAAGCAAGCCATAGCCCTAGCCGATAATCTTCTATGGGGATCGCACTCTTTGCGACTGTCTGTTAAGACTGAGTATGCGGCTTTTCTATACGAGTGCTTACACGACGAGGCAGGCAGCCGCAAGTTAGCAAAGGATACCATTGCGGAAGTCTATGATGCCTCAGAAGGCATGGACGACGACATGTTTCAAGATGCATGTGATCTCGTCACTGTTTTAGGGAAAATGACGAAACGTGGCTTAGAGCCAGATAATCCACCTCGGAGTAGTGGGCCGAACACAGGCCCTTCGACTACCTCAAGGTCAGGGCCTCCGGCAATACCTGTTCCCGCCCCTATTCCTGGGGCTGGCATGGGCAATTTCATATGACACCACAAAGGACCAATACGAAAGTACTCCTCGCACTAGATTTTTCAGCGGCTAGGCTCGCCCCCATCTTTGAGGGATACATTCACCTGTGACCTCTTCCTTGCGCTCAACCCCTATAGCAATACCAATGACTAACTTTGGCCGGGGGTATGGATTGAGCGTGCGAGGAGGAATCAGGGGGTACTTTCTGCTCCCAGTACAACAGCATACCATACACGATATATCTTCATCACTCATCTTGCATAAACGGAGTTCCTGGGCCAAGGCATAGAATTCGCGGTCGTGCATAGCGCTTGACTTTGGAAAACAAAAACTTACTTGATATCAATACCAACATATCGATTTCCCAAAACATAGGACTGAGTTGGGGCTGAGGGTAAACCCCTATTAGCAATCTGTACCAGATCCTCTACCTAAGGACCTTCTGCCGATAATCGCAGCTCATATTTCCTCTTACGCGATGATACCCACCGAGCGTCAACCTTGATTATGGTTTAGAATACTAGCAGCAACTATTCTGTTAGAAGACATACCTACATGGCCTTAATTGAATTGAGCGGCAGGCAGGCAACAGGAAACAGAACATGCTCAGGCTCATGGGACGTGCCTGCATACTTAATTAGTGATTGGTACTTATCTATCTAAGTATTTATCAGCCCAGCCCTGCTCGATCCAATCTGCTCACCAGCCAAATTACCCGCTTCTTAGCGAGCAAGTTGATCAATTCTTTCACAATACTAGTATGCGCAAATGCGTACCTTTGGTGATCGGGGCATGGTAATTTAGATAAATAGACACATGACGCTCAGAATCAAACTTTTGTCAAAAGACCGAGAAAACTGATGCGATGCAACTTCTGCCGAGCTGACGCATTCAATGAAAAAGGGTTCGCGTAAATATAAATATACCAATCAATCATCTCATAAAGACACTGCGTATAACGTCCATTGAAACCTAAATATGAGAATTAAGACTCGACGCAACTTGACAACGTATTAAAAAATGCATGGAGATATCAAAACTAGGTAGTCAGTGTACAAGATGTGTGATCCCAAGCAATTAAGTTTAATTCACAACTTTCATTGGGGGGGTATAGTGCCACTACATAGACCTCGTCGAAACTCTCTTCGCCGGCCTTCTATCCCGTACACCGTCATCTCTCTTCTATAGATCCTCATATGCGATCTTCCATATACCCACAGAGGGAAATCCCGGCCGATACAAAGACAGGGGGTTTAAACAAGCCAATGGACAGACACCAGGGGAATACCTAGACAAAACCAACCAATCAACCGACAAGAGCAAAACGCAGACTCGCTACCTACTATACGCCTATGCAATGCAATGCAATGCTTGCTTTTAAAACCAACAATTACTCGAAAGGGCAGTTAGTTTGATCCCCGAGAACGCCTGACCATTTACCGATTCCACGCCGAATTTCAAGTTTTCTTGATACTTTGCGGGGAAGCAATTTCAATCTTCCTCGTCGTCGTCAATGTCCCAATCAGCACCAGTCTCCGCCCAGCCGCAAGCCCAGCGCCTGCCACCAGTTTCGCCACCGGTGCGCAGGTCCGCTGCTTGCTCGCGGTCCTCGCTCCAGCACCTTATATGGTAGTCGTCGCCCACGGTGATAAGTTTGCCCTCATTCGTCCACGCGACGGAGCCGACTTCACGTTCATGTCCACGCACCAATGGGGTGCCCATGCGGATGATGGGGATAGTGTCCTTTAGGCGCGCAGAGAGATTGGTCGAGCTATTTGTGCGGAACAGGGGTCTGCGAACGCCGTCTACTGATCTCTTGGAGCTTGTAGAGGACGTGGGACCCGCCGTTATGCCAATTGTTGATGAGTCGAGACTTAGATTGCTCATCATGTCTGAGAGCTCGCTCTGGAAATATCGCTCCTGGGTTGGAAACAAAACTGCACAGCTATCGTTGCTTCCAACCGCGAGAAGCTCGCTTCTGCCATCCTGTGCGGGCCGGACCGCACATTTGATATAAAAGCTAGATGCAAGGAACGAAGGATGTCGGAACCCATATAATGGGCCTAGACCCTGCTGTGTGACGGCATTGTGTCTCCGCCTAGGCGGCTCCCCGTTCCGACACGAGAGTTCCGGTGCATGGCCCAAAATGAGATGGGCTGTTGAGTATGCATATACAGTGTTATCTTTACATAATGCATAGAGTCTAGAGGCATCTGTACCAAGTGCGAGGGAGGATATACCAAATGGGCGCCAGTGGTTATGCGACTCTGGAGGGGCCGTCACAGATAGAGGAGAGGGCACTTTATGGCGTGATGAGTGAATAGATCGGATATCCCACAACTTGATAGACGCATCCGCCTCACATGCAGTCAATAAGAGGTGCTCTTGTCCTGCAGGTAGAAATTGTAGTGTGGTTACTGATACGTCATTCGAGCGGCTTTGTATCTCGCGACGCGAAGGCGTATCACCTGGACCTATCGATGGAGATTGCCGAAGCTGCCGTGACGTACGTGCATGTGCATGATAAAAGCTGTTGATGGCACAACCACGTTTTGGTGGAGGTGCACGGAAAGATAGATTTGTATTCCGGGCTTCCGAAGTTTGAAAGTCCTGCACGGGGCGACTGCATCGCAAGTCCCATATCTGGACACTACCGTCACGGGAAGATGTAGCTAAGACGCTGCTGTTCGATTGACCAGGTTGAAAACGTATCTGCTTGAGGGAAGCTGTGTGCTGTCCGAGGTAAGCAACTGGTGATTGCGTCATCATATCAATGACCTGACCAGTCTGATCTCCAGATGCGGTAGCGAGCAACAAATCATCGTCCGAGAAGTCGAGGTCGATAACGGCATTAGTATGTGCCGTAAACGACAAGTGAATGTTGCTGAAAGGTTCGGAAGAATTGCTCGACGAATCGAGCAACCGTACGCGGCCTTCTTCGTCTCCAATCGCAATAATACCGCTTCGGTGACACGTAGCAGTACAGAAAGGAATGCATTGTCCAGGTCCTTCGTGGCTAGTGCAAGTATGAAAATCGTCTGGGCGGCTATAGAAATTGGCGGTATCAATTCTCCAGTCGGCAGCGGGATAGGACATATATGCATGTCCGGCCCGGGGGAGACCTCCAAGTTCTCGCTGTGCAAGCTGACCAGCTACACCACGGTTAACTAGAGGACGCAGCCGCCTCGGTGGGTATGTTGGTGTCGGGATATCTTCATCACTGTATTCGTCCTCTGACTCGCAGATTTCCTGGCTGGAACTAAGGGACCGGATGGGGCTGAGAAGGCCAGCTTCGAAGCTATGGGAAACTTTGATGATAGGTGAAGGTCGAATTGGTGATGATTCAGGGGTATGTTGTATCTTCCGCCGTTTCGACAATCTACTAGGTGGAAGCTCCGGGTCCTCGTCCTGGGGCTCTTCTTCGAAGAGAGGCTTTAGTGGGCTCGACGGAGCCGGGGTCTGATACCGCTGATTGATGTTGGATGCTCCGAGGTCCCGTAGTGCCTTGCGTGCTGGACTGAGTTGAGAAGGGACTCTTGATCGAGGTGTAAAGAACCGCTTGAACTTCCTAGGTGTAATCGACGGGTCTTTTCGCTCTTTGCCGCTTCTCTGCCTTGGCGGTGAAAGGAGGCGTGAGTTCTCGTTAGATATTGGCGAATTCATGATGCTGGTGCAATAGTATTTCCTATTGTACCCGTCCTCGCTCTCTCTTCTCCCTTCTCTCTCTCTCTCTCTGCCTCTTTCATACAACGTCCAAGCCCAGACTGTACCTATTATATCACCACGTGCGTCAAGTCCAGAGAGCACCCGCCTTTTGATTGAAAGAATGGGATCAAGTATCTTTCATGAGTGGGAATCTGACAGGAAAGCTAAGGGAACACACAATTGCCAATGGAGAATGCTAATATACACGGAGAGTGGCGGGGAGAGGAGGAAGGCCTGGGGCGGGTCTGACCTGGCGGAGCGTGTAAAGTGAGCGTGGCACTGAACACGGCGCGAAAAGACGCGAACACTTTACACGACCATGGGAGGTCGCTGGCTGTCCAATGGGCTGCTGGAATTAGTGAGCTATGACGTTGGACAGCACCGCTCTAGCACTGTGCGCAGGGGGTGCTCCAGTGCTGCTCCAGCCGCTAGCCGCTGCCTTGGGGCATCTTGGGGCGTCTTGGAGCGTGCTGGGGCGTGGATGTGGGGCGATGGATCTTTCTGCTCGACAGGGATCACCGCGCCTCGCACAGGGGTCGTCGCTATCGATAACGAAAAGTCTGGGAATTTTCAACTTCGCTCGTCCTCAACCCGCTATCTCAAGCATGTCGCATCACCAGTTCTCAACGACATTCCTCATTTGAAGTTGAATTTCCCACCAATAGCTGGGGGCCGATTTTGCGGCTTTGCCTCGTTGTTAGAGAGGTCCTCTCGGACGGGTTGCTCACAACCAGGCGGCATATTTCCTCCTTTCGCCATTTGGTGACCTGCCAGTTCTCATCATGGGTTTCCAAAAGAAAACCGGCAAAGGCCGTCTTGACAAGTACTATCGCCTCGCTAAGGAGAAGGGATATAGAGCCAGAGCTGCTTTCAAGTTGCTCCAGCTTAACAAAAAGTACGACTTCCTGGGTTCCAGTAGGGTCGTAATCGATCTCTGCGCTGCTCCTGGGTCATGGCTACAAGTGGCCGCGGAGGCAATGCCAAAAGGGAGTTTGATTGTTGGTGTAGATTTATCGCCAATAAAACCGATTCCGGGTGTTATTAGCTTCCAAAGTGATATCACGACTGTAAGGTGCCGCCTATTTGCCCACGACAGAATGGAACTAACTCTTGGAAAAAGGACAAATGCCGTGCTGAACTTCGGAGACATTTGAAGACGTGGAAAGCAGATACGGTTTTGCATGATGGTGCGCCTAATGTTGGAACGGCCTGGATCCAGGATTCCTTTAATCAAGCAGAGCTCACCCTGCAATCCTTGAAATTGGCTTGTGAATTCCTTGTCGAGGTACTGTCATCACGGATTAGACTAAAATGAAATCAAACTACATGCTAATAATAACTAGGGTGGCACCTTTTGCACCAAGGTATTTCGCTCAGCTCAGTTTAACCAGCTCACCTGGATTTTCAATCAACTTTTCGATCGAGTCGACACGACAAAGCCTCCCTCTTCCCGAAACGTTAGTGCAGAAATTTTCTGCGTATGCAGAGGCTTCAAGGCACCTAAACATTTGGACCCTAGGTTCTTGGATCCTAAAACGGCTTTTGCCGATCTGAATGACACCGCGAACACAGATGAGGCAAAGGTCTACAAACCCGAGCTCAAAAAACGCAAGCGAGGTGGTTATGAGGAGGGCGACTATGCCTCTGGTACTCTGTATCGGGAGGTTTTGGCGTCCGAATTCGTGGAAACCACAGACCCTATTTCAATTTTAGCGAATACCAACCGTCTCATACTGGAAACCCTCGAGCCTACACTCTCGCTAGCCGCCCTTCAAAAAATGCCTGCAACTACAACAGAGATTAGACAGTATTGCTCGGACCTGAAAGTGCTAGGAAGATCTGAATTCAAGAAGCTTCGTAAGTCTTGCAATCACCCTTTTGCCATAGCGATTCGCGGAGACAAACTTCTCCTTTCGGGGGGCCGAAATGTCCCAAGAGCATGCAGAATTCCTGAAACCTTGTTGGTATCATCTGAAAGACTCTGATTACTGACTCTGAGTTACAGTGAAATGGAGACTAGTAGCACGCGAGGCATTTGGGCTTCCCACTAAAAAACAATCGCAACCCACCCCTTCACAAGGAGAAGGAGAAGAAGAAGCAGACGTACAGCCTATGGATGAGGAATTAAAGCTGCAGGAAGATTTGCAGGCTCTGAAAGACAAAGATGTCGCTAGGAGAAAGCGGGAGAAACGAAAGCAAAACGAAAAGAAAACGAAAGATATTCAAAGGGTTCAAATGAACATGATGGCACCCATGGATATCGGTATAGAAAGTGCCACTGTGCAACCAGATATGTTCCAGCTCAAAGCTCTCGAGAAACAAAAGGTCGTTGGCCAAATTGCCAAAGGTCGTATGGCGATCTTGACTGAACGGCCGAAGAAAGATCAAGACAGCGGAATCGGATCTTCTGGAGACACGGATGACGAATCTGATGATCTGAACGATCGCCTAGAAAGAGAACTAGATCAGCATTGGGACGCATACCAGGAGAGGAGACGAAACTATGAAGCCAGGATAAAACGTCGAAAGCAGGAGGAAGATGGAGAGTGGGAAGGTGTATCGGCTGATGAACAGGAGTCCAGCGACGACGACATGGTTGAAGAAAGCGATGGCTCTGATGATGACGAGGATGATGAAGCTCCCCAGCGATTACTCACAGATCTTGATGGTGTGTCAAAGGATGCAGGCCTCTCAAAACGAGCTACCAAATTTTTCGATCAGGATATCTTCAAGGACATCCCAGGTCTGGAGCAATCTGACACCGAGTCCCTGGCAGAAGAAGATATGGAAGATGCACTAGTAGCGAGCAAAACCGAGGTCAAACCTGTAGTATCCGAAAAGCCATCTACGAAAGCTTCGAAACACAAAGTAAAAGAACAGATTTCTCCTACCATTGACGAGGAAGAAGACGAAGATCAAGAGGATGATGACTGGGAAAAGAATGACCAACGTCGCCCAGATGGTAAGCCCAGTATCGACATTGTTACCGCAGAAGCAATGGAGCTTGCCCGCCAGCTGGCGAGTGGGCAGAAAACCAAGCAGGACTTAATCGATGAGAACTTTGATAAGTATGCATTCCGAGACCGCGATGGACTTCCAGATTGGTTTTTGGAGGACGAGGCTAGGAACGAGAAGAAACAAAAGCCCATCACAAAGGAGGCGGCACAGGCAATCAAGGAAAAGATGAGAGCCTTGAACGCTAGACCTATCAAGAAAGTAAGATGCCCTCACCATTAGCGAGGGTTGCCAGTGTCTGAAGCTAACATATTAATGTTAGGTGCGGGAAGCGCAAGCAAGAAAGAAGTTCAAGACCGCTCAAAGGCTCGAAAAGTTGAAGAAGAAGTCAGATCTTTTGGCCAATGAGGAGGGCATGACAGAGAAGGAGAAGGCCGAGAGCATAGCGAAATTGCTCGGCAAAGCTAAGAAGAAGGCTCCTAAGCGGTCGGTGAAGGTAGTAGTCGCTAGGGGTGCCAATCGTGGTATTCAAGGTCGACCCAAGGTGAGCATCCTCGGATCATTGATTTCTCCATGCGTCAAACCAGAAACATTTCTTACTGTTGCGTGGAATTTCTGGAACTCGCGCTCTAGAACACTTGCTGATACCCCAACTCTAGGGCGTGAAAGGACGATATAAGATTGTAGATGCTCGGTAAGTTCCCGAAATTTCTTATCCCCCAGCCTACCTCTGGAGCAAAATGCCTCCTGAACCCTTTGTAGCTGAAATGATAATTGTTGAACCATGTTTACTAATATTTCCTATCTACAGAATGAAAAAGGAAATGAGAGCGCTGAAGAGGATATCGAAGCGGAAGTAGAGGTAAATCTATGGGCCATTTGGTTCTTAGAAGACGCCCCACAAAATAATACAGTATAAAAATGAGATTTTGCAAAGATTACCATGACTTTTGATGACATCCTAATCACAAACGTAGAGATAGATTGATTTAACTAGCTTTTCTTGATGACTCTTTGATGTAGGTTGCCATTTGATTATGGTATGACTCTCTTTGCGGAGAACTATGCTTGGATACAAATGCTGAGATTTCGACGAGTCTCACAATAATAACCCCTTGCTTCCCGGGTCCATATCGCAGTAGAACCCTAAAGGTCCCCAAGATTTTTAAACGCCATCGATTCTTCTATTTACTAATTCCCATCGACACCCTCGCATGGAAGCAAACAAGAATTACAAAACATCATTACCGCTTCGCAGCACCAGCCTTCCGCCTACTCTTACCCAGACGCGCCGTCTTGGGCGTCTTGCCCTTGGCGCCGCCCTTCATGCGCTTCGCGCTGAAGCCGCTGAGATCGCCCGAGCTCTCGGCGTCGCCGGACTTGGAGTACTTCTTCTTGCCGCCGAAGCCGAACTTCTCGTTCTTCTTCTGTCGCTTCATGCCTGGCCCACCGCGCTGTGAAGAAGAGCCCTTGTTGTTGTTGTTGTTGTTGTTATATGATTTTAACTCGTTTTCGACGCCTACGTCGAAGAGGTCTGCCTCGCGTGTGCCGAGGTCGCCGCCGCCGGTTTCTGATCGCTCTGGTTGGGAGGAGGGCTGTTAGTTATGTTTTCACGATTGTTTTCTTTGGCGTAGGATCGGAGAGAGTGTTCATAGTTAGAAGGGTATGCATATGAATACAAGGGGGTACTTGTAGAAAAGCTAAAGCTGTAAAGGGAAAATGAAGTCAAATGGGGAATACGTACTCCGCTTGAGCGTCTTGATCTTCTCGAGCGTCTCGCGCTTCTCCTTCTGCCGCTCCTGCAGCTTGGCGACCTGGACCTGCTTGCCGAACTTCTTGAGGTCGCGCAGCTTGCGGGCCTCGGCAGAAGCCTTCTTGGCGGAGGCCTCCTCAACGAGCTTGGCCTTGACCTTCTCCATGTGGCCGTCGTCCTTGACCATCTCGGCGAAGTAGTCGGTGGGGCGCGAGAAGGGCACGCCCTCGGCCTTGAGCAGGGCGCGGCCGCGTTTCGCGGCGTCGAGCGCTTGCGCGTAGAACGCGAGCTCCCGCTTGATGTCATCCATCAGATCTTCGCCGATCACGTCTGCTGTGGGCTCCTTGCTTGCCAGACTCTGATGCGAAGCGAAGGTCGTGCTGTCGTCTGTTGGTATCGCGAAGCGCTTTAATGAGGCTAAGAGGCCGGTTGTGTTGTTGATGTTAATCCGTGTGCGCGGGACGAGATCTTCTCTCTCCTCTTCGGGTAGGTCTGTCCAATCGATCTCGTCATCTTCCTCATCCTCTTCCTCCTCGTCTTCGTCCTCGTCTTCAGCGGGCTTTTTGCTGGTCTTGGGTGCGGAAGCTGTATCGTTTGCCTTCGGCTGCTGTTTAGGTTTCTTCGGCCTTTCTATTTTCTCCTCGAAGTCAACGGAGGAGTCGTCGCTGCTTTCGTCTAACGCTGCTAGGTCGATGGCGGGCGCATCTTCCTCGTCGGCGCTCTCGTCGTCATCGTCTTCTTCGGCGTCGCTGCCGTTGTCGGCTACAAGGGCACCACCTTCAACATCTTCATCGTCATCTTCCTCGTCATCCTCTTCCTCATCTTGGTCGTCCTCGGGGATCTTGTTTGCCCCGCCGCGGGAACCAGTTCGCTTTGTCTTGAGTTTGGCTCGTTCCTTTAGCCTCCTCTTCTCCTTCAACTTCTTGATATCAATTCCCTTTTCTGCTTTGAGAGCAGTCTTCAGTTTGCTTCTACCCATGCTTGACTCGGGCGTTATGGGCAATTTAGAAGAAACGAGATGTACAAGAATTACCTAGGATCACTCGAACTTTTTTTGCTCGAAGCTTGCGATAACATGGGACCAGAACTATTTTTTGGGCCCCGATAAGAGATAAAATCGACTACTGCACGCAGCTAGGTTCCGTCCCGCTTTTCTAACCCAATCACATTACCTACCAATCTTGCATCTAGCACGCGACTGTGATTTATGTAAAAGTACATTAAAGTGTTGATTTATTCTACCCTCAATTTCCAAGTTCTTGAAGCTGGCAGCATTTCCCAATTACAATATCAAACCATTAGCCAAAGCTATATACTACATGTGTTAAACAATCCGCTTTTCCTGCCGTGACCTCTTTTCCTAACTTAGGGAGTATTCTTCCGATTTAAAAATCCGTTTCCAACCTTGCCAAGCGTATTCTTCACTCCGCCCGTGAAGAACGACGAGCGCTGTGTCTTGAGCGTCGGCCGTTCACTGTCCCACATCTCCTGCTCATTCGCTTGCTGCTGTTGCTGCTGTATCTGTTGCTGTTGTTGTGCTGTCTTGAGGCTGGCGTAGTAATCTCGATATCGCTCTTCGTAGGCCTGGCTCTGGTATGCCTGGATCTGCTCAGGTGTGTACGCAACTTGCTGCTGTTGCTGTTGCTGTTGCTGTTGCTGTTGCTGGTACATGCTCGGATGGTAGGCTGCATAGGTCTGTTGCTGGCTAGCATAGCGCGCGTCCGATGCCCCATATTGTGAGCCATCGTAGAGGGACTGTGCCTGGAATTGCGTTGGCTGCTGTTGTTGCTGTTGTTGTTGTTGTTGCTGCTGCTGCTGCTGTTGCTGAGGATAGCTTGATATGGGTACGGGGGCCGTTTGCAAGGGTTGGGTAGACTGATACGACTGCCCGTAGGCGCCCTGATATGGTACGGATAGTGACGCCGGCACTTGCTGCACCATGGCGAGTGTAGACGATGTCGGGGCTGGGACTTGGTGGTGGTATTGTGTCCCGTTTTGGGCTGATGGATACGCAGCTGTGGGCGTAGGAGCCTCGTAATCACCATTCATCGGAGGTGGTTGATACCCAGTGTCCACTGTCTTCGGAGAAGCTGTCCGTTCCTGTCGTGAATCTAACGGCGAAGGCTTTCTCCTGATAAAGCTTTGGCTAGGGAGTTCGACTGGCTCTGCTGGCGACTCGCCTGCTATTACTGGTGACTCCCGGCCTACCAGCCTCCTCGCGTCTTGATCCTGGAGGACCCTTGTCGAAGTCGTGGCTTCGTGATCGTCTTGCGGTGTGTCCTCATCTTTAGATACATGGTATTGGTGAAAGAGCGAGATTTGATTCCCCAGCGCAGATTGAAGCTCGCTCGACAGTTGAGAGATAGCATCTGGGATACCATGGTCGCCTTGTGCCTCAGAGTCCTCGTCTGCTTCGTCTCGATCTTCGTTGATCGACGATGCAACATCAGTAGCATCGTCATCAGTAGGAACCGCGGTAGCGCCCTCGCTGTGGAAATCGTCTGTATCGCTAAGTGGTTCCTCATCTTGTGCGTTGTCATCATCGTTGTCGGCACCTGTCAAATCATTCTCAACGTCGTCGTGATCCTCAGGTGCTGGGGCCTCTCCATTTCCCTCGTCATTATGATTACTACTAATGCTTCCCGCGTCGTTGTTATCTATGCCCCTCGATGGTCCGCCATGAGAATCATTGGCGTTATCTCCAGTGTCATGCTGATCAATCGACCTTGTTCCAGACGTATGCATGTCCCCATTGACTTCGGGTCGGCTCAAGTGCTGTGTGCTAGCTTGAGGTGCATCATCGTAAATGAGGCCCTGGTTGGTGCTCGTTGCAGATCGGATAACGCTGGTTACAGTCGGATTGCCTGCGTCTATCGACTTTTTGAGAGCGTCGAACAATAATGTAGTGTGGTTCACTAACAATCTCAAGCAGTCCATATCACCTGCGTTTAACGCTGCCTGGAGCGCATTGCCATACCGTGGGCTACACTGCATGATATCAGCACCATGTTCCAGCAGACATTTGACTGCTTCCGTATCGCCTCGGGCTGCAGCAATAATAAGTGCAGTATCGCCGTCATTGTCAGCAAGGTTGATATCAGCACCTGCATCGAGGAGCTGTTCAATCGAGGATACAGGCATATAACCAGCAGCGTTAATCAACGGTGTCGAGGAATCGGGCCCTCCAATGACGTCTATTTTGGGTTTCGCCTTGATGAGTACATCAAGAATTTCTACTTCGGCACTTCTTGCGGCAGCGATAATCGGTGGTGCGCATTCTCCAGAACCATGGTTGGGATCGGCTCCAGACTCGAGCAAAAGTCTGACGATCTCGGTCTGGCACGCTTCGATGGCACCTTGTAGCGCAGTTCCTTCGGTAAAATTCTCATTTTTCGTGAAGGCGTTAACATCAGCACCGCGCTTGAGAAGCTCCTGAACCACATCATAGTGACCCTGCTTCGCAGCAGCTTGAATAGCATAACCCTCTGGTGCGTTGACGTTAGCCCCCCCATCCAGGAGCATCTCTACAATGTGCATAGTGCCATCATAAGCCGCTGCTGTCAATGCGTTTCCGTATCTTGAAATGTTAGCTGGGCTAAAAAAAAAGGGTTTACGAGGATGACTCACTCTTCACCAGTTGCATTCGGGTTCACGTGAAATTTGTTCAGCAGTAGTTCCACTGTTGTATCCTTCTCTCTATCAGTAGCCTCATAAAGCGCTTCATTGAGTGTTTGAGGTGTGATCGATCCGTTTGCGTAGTCCCAAGCAATATCGAGCATCTTATCTTGTGGCTCGGAACACGTTGCAGCTGTTAAAAACAATCCGTTGCAGTCCAGACCAGGGCGTCTCTGGAGGAGTGTTGTAACGATATCCCAATTCCACTCATCGACGGCAGCGTCGAGCGCTTTTTGAAAGAAAGGTCCATCGTGCTCAAACTCGAAGAGCTTGTTAATTACCTCCGTCTTTCCTGCCTCCGCCGCCTTCACCAGCGCCTTGGAGTACTCTACAGCAGGCAACTTATCTGCGTATTGCTGGATCAAGTATTCGAACATGGAAGCGTCAGATAGTAATGCCGCCAGGGCTAATGGGGGGTCAATGTCGTCTTGATCCACGGTCAATGAAACGCCCTGCTCAACCAGCAATTCGACGGCGGCTCGGTTTCCGGAACAGATTGCTGCGTTGACCACAGGCCCAACCTCAACAGCGGAGGCATTTGGGTTTGCCCCTCTCAAGACGAGTTTCCGCATTACCTCGACGTGGCCGCCGAAAGCAGCCATATGCAACGGCGTTTGCTCGTTAATTTCAATTGCGTCGTCGATAGGGGCACCTCGGTTCAGAAGTTCCTCGACGATTTTGGGCCGCCCGAAGTAAGCTGCGAAATGGAGCGGGGTGTTAATTAGAGAGTCGCGAACTTTAATTTCAGACTTGTCAGCATCGCCATTGCGAATGAGTGCTGCGACGAGCTGCCTGAAGCCCAAGGACGCGGCAACATGCAAGCCCGTGAGTGTTGTCGGATCGAAATCGTCGAAAGTAGGCATTAATCTGCAGTAGTCCTTCAGCCACCCGCGACGAATGTTTGAGTCGGCCTTCCAAAAATCCACTTCTAGACTCAAATCCTCGGCAATTTCTTGCGTTGCCTTAGAGGCGTGCCTTAGCCAGTGCTTGATCATATAAGGTAAAGCTAGCAAATCGCCAGGCTCTTCCTCTTCTTCTTCCTCCTCCTCCTCCTCCTCCTCTTCTTCATCATCATCATCATCTTCTTCGTCGTCATCATCTCCCTCATCTTCGCTATCTTCCCCTGAATCATCATCGTCGTCGTCCTCGCTATTATCTTCATTCTCGGCATTATGTTCACCCCCATTCTGTTGATCCTCATTATGCACATCAGTTGCTTCTTGTGCATCACCATTCGCATTTTCGGGCTGCGCAGATTCTGCAGGTTGCTCAGATACGACTTCCTTGTAGCATTCCTTCACGTGAGAGAAAGAACGGAGAGCAAGGACACCATGCTGCCACTTAATCTCTTCTTGTGAAAGTCCCAAGAGTTCTTTGGCATTCTCAAGCAAATGGCCTTTGACGACGCTGTTCATGAAACCGACCTTATCATCGTTTTTAATCGTCAGTAGTGGTTTGCACTTCTCTATCAACCCGTGAAGCTCAGCTTTCTCCTCCTCGCTCGAGCCTAGCCCAGCAAGGACACCCAGTTCGGCAGCGCTCGGATCTTCATATGTGAGGACAAGAGCACGAAGCATTTCCTCAATCTTCTCCGCTTCAGCCTCGCTCGAGGTAAAGACTCGTTGCCACGATTTGTTGAGTAAACTCTTCAAATCTTGCGGTATGGTTTCCAGAGCACGGCGAACGGGTAGGTCGCTAGGCGTCTCCGGCAACTCCCGAAGCTGGACGCAGGTAATGTCAATCCACTGCGTATTCTGTGCTCGCCTTCCGATCAAACTGCTGGCAAAGTAAGCCAGTGCCTTGTTGTACTTCTTATCTTGCTCAAGCAGTGTCACTTTCTGTTTAGCATGCTTCCTCAGCGCATTCTGCACTTGGTCCCCGTACTTCTCATCCTCGAGATCGACGAGTCGAACACTGTCCGTCTTCAGTGCTTGCTCTACGTTATGCGCCTCTCTGCTGGTTATAAACCACCTCGTGGGAACCCGTTTCGCATCGTCGCTGTTGACACTCTTTGTTTCGGCATTAAGATAATTCATCAGTTTGATTGTTGAGTCCGAGTCTTCCGGCAAGCAGTGGATGTTGTTTAGTACAAATATGACTTTTCGACCGATGAACTCATCCATCAGCATATCCTGGAGCGTCTGCCACAGGTTTTCTACGGCCACCCGAGCTTGTTGCGACTTTGAGCCCTCATTCGTTGTCTTCTTTAGGAACTGTTTAGCGTAAGGAGCCAGCGTCACTTGCTGGCTGATCAACTGCTTGATGAGACTTTTCAGGATATCTTCGGCAGTGTTATAATCTGGCGTCGTGTCGCAGAAGAAGTACGCAAGGAGGACAGGGTCTTCACTAGCATTTTGTTCATTGTTGATCACTCGGGTTTCGATTTCTTCAACGGCAGCCATAGAAGCACTTGTTTTGCCTCTCCCTTCGGGGCCCCGAATCCAGATACAATCTCTGTTCCGAGTCTGTTCTGTTTCCGGCGCCTTCTGGTCTTCGGCTAACCATTGTATGTACTCCGTCTCTGTAGTGATCCATGACGATGGCGCAAAAGTCTGGCGAAGTGTATTGCGCTTCCTCTGAACCTGGGCACCTTCAAGGGTTCCCACTGTGATATCTGAGGTCAGTAGCTGCCGCGTTGATTGACAGAGGCTTAGAACTGGACTGAAGATTACTCACTGATTTTGTTGATCATGTCCTGATCAACATCGCGGATTGAATTTAAGCGGTTTTTTACTGTCAGTTGGGCGCCATGTATCAACCTCCTGAGCGGATCACGGACAAACTGGCTCCATCTTGTGTCTTTATGTCCATCAAATTTGACCAGGTCTCGATGATTACACGCGAGACCTAGTTCATCAACACCGGGCAATGTTGCCGAGTCTCGGCTGACGAAATCAGCGTACTGTTTTGGAATCATGGCTTTCGTAAGGCCAAAAAGAGCGGGCAAGCCTGCGATTTTAGAGAAATCGGTGGGTTTTTCCTCGTAGAAACAGAAAAGCTCAATCTTTGGACTTATTTTCCCCACGAGGCGCACTGTAAAATGCATAATAAGCAGTCGTTCTTATAGGCATATCGGAACAGGATTCCTTCAGACTGTTGACATGGTCTGAATGAAAAGAAGTAGAAATAGGAATTACTCACTAAACTCGTGCTTCAGCTCGCGTAAGCCCTCATCTCCTTCTTTCATCAAGTCCAGCAACTTTGAAGATGTGGCTTGGCCAATCTTTTCGGCAGCATACGCGTACATTGCCGCTGCTGATGCTGCTGGTGCACCCCCAAATGGTGTTCCGAAGAAAACCGCGCCCGCGATGGCCTCGAACATAACTGGAAACTTATCCTTTCGCTGGTCGGCGAGTGTGATTGCTTTGGCTATTACTAGACCACCCACTAGAGCCCTCAAAGTTAGTAACCATCGGTCGAGTCTGCCATCCTTGTATTCTTCTTTTTCCTTCATCTCAGAGTGTCACTCACTGCTGTGGCCAATAAAAACAATAGGTCGCCTTTGGCATTTCTAAGATCACTCTATCAGCAAAACCACGTCCCAACATCATAAGTGTGGATGTAGCCTACTTTCCGCTCACTGTGAAGACTTATGAGCATCCCCATGGCAATATTGGCCATAAATTGCTTAACTTTCAGTGAACCTTGCCAGGCCGATTGATACTTGTACAGAAGCACTCGCGACTTGGGAAAGTCTCTAACAAGCGCCTCGGTAGTCCAGTTAAACTGTGTGCTCTCGGATTTCCAGCTATCCTCTGGGTGAGCGCCCAACCCAGGGACGAGCACGATGCTGCAGACACCTTTGTTAGAGCTATTAGACTATGACTTTAAAACGGAGCGCTCTTACTCTATCTCGGGTACCACATTATTGTCGAGAGGATACAGTTTTTTCATAGCTTGTTCAGCAATACTGTAATCCTTCTTCTCCCTCGCGGGGCCAGAACCGGCTTTCCGCGTCGCAGAGCGCTGGAGAGACATAGTGATGGTGATTCACCCGCAAACAAGCTCAGGTATTCAAGCAGGCTTCGATCGCGTGAGGACATGATGCGTTATGTATGTTGAAATGAGCTACTGGCCTCTACGCTACTAGCTAATGTATGGTGAGATACATTATTTACCTAGACGGTCTAGGTCATCCTAGTTGTCCATGCTCACAGTGCACTATAACCATCCAGCAATGGTCCAGCCCCCAACTTCAATCCCCTGCAACTCACCCTTGCCGCCATGTCTTTTACATGGTTTACCGCACTCCTGAGGGTCCAAGCCGTCTCAGTTATACGGTTCCTTACAGTAGCACCTTGCAGCTTTCGTATACTATGCAGCCTGTAATATCGTGTGCTGTGTAATCAAACAAGCTGCAAGAATCTCTCATGCTGCCTACAGAACACTCGACGTGGTAAACCAAGTCAAGAATAGTGTATCGTGTAAATCCTGGCAGGTGTACAATAAGGCTAGGTCTTAGCAAGTAAGGCGTGGTTCACTACCACCAGTCCCAATCTCGGTAGAGTCCGCGACAAAGACTGAGATGCAGACGGGTGGGCCATGCTCTTGGGTCGGCTTTGCATGGATTGTATGTATTCGATTCTAGAATGCGTTAGGCAGCCCCTTAGGGCCGAATCCTTCAACTCGAAAAAGAAGCCCAGAATCTGCTTCATAATCCGAAGATCGTCCATTTGATACAGCACTACCTATACTGAGTTCAGAGACTTTCTATAAAATCATGGATAATGGAAATATTGTTGCTCATCTTGAAGCCATACAAGGCCACCACGTTCTCATGTCATACTCGAACCGCGTGCTGCTGTCGCCATCGTTGGTCTTGGCACAACCAGTGGGAAGAGACTGATACGACGCTGTCAGCTTAGCTTAATTACCTAATACATAATGAGCCAAAAATAGCCAGGAAATTGCATAGTACCTACATCAAGACGCTGACCAAACGTAGCGTAGCAGGCATGGGGTGGCGGTGGGTTCGTACAGTAGTGTACTATTCGCTCGGAGCCATTCAGCCCTAACAAGGGTCGTGATACCCAATGTAGAATATATGAATCCTGAAGTCCTTCAGACCTTAATATAGACATGAAGACCGAACTGTCAAGTATCTATGCTTTGTAATCTATCGGCTGTCTTCGAGACTTGACCAAGAGCCGCTGCTTTTTCGAGCTTGTTTTAATGCATTCATCTAATATTCCTATAATGGATCAACTCCGTCCACCGTTCACTACGCGCGTGCTCGAAGATATTACAGAGCAAGGGGAGGTGCAAGATGGCACATGCTATCTACCGGCAGCGCACCGTACGCGGAAAGACCATATCATCGTGCCACAAGCGGACACAGAATTCCTCGCCGATGAGCTTCTCGTCAACAAAATAAACGCGGTACAAGACTGGCTATGGATATGTGGTCGCCCCATGCCCCCTCGTCCGCTACATCATCAAATTTCGCTATCTAGAGATATTGTTATTACAGAGAACCCTGAGCTCCATCTCCTATGGTCGAGTAAACGCATATTTCTGAAACCTCTGCCGTCATGGCTCCTAGATCCCGAATTTTGGGCGTTATATATCTTGAAAGATGCGAATCTAGCGCAATGTGCACGAGGCTTCCTCTTCTCGTATATTGCATTAATTGCATACGAGAGTGACTTTCGTCTCGCCCGAGACAAAGGCTTGATCCCTGATTCTGTTACATGGGCTGGGTGGAAGTGCCTAGCTAAGGAGGTGCTACAGAACCATGACATGGCCACGGCGAATCCAAGATACTGGTACGGCGAACTTCGCCTCGATCGGCTGAACCTAGTCTATCGATTCAAAGGCTCGATCTTCCGGGGCTACTCGAAGGTGACAAGCCATTCGGACTACAGAGACCTCATCGCAGACAACTTCGCCATATTGGCCACGTTGCTAGGTTACGTTGTGCTCGTCTTGTCATCTCTCCAAGTGGGACTAGGCGTGGATCAGCTGCTGGAGAGCAGAGCATTCGTGAACTTCAGTTACGGGTTCACCGTATTCAGCATCATTGCGCCTGTCATAGCAGGCTTTGGCATCTTCGTCGTCATCTTGATTATGTTCACGAGCAACTGGCTTGTGACGAAGAAATACGAGGAGAGACGGTTCAGGGAGATGGGCGTGGAACCACACTGGAGAAACAAATCCGGCAAGACACCGACTGCCTCGTTCAGGGAACGTGAGGTGTCTCGCTCGAAGTCACCAGACGAGGTTTGATATTACTTCGATGATTATCATCCTTCCAATGGGCAGATGACCAAAATATCGTGACATCTCTCAAGGGAGACTCGTGCCTACTATCACTCTATAACATCCTAGAGATTGATTGGCCCACCTGGCATCACTATGGAATGGCAACTCGACTGCAGAAGTTACACCAAAGAACTTGCTTCGTCGTACTAATACGGGGCTCATTTGCTCCTTAATATCAACCTGAGGTGGTCCTAGCAAACAACGAGGAATGCGCGATGGTGCTCCAGTTTCCTTTTAAAGCAAACTCAATTACACGTACATATAAAGCAGTCACAACCGCCCTGTTGGGGTCTTAGCGGCCTTTTCTTTTGGATATTCTGGTATCACAATCTACATTTACCGACTCATCATATTTCCTTTCTACCTAGTTATTCTCCTACGATTTACCTACCTATTCACATCAGAGAACCCACTGTTCGGCACAATTGTATCTAATACAAGACGTTGACCCAAATCAACATGAAACTTCATGCTTTTCTCCCGATACCCCTAACGGCTCTCGCCGCTCACGGCTTTCAAGATCCTTGAACCAGCCCCCTTCGCACCCGCTACTCCAGAGCAAGGGGTATTCGCCAAATGCTCAGCAGTGGAACACCACACGGGCAAACTCGCGCATCCGGCGGACATGGAAGATTGTCTCGAGATCGGCGCATGGGCCGCCGCAAATAACGGCATGTGGGTGCTGAAGGCTACCACAGACGCCGACGATGACGACGGCTGGCACGTGCTCCATGGACATGCAACCTGCGCGTTGTTCGTCAAGTACACCTCGCCGACGTCTATTGGGAACGGGGATGTTGTGAATCTGATCGAGGCGGTTCATATGAGCGATAGTATTGAGCTTGGTTCCGTTGAGGAGCTTGGTGCTTTTCGAGGATGTCAGGCCGGCGTTGACGTGAGCTTTTGGTTACGCGGTCAATAAGCGCGAAGGGTCTTACTGAAGGCTAGTGTTGTGAGTGCGTCCCGCGGGATGGAGAGGGATGGTCAACTCTGACCAGGATGAATACGTATAGAGATCAAAATCGCAATTTATCGACTTTCGTCGCAAAGTTTAGTGTCATTTGACTCCTTGTGCTGTCCTTTCCATATCATGAAATTGTTGGATTCGCCTTTATGTATCATTTCAACCAACAAGATGGTCGTACTCTCGGCGCCTAGCTAAACTCACCATGTTTACGCTGGGTAGCTATGATTAGGCTTCGCTGGGCTGTACGAACTCGGCAGGCATAAAGCTAATTGGCAATATATAGCATCATTCAGCAATTTGTTTTTCGAACTGCAGTTGTGCCAGTGCTTGCCGGTTCTGGCTTGTCGCTCTTCTGTGTATAAAATGTCAACCTTCAGAAATATTTTGTTGGATATGTTCAGTCTGTAGCTTGGTTGGTAAAGTGTTTAACCGTGTATGCGCCTGAACACACGAGACCGCGGGCCAGCGCTTAGCTTAAGTCTAGTGACAAGAATAAATCAGACATTGGCGGTAACACGGAAGATATATACGAATCTAACACAATGGAGGGTATACGGAAAGATATAAGAGAAAAGGCAAAAGGGGTTTTTAGCCAACGGGAGAATCGAATTCCTAGGTCCTACTGATGCAAAGTAATGATATGTTCACTTTGATCCTATATAATCCAAGTAGAAAATGCTTCGCTAGACCAGTTTCAGTGCGGCCATTGGTCTAGAATCCGCCCCTGAATGTAGAATTTTCTGGTAAAGTTATGTTTTAGTATGAGACCTTCTTGGGCGATACATTTAAAGTAGACAGTGAGCTTTAAGATATTCGCCGCAGTAGGGTCGTTACTGAGAGCTATACACGAGGACGAATATGCATGGGTGACATGATTCAAAAGAAATAATACATTCGTTAATAGGCTATCTATAAAACCACCAGCCATTCGTCCCTAGAACGCCAGTACATATAGAAGTTCCTCGCAGACCGCGGTGCTTTTAGAATCGGCTGTAAGGGAGCCTATTCCGATGTTAGCTAAGGACTAGAAATAGTAGCGTACCCAAGTCTGAGTTCACTTACCACTTGCCCCTGAGTGTGATGTTCACCCATCTGTATATGTGTTAGACTAGCCTCACCTCACATGGACCACGTATAAAGCTACTTACGTAACGCCATCACTGTCCACCTCCTTATCAACCTTAGACGAGAACGCAATGGCACTCATGATGCCGTCACCGAACTTCTCGTTCATAATAGCCTTGAACGCGTATCCGTAGTTCTGTACAACCTCGTACAACCGATATATCAGGGGCTCTACAGGGGGCATCGGTCCAGAGCGGCCACGGTCGGGGAAGCCCCCCATTGAGGCCTCTAGGGCCTCTTTAGGGACACCTAGCAGGTTTGAGAGTTTGCCGACATCTTCGGGGGAAGCCTGAGCCTGTCCGTAGAAGATGGCGGCCACGGCAACCTCGCCACGACCGAGCTCCTTGGCGATTGCCTCAAAGGTCAGCTTCTTGTTGGCTTTGGCCTCAAACAGAGGCTTTGAGTAGGCCGGTAATCGGTCGGCGATAGAGGACTGCGAGGGACATCAGTAGAGGAACATTAATGCTCTTAACAAATGCGACTCACGTCGAGAGTAGCAACACGGTCGGCCATCTTGGTGAGATTATATGTCAGACAGGGGCTTGACAGGGACTTTTATAGGTTGGTCAATATGAGTAAACTGAGATGCAAGTGCGATCTATAAGTCAATGTTAAAAAAAGAAGTTTATATATTTCACCTTGGGACTCTATGAGATCCACGACACCGGTCTACAGGAACAACACTACTTAAACTAGACTAACAAGCACCTACAACAACCCCGCGCGCGGACGGCAAGTAGATTGGCTTGCGGGGAAAAACCGGCAACTCGGCGTTATAGAGAATCGAGAGCATTAGGATTATAAAAGGACCAAAGGCCGCGGAAACGGTATGCGACGGACAAGGCGCCGTGTCCGGGATCCTATTCTTCCCTCACAAGCATTGGAGCCGATATATGTAGGTGTCGTCCCAAATCTACTCACCCAAATCTCCGAAGCTTCCACGATGGGCGAAGAAAGATTGGACAAAAAGTAATCAGCACGGGCTTCACTCGGAGACCCTCTTTCGCCTCCGTTCTACCTAGGTAGTTCATCTTCGGAATTGGACAAAGAAGAACAGATACCGTAAAGGCGGGCAAGACATCTATCTATCTAGATGGTATGCATTATGCTTACACACGTGAGAACAATTGCCATCGCATTAGACTGCGTCAGCTCCTCTTGATCCATCCATGCCATGTCCTCGATTAGACTCGATCAGACTCGATCAGTAATCGGTGACGCGGGAACGCGCTGGCCAACCCCGCGCCAGGCCTAACAAGGGCTACCTCGACCAGCTCCCCCCCACTACAGGAGGGGCACAGCGCTGTCCCTCACTAAGCACCCGAAAGCTGACGCTGCTACGAATGACCTCGACAACCTCGAGGACGGTCCGAGGAGACAGACCTACCGAAGAATCACATATGTAGATTCGGCAAGGATTCAAAGACTGGCGACTGAGAATCCTCTACTATTACTACAATATCAATTGATACAGGGTAACAATATTCACTTGTAATTAAATGCCCATTTCATTGGAGCGCAATTGAGCTATTTCGTATCGTTACATCAGATATTTAGAGTACCATACACCATAACCAACATGAGCGACCACCCAGCTCACATTCCTGCTTCGTCGCAAGACGGGGGAACCGGAAGCCACGCCAAACATGTCCACTATGAAGATACAGCTTCCCATGCAAGCGATGATGATGTACACAAAGTAGAGGTATGTCGACGCTGTCCCTCAACACCGCCACGGGAAAAGAAGGAAACACCTAATAACAAGTGCTCGCCAGGTCACCTTTGACCCTACAAGCCCACATCGAAGAAAGAGCTCTCTCGTCCCCTCCGAGCACACACCAAATGTCGCGAACCAATATATCAAGAAACACTTTTCCTCCGACTGCCTAGTCCACCAATTGCTCGCGTGCCATAAGATCGACGCAGTCTCTAACAGGGACGCTTCCGATGGCCATACATTTAGCACCAGGCACGAAGATGTCTCTGGGGAGAGAGGCATGGATTCGCTTGTCGAGCCGAAAGGGAACAGTGTGAAGAAGGGCAAGCGATCCGAAAGGATGTCCGTAATAGAGCCAGAGAGCGACAGCAGCTCGGCGTCTGGCCAATTCGACGAGAAGTCATGGAAGAGCACAGTCGCCAAAAGCAGATCCGAGCTGGACCTGGCCGGGCTGGAACATGAGGGCATTCATAGTCGGCTACTTACTAAGAAACAACTCACAGAGATGGCCTGGGGAGTAAGGGAACTGAGCAGACGACTAGGAACGGCGCGTCTGAAATTCAAGGTGGAGCAAATCTTCCTTCTGACGAAGGCTTACGATGAAGAGTTGATACCGAAGACAAGAGAACTAGCTAGGTGGTTGTTAAGTAAAGACAGAAACGTACGGTATATCATCTATATCGAGGATATGTTGAGAGATAACAAACGCTTTGATTTACCGGGCTTGGTAGAAGAGCTTCGGAATGAATACATTGAAGCGGGAGATATGGACGAAGATACGCCCGCAGAGGTCATAAGCCGACGGATACGCGTTTGGACGGAAGACATGTGTCGGAAAAGACCCCATACATTCGACTTCATCATCACCCTTGGCGGCGACGGAACAGTTCTGTATGCGAGCTGGCTCTTTCAGAGGATAGTGCCTCCTGTACTGAGTTTTGCGCTTGGAAGTCTCGGGTTCCTCACTAAGTTCGATTTCAATGAATACCAGCAGTCTCTGCATACGGCGTTCACAGCCGGCGTCACCGTGAGCTTGCGATTACGGTTCGAAGGCACGGTCATGAGAAGTCAGGAGAGAAAGAGTTCGCTAGAGTCGAACGGCGACACCAGCGGTAATGGTGCTTCGCCGAGGCGCGACCTGGTGGAAGAGCTCATCGGCGAGGAGAAAGAGGACGAGCATACTCACAAGCCGGATGGCACTTACGAGATTCTCAATGAAATAGTGGTGGACAGAGGGCCGAATCCAAGTAAGTTCAGATTCCGCTAGTGTTCGAAATATGAGCCGTTTCTGATGATCCATAGCATTGGCGAACATAGAGATCTTCGGGGATGACGAACACTTTACCTCGGTGTTGGCAGACGGTGTTTGCGTGTCTACGCCCACTGGATCAACAGCCTACAATCTCGCGGCCGGCGGGTCCCTGTGCCACCCAGAGAATCCCGTCATGCTCGTCGCGGCGATCTGCGCGCATACTCTCTCATTTCGGCCCATCATCTTGCCGGACACGATTGTGCTGCGTCTAGGAGTGCCCTACGACGCGCGGACCAGCAGCTGGGCGAGCTTCGACGGGCGAAAGCGCGTTGAGCTCCAGCCCGGCGACTATGTGACTATCAGCGCCAGTCGTTTCCCGTTCGCCAGCGTCCAGCCCCAGGGGAGACGGAGTGAAGACTGGGTCAACAGCATTAGCGGCAAGCTGGGCTGGAATACGCGGCAGAAACAGAAGAATGAGGGCTTCAAGAAATGGGATAAGTAGGTAGTCTCGGTAGTTGGCTACATACTTAACCTAGCAATATGAACCTCGACTCCAGTCGCTTTGGGACCAGAATTGTTGACACGGTGCTACATAATAGAAACTACTCTAGTAGGGTACTAACCATGTACCTGACGGTGAAACGAAACAGAACCCCAAGCCCCCCAGCTCTTTTCTACTAGGTAATCCTCCTTCAAAAAACATGATGAACGGGTGGTGTTGCTGGAGCGGCCTAAATCTTGGACTCGTCCGAACACGATATTGACGTCTGTTTCATTATCTACAGTATGCGCTCAACCGGTTGTACTGGCTATGTCATGCCCGCGCGCGGCAGTTCAAATCCTCCCCTAGACAACAGGGTATATACTTACATCCTCTGACTTAAGTAAAGCTTGGACCCGGCAGTTGGGGCTTGGCAGGGGGGCTCGAACCGTTTGGTGGTTGAGAGTTGAGGTGCACGGCGGTTGTTCATCTATATCCCTATCGATCTAACATGATTACGAGGGAATACCTATCTTCCTTTGAGAACATTGTGTGGTTGGTTCTCTTAGTTGAGTTCTATAAGGGTGTAATTTCTCTCTTGCGGCTACCTCACCGGCAACACATCTAATGTGTTATTGGCGAGTCTGTGCGTAAAGTAGACGGTGATAGTTCATGTAAATGTAGGGATGTACATACGTACTGACATGCTGGGCATACATATTACGCACGTGAGGAGGATAGTACCTAGGGTAGAAAAAGGCCGCACCTCCTGGACGCGTACGTATGAATGTAGGTAGGTAGATCCTCACGAAGAACCAGGGTGAGTGTCACATTGTGATATGATATGCCAAATGTTGTTTTCCTGCCAATCATGCATGCATACTACCTAACTAACCTCAGCTACCCAGTCAGAGCTTACCTAGAGCTGCCGCGGGATATTATACAGAGTACCGGTAGTAGGAGCGAGCGAACGGATGCGGGAAGGAAAAATACCCGATTCGGTTTCATCTTCTTGACTTCTCTGTGTACACTCATACTCTGTAGATAGAATTTGTATTTCGTTGTTAGACTTGGCGGCGGTGATCAATCCGGCGGCATTGTGTATACTGCTTACTTCCTTTTACCTATAGTAAATATCTACTCACCTGAAGCATAGGATCCCGAGATTACTATCCGGTGAGTATGCGAGGTATTCCCTCGATCCTCAGTACTCCAAGATTAATGCAGTTTATCGTATGTAGTCACGGGGAATACTCGTGGTGACTCGGGTAGACAGACAGAGCATTATCTAGGTATCACAAATATTTGGAAATTGATTTTGGTCTCAACCCCAAGTCCACGCTATTAGTCGCGCTTGGTTGTTTATCATTCTTCTACGAAGTAACACACTATCTAATCTTGAGGTCCGAACGCTATCCCCCCCATTCACACTCCCCTTTCCCTGTTTAACACCGTCGCAAACACAGTACATAAAAACACTATCAGTCAAAACAATATCGGATTTGCTCTTGCCGCCTAACGCCGGATGTGACCAATATAACCCAAATTTTACTCGTATGCTCGACTTCGCTGCGCCCCTTTCAAGACCCCAATTGACACCGCTGCTGCTGTATAAAGCGATGATAATGATGAGTACTGAATATCGTAGATACTCGATGTTCGGATGGGGGAGGGTAGAGCTTGTCAGAGCTGTTGTGGAATATAAATTGTATAAGAGTGAGTTATTAAGTAGGTATTATTTCATTCACTCTGTAGTCACGGATTCTTGCGCCTCATCGTCATCATCGCCATCTGTCGTCTCGATAAATGTCATCGTCACGCCTTCGTCGCCAGCGATGTTGAGGTTAATAGCATCGATGGCGTCGGAGCTATCGCGCTTGGCTAAGGCGGGCGAGTTGACGACGGGTAGAGTCTTGACGGCACGGGTTTCGAAATCAGGAGAGTTCTGTATGGCTTTCAAGAAGAACGTATTAGTGTACTGCTTGGTGTTGGTGGGAGGGCAGTTGGGGTTATTCTCGTGACTTACCAGCTGGGATGCCGCGCTTTAGGTACATGCGAGTTACCTTGGTTCGTCGACGGGGCAGAGATATCTCGTCACGCTTCTCCTCACCACCAGGGGCGGCGGCATCTGGGCGGTTGTCAACGATGATACCGACGCCAGCACCACCTTCGCCAGTGCCGAGCTGGATGATGGGTCCCTTGGTCAGAGCAGCCTCAGCGTAGGTGAGCGCTCGGTCGAAGCCTGCAAGGTCCCGCTTGGCCTTTTGCTGCTCTTCTATACGAGGGGCAATCTCTTTGCCCATTCCTTGAACGCCCACAGTTTGGGAGACTATAGTCTGCGTTAGCTTCGTTTCCTTGTGGGTAGGATGTTTCAAGCTACCTACCTTGCTCCTCTTGGCTGGGGTCCGCTGATGGCGTGGCATCTGGGGTAGCAACTGGGGTTGCTACAACTGTCTCGGTAGCTTGCACAGCTACTGTTGTTTCCTCAGCGGCGGCGGCATTTGTTGTAGTGGCGGGATTCGCAAGAGCTTGGATATCTTCAGCGGCAGCATTGTTGGCAGCCGCTCCATTGCTAGCTCCAGCGCTGTTTACCGCAGCTCCCTCCAAAGCGTTCAGCAGACTGGTTACATCTTGGCCGCCTCCAAATGAGATTTCACCATCACCGACCACCCTGTAGATAGTTTAGCAGCTGTTTCCAATGTAAAAGCTCACATCCCATCCGTTGACTTACAGAGCGGGAGAATAAGCGCCCAGGTTGATGTTCAGAGGAAGGCCATTGACGCTAGCTAAAAAGCCGGCAACAGCAATCATTCGATAGTGAACCATTTTGAATGCTTTGTTGATGATTTAACTGTAAATGGAGAGGATTATGGAAGATGATCAAATAGCTTATAGAAATGATAAACGACCAGCGACGACCAGCGAAAGAAGGGAATATTACTTAAACCAGAAGAATGGAAGAGACCAAAAAAAGTGAGTATTTGAGCGCAGCTGAAGAAGAGAAACGAAATCACGTAGTCCGACGATAGGCTTCATATATGCTCCAGAATTCGACCTACCTACTGCACATAGTCGAACCCCCAGGAAGAGGAAGATATGCCAAGGCGGGACTTCATCATCCAAGACAGTAAAGAAACGGCGTTTGAGTCTGCCAAGGCTGTCCCGTCACTTGTCCAAAAATATCTTCGTCGAGGCGTGGAGGGAAAGAGATCGGCGAGCCCTGCCTCTCGATGCTGCTCCAGACCGGACGAGATAGTCTTGCGGCATGTTGATTGGCTCAGCCGGAAGGAAACATGCTGGTGTTAACGATCGTCATAACAGCGACGCCGTCGCGAACCCTTGCCTGAGGATGCCAAGTACTGCACAACGGTCAATGCGATGCGGTAGTCAGGAAAATAGGTTATAGAGATATCACGTCCCTAGGCGATGGTGTGAGACGTGTGTATCACACAATGGAGTGGGTCAGTCTGTCTTGAGACTCGCCAAGATACTGCCAAGTTCTCGTTTCGCTGACTGGGATGGCTCAGCATGCTAAGCTTGCTAAGCTTTGCGCAGGCCTGTTGCCCAGATTTGGCCCAGAGAGCAGATCTCACAGCTCTATCGCCTCTGAAATATTTGTTCAGCCAAGGCCGGATGTGTTTTGCAGGCCTAGCTCTTGTTGTTTGAGCTTCCAGTGTCAAACACCCGAACATGATTGCTCGAGGTTTAGTACAAACCCTAAGATGGAGATGCCTACGTGAGTCTCAGTGCGGAGAAGTTCTAGATTTCCTTAGCACTTGCGGGCCTCTAGTCGAATATGATAGCTGCTACCTATCTCCTTACATTGTTTCGGTGGTATTGTGGAACACATGTATTAGGAATAGATTCGTTATATTTCGTCTATCGCTAAGTAACGGTTACATGAAGATCCTAAGGGGTCGTGCTCGCGGTCTAGCTAGTGAAGGTCGGATGAATTTGCGGTATGTGGTAGCTGTTCTGACTCAATCTGAATTCATTTCAGAAATTTCTGGGCAGGTCTGATGGAGCCGCCTCTGGAGGCTCAGCTGAAGCTCATAACGGAAAGTAGTGAATATGGTGTTCATGATTCATCCCCACTAAGTATCGAGAAGCCAATCCGGACCTGGTAAAAGCTTAATACCTCATTTGGCGATACGTACAGAGTACTCAAGCTTGGAGTAAGTAAATGATACCTCGCCGCAGACTCCCCGATAACTACTTCTCAGGTAAAACCCACTGGTGTAAGATAATCTGGTCTAACAACCAGGATAAACCCGAAAGTTCGATAATATGTTTACCAGTCCTGCGAGTAGGAAAGGCTTAGCTCTGAGCTAACAATATCTGACAGGGAACGTTTCACTGAATAGCGACTACATACGTAAGCTACAACGACATAGTAGACAGGGGTGTAGTCATTAAGTCTAAGATGCTAGAACTCTCAATTTACAAACAGATTGCCTTGGCTCTAGTAAGTTTAGGATGACATATCAACCTCAGGCAACTCACAGGTTCAATGGTCATGGTGATCAGCCTTGCCAGTTGTCAGATGTAGGCTGAAGGATTGTACGCGGCAAAATTACATCTCACAGCTCGGCTGTTATCAGTTAGATATCCCCGCATTTAAGTACTCCAACAATCGATCGTAGCCTACCTTGACAATTTCACCTCATCTTCGTGGCATTGTCAATAAGAAATGATGCGGATTGAACTAAAACAATCTCCTCATTGCGCGAAAGGGGAGGGGGTCTCCCTTGTTAAACCTCAGCAGTCTCCAGATGCACAACCATGGCGGCCGACGATATGGGGACATCTTCAGAAATGGAGGTATATATATGTCCTGATCGCGGTTGCTCTTTTTTATGGTGTCAATATTCAGTCACGCTTTCAGAAATACTTCAATAGACATAATGCTTTGAATGAGGGCCCAATTCACGAGAGAACTGAGCTATGGACCGAATGGCTTGATGTTCGTAGCGCCTTAGAGTACCAGCTCTGCCTTCCATGAACTGACAAAATGGACTTGAATAGATCACTCCGAGTGAAAAGCTCAAATGGCAACCGTGTTTTGGCATCTATGGGCCCAATTTTCAATGCGCAAGGCTCACGGTCCCTATGGACTACACTCGTCCATTAAACGAGTCTGCTGACAACCCCAAGGTACATCTCGCCTTGATAATGGCAACTGGGGCAAGTCGTACACAGGACCCGTTGACCTACGCCGAGGCTCCTATCCTAATCAACCCAGGTGGCCCCGGTGGCAGCGGCGTCATATTTGCTCAAGCAAGGGCCAACAGCATGCTCCAGATAGTTGGCGATCAACACGACATCATCGGTTTCGATCCCCGCGGAGTGGGAGCTTCGACACCTAAAGCTGATTGTTTCACATCGTCTGATAGTCCTAGCGGGGTCTCGGGGCGTAATACCGCATATATGAACAGATTGACCTGGCTCGTTGGTGGGCAAGGAATTGGCTTGGCAAACTCTAGCAATATGGCTTTGACTACGCTGAGTGCTCGGTCAGCCGCAGTCAACAAGATGTGCCAACGAGTGGATGAGTCTGAAGGTGATGGCAGTATTTTTCGTCACATGAGCACTCCAAATATCGCGCGAGACATGCTCTCGATCGTTGACGCCTGGGACGAATGGAGATCAAGTACTCAAAGCATTCCAGTTACGCAACGAGAGACCGCACATCCACCCGCCGAAGACCAAAGTTCCGATGATCAGAATAAGAGCAAGCCCAGTCTACAGGGGAAGCTCTTGTATTGGGGATTCTCCTATGGCACGTTTCTAGGGGCTACTTTTGCCTCCATGTTTCCCGACAGGGTAGGAAGGCTCATGTTAGATGGTGTTGTGCACGCAGATCGCTACGTTAATCCAACGTGGGGAGGCAGTATTGGCGATGCCGATGCCATATGGGATAGGTTCTTTGTGTACTGTGCGGATGCAAAGACCTCGTGCAGCTTTTATCGCACCGGAGATGACCCAGAAGATATCAGAAAGCGGTTTAGGGAAACACTGTCGTTGCTTGAAGAACAGCCTGCCACCGTAATTCTTCCCGATACGAACCTTCCCGGAATAGTTACGGCGAGTGATATAAAGAAGTCAATATTCTTCGCCGGTCTGTACGCACCTACCGTTGGGTTTCCTTTGATTGCTGGGCTCCTAGACCATGCCTTCAACGGTAGATTGGGAGACATAGCGCAAGGTGCGGGCATCGCGTCCATGTGCGGCAACATTACCCTTCCCGTCTACCCAGACGACGCGATGAGAGGAATTGCCTGCAGTGACAAACAGCACAGACTGAATGAGAATGTAACCGGCCTCTGGGATCGATTTGAGAAAGTAGCAACGTATTCGTGGTTTGCGGATGTTGTAAGTTCCACCACAAGCACCCTATTATCTGTATCTCATAAGCTGATTCTTACTCGTAGTGGTTCGGTGTCGAACCGAATCTCGGTTGTAATGGATGGGAGATTAAAAGCAAAGTCCCTCCTATGCGATGGGGTGATCGACCTGACCAAAGGCCGGCACTCATAGAGACGAGTTTTCCCATCCTTTTCCTCTCCAACACGCTTGATCCAGTCACGCCGCTTGGCCATGCACTTGATATGACGCGAAAGTTCGCCAACGCAAGCATTGTTGAGCAAGATGGACTTGGACACTGCACCCTTTCATGTGTCTCGAGCTGCACTATAGGATATTTGCGGGCGTATATCAACGAGGGTATTGTCCCACCACCGCCAAAATTCGAATCTGATTCGGGGAATAAGGGCCAATGGCCCAAGTGTAAATGTTTTGACAAGCCCTGGACATCTCCGGCCTACGGAGAAGAGGAGTCGCTGGCTAGCTTTCCGGTAACTAAAAGTCAAAGGCAAGGTTACGAAGAGTTGCGAGCTCAGTTTTCCGCATTCACATTGTCTCAGCAGCTTGACCATAACAACCCCTTGAAAGCATATCTCGTCAAACAGAGCGGCTTAGCTGGTAGCTATCCATGAGTAGATATACACCCCTGGAGAAACCAATCTGATGATATTGTCGGGAAGGAATAAGATATTCGTCTGTTGCCCGAATCAATTAAAGCTCTTCACTTTTTTTTCTTTTTTTTTCTTATTTTTGAAGTTCCTATATTCATTCCTTGCTTTCACTCTGTATGTTGTACCTACTTAAGTAAGTGCCCATACTTCGTACCTAGATGTAGGAGGCGTTATCTTATCGCCCGTCTCGGACCCACCTGGCGTCCGCCCGCCCGCATCCAATCTACGCGAAATTTTTCTGGGTGCAGCTGTCAAGAGTGTTTGACGACCAGGCGAGATACTGTCGGCGAGACCTCAGTTCCCATCTCTCCTCCGCCCTCAACTTATTCGTCTGTTCTGGGTTTGCTGTTATTCGTTAGCCTTGACGGCCCTATAATTAAAATGTCTGCTGCACTACGGACAATTACGCCTTTCCTGCGCGCCTCGCGCCACTGTCTTAGGCCCGGCAGCGCTGCCAACCCGTTAGACTTTGCTGGCCGACTCAATTTGACTCGGTCGTACGCTGTTTTCGAGAGAACGAAGCCACATGTAAACATCGGTACAATTGGCCACGTCGACCACGGCAAGGTACGAGACGCACAAGATCCCAACACAGGGATCCCGACTTATCTACTGGCGTAGAGTAGAGCTAACCCTCGAAATATTAGACCACACTATCTGCCGCCATTACCAAGAGACAGGCCGATAAGGGGTTGGCCAACTTTTTAGAATATGGCTCAATCGACAAGGCCCCTGAAGAGCGAAAGCGTGGTATTACTATCTCGACTGCTCACATCGAATACGCTACTGAAAACCGCCACTACTCCCACGTCGACTGTCCCGGTCACGCCGATTACATCAAGAACATGATTACTGGTGCCGCCAACATGGATGGTGCCATTATTGTTGTCGCTGCCTCCGATGGACAAATGCCCCAGACCCGAGAGCATTTACTACTGGCCCGTCAGGTTGGTGTCCAACGGATTGTTGTCTTTGTTAACAAGGTTGATGCCATTGATGACCCGGAAATGTTGGAGCTCGTCGAGATGGAGATGCGTGAGCTTCTTACTCAGTATGGCTTCGACGGTGACGAAACCCCTGTTGTTCTGGGCTCTGCTCTCATGGCTCTGGAGGGCAAGCGTGACGATATCGGTGTCAAGAAAATTGACGAGTTGCTCGAGGCTGTTGACACCTGGATCCCCACCCCTCAACGTGACCTCGATAAACCTTTCTTGATGTCCGTTGAAGATGTCTTCTCCATTGCCGGCCGTGGTACTGTCGCCTCTGGCCGTGTTGAGCGCGGTACCCTGAAGAAGGACTCCGAAGTGGAATTGATTGGTAAGGGTGGTGATGTCATCAAGACCAAGGTTACTGATATCGAGACTTTCAAGAAGTCCTGCGACGAGTCCCGTGCTGGTGACAACTCGGGTCTTCTTCTGCGTGGTATTCGCCGTGAGGATGTCAGGCGTGGTATGGTCGTTGTCAAGCCCGGCTCAGTCAAGGCTCACACAAAGTTCATGATTTCCATGTATGTCCTGAGCAAAGAGGAAGGTGGCCGTCACACAGGTTTCGCCGAGAACTACAGGCCCCAGATGTACTTGCGTACTGCCGATGAGTCATGCGCCCTTTTCTACCCCGACGATGTTCAGGACAAGTCCCAACTGGTCATGCCTGGTGACAACGTCGAAATGATTGCCCATTTGCACCAACCTATTGCGATTGAGGCTGGTCAGCGTGTCAACGTCCGTGAGGGTGGTCGAACCGTTGCCACCGGTGTCATTACCCGCATTATCGAATAAGAGGTTCGACAGGCGATTGAATTGAATGACTATATTTTATGAGGGTTCTGGACGAGCCGGCGGGTCACTTCTGCTTTTACTAGCCATCGGGGCGTAGAGGGGGAGACAAGGAGTTCACGTCCAACTGTGTATATGGGATGGGGAAGCCAATCTGTACAACACCGAAATGAAAGTCCTGGGCCATGTACACTGTCTATATCCACAAGGCTCGTTCCATCTCCTCTCTCTAATGTCGGCTCTGTGTCGTTATGAACACTGTATATTACAGCATGAATGAATAGAATCAAACGAAGAAAAAATATTATAACGAACAACGTACATCACCAGAACTTCTTCCATTCTTTTGTGCCATTTGCTGCATGGATATCTGGAGCTAACGTTGTTGGTAGGTCCTTGCTCAAGCATATGGCTCACCGGTTAGGTAGTCACTCTCACCTCTGGAAGAAGCATCTAAGCCCTGGCTTTTTCGACTTTAACCGCTGCTTCTCTGTATCTCCAACCTGGTGTGTAGGTATGGCCTAAGGAGATCTATACAGCCTCGGTAAATAACCGACACAGTTTCCTAGGCTGCCATTCAAAAGATAAGAAAGCAATAAGAGCCGTGCTGACTAAATGTAGCTCACCGTAGGTTGTTATCATGATTAAGTACTTACCTAGGTACTGATAAGGCCTCCCAAGGTGGTACCTGCTGTGGGTACGAAGAGCAGCAGCTGTACAGCAGATCCCTGCTGGTCGTAGTTAGAGCTCCTTGTACTGTGACGCACAATAGCAAATGTGGCATCTTTAGTCTTGATTTCAAAGCCCCTCTTACCGTTAGCAACTCGAACCATTTGTGGTAAATAGAGTATATCTGCCTGCCTCTTTTCTCATTTCACCAGCGGTTTTCATCGTCGCACTATCCCCACTTTTGTCACCGATACTACAATCCATTGTTCTTGTTGTAATCTTTCAATAGCCATGGTTTTACTCAAGAGCTTCGTGCTCGCCGGTCTGACGGCCGTGGTTGCCGCCAAGTCGGCTGTTCTCGACTTGATCCCCGACAACTTTGACAAGGTCGTCCTAAAGTCCGGCAAGCCTACACTGGTCGAGTTCTTCGCCCCCTGGTGTGGTCACTGCAAGAACCTCGCTCCCGTCTACGAAGAATTGGGCCAGGCTTTCGCCACCTCAAATGACGTCCAGATCGCCAAGGTCGATGCCGATGCCGAGAAGGCTCTCGGAAAGAGATTTGGCATCCAAGGTTTCCCCACATTGAAATGGTTTGATGGCAAGAGCGACAAGCCAGAAGATTACAAGGGCGGCAGAGATCTGGAGAGCTTGACTAAATTCGTCACTGAGAAGACTGGCGCAAAGGCCAAGAAGGTGTTGCAAATGCCTAGTCAAGTAGAGATGTTGACAGACAAAACCTTCAAGAAGACTATTGGTGGCGATAAGAACGTTTTTGTTGCTTTCACGGCACCTTGGTGTGGTCGTAAGTGATATATTGTCCATTGAACTCATATCTGGGCTAGAAAGATTTCTAACTCGACTTAGACTGCAAGAATTTGGCCCCGATCTGGGAGACCCTCGCCGAAGACTTCTTGAACGAGCCCAGTGTCGTCATTGCTAAAGTCGACGCCGAAGCAGACAACAGCAAGGTTATAGCAAAGGAGAACGATATCACTTCATACCCCACCATTAAATTCTTTCCTAAGGGTTCAACTGAACCGGAGGAATACGACGGCGGCCGAAGCGAGGTTGAGCTCATCGAGTTCCTCAACTCAAAGACCGGCAGCCATCGTACTCCCGGTGGTGGTCTCGATGCCACGGCCGGTACTATCGACGTCCTAAACCATATTGCTCTCAAGTACTCGGCCGGCACTGATAAGCTGGCTGAGCTCACAGCCGAGGCTAAGAAGGTTGTCGAGGGCTTGAGCAAGGACGCAGAGTACAAATATGCCGAATACTACATCAAGGTGTTTGACAAGCTTGCCGAAAACGAGGGCTGGGTTGCCAAGGAGTCGGCGCGTCTGGACAACATTCTCAAGAAGGGTGGTTTGGCTCCCTCCAAGTTGGACGAACTCAAGAGCAAGTCCAACATCCTGAAGCAATACTTGGACCAGGTCATCGAGAAGATCGTTGGCAAGGACGAGCTTTAAAGTAGCGTGAGTTGGTTAGAAGAGTTGTCTTAAAAAGATGATACCAGTTATGTCTGCTGCCTGGAACAAACGCGTTGCGTCATAGTGTAAAATTATTGTCACCTGTCCACCCGGCGAGCCCCAACTCCAAGAAACGCCGTGCACTTGGTCATGATAATAACATAACGCCATGATGGGTCCATGATATTGACAGTGATCTGTGTAATTTAACTCTTTGATGGCGAACCAGGGGCCTTCTCCTCGTTGGCTCGAAGAGCAGCTTCGAGACTGTCTAGACGTCGTGACATCTCGTCCACTGCAGGCCGCCTAGTTAGTCCCGTAGCACAACGATTTGTTCATGCGTAGTATGTGTCGCACGTACTCTTTGCAAACATCTCGGTCGACACAGTGTTGAACTTGGTGGACAAGTTGTTTAGTAACTCCTCGACGACGGTAGTCAACTCGTCGGAGCTCTAGAATTTCAACTCGTCAACTAGTGGCCCCTAGCACACACGACAAGGGGACGGAGGAAGGGAAGAGAAGAGATGTCTTACATTGCCGGTATCATTGACCGTGCTTTTCTCGTCTTCTTCTTTCTTTGTCGACATAGTGTCTACTTTTCCGGAGAACGTGGGTTGTTCTCGGTGTCTTCTTGCTGGTCGTGCCGGGCTTTCGGGTGTTTGTAGGTAGGTATGATGAATGGCGCATTCGAGGAGGGCGCTAAAGACCGCTAACTCCCCTGTATCCTAGCGGACGTGTGGCTTATACCTGGCAGACCTGGGCACCTACCTATAGGTACCTCCTTAGGTAACTTAGAGGCGCTAGGGGCTGACTCCACAGGTACGTAATCCCCAAACAGGCCGCCGCAGGACCCTTGGTCCAAGTGCTGCCGTGGACATCTACAGACACGAGCTGCAGACAAACCTTGAATCCAATCTGAGAGCCTTACGAACCCTGGCTCTCGCATAAACTCAACCGCCATGTCGACACAGTGACGTGATGGGAACTCGAAATTGTCATGCCGCAAGCTCAGGATAACGCCCGTGTCTTCTTCCTGATCTTCCTGCTTTTCTGGCTGGCCTCCAGCCCCGATACAGGTTCAGGACTCATCGCTGGCCCGTCGCAGGTCCGCAACCGCATCGCTCATCAACGCGCCGCCCATGCCGTCCTGAATAGTACAGCATGGGGTGACTTCACCCCCCAGCTTCCCGATGATCCACCCGAGACCGAGCCTCAATATTTGAACCTGACGGGGTTCCGGGAAGAAGACCATTTTGCATGGGAGGATCTTAGCCGGTTCAAGAGTCGCTGTGAAGAATGGAGTCGCAATGCCGTGGGAATCCCCGAGACCCAAGAGCCCGTCTGGCAGAATGCTACTGGCGTTGTTCGCGGCTTGTGGGAGCGCTCTAATGGGTCTGTCTCGAGGACCCATTCGAGCTACAATCTCACCCACATCAGTCCGGACGTGGCATGGAATGGCTTAAACTCCGAATGGAGCAGGAATGTCACTGGCCGTGAGGGCAAAATACTCGTACGGATTGATGACCCGGAAGATGCTGCGACGGAGCCAGAACAACTCGATCCAAAGATATTCCGTGAGGACGAAATCCAAGCTCGTCTTGTCTCTAGTACGGTTACGGTTGAAGACATTGAAGGGACTGGCAGCAGCTGGGAAATGCGGCTACACGGTGTGCATTGGCCTAAGGCCGGAGCGTTACTATTCACTACTACAAGTGATAAGTACGCTGGCATCTTCGGGCTCCCTCATCTCACTACAAGACCAGACTTCTTTGAATCAAGTCAAGCGCTGCTAAATAGAACTCTAGGCAGTACATTGGATAGAAAAGAGAGGCGAGCCTTCGCTGACCAGTCTGATCCTTGGGCATCTACAATAGATGCGCCTGCTGAAGTATGGAATCCAGTTCCACACTGCGAGTATCTCCTTTACATACAGATCCACCCCTTAGATCATGATATACTTCAAGTTCAGCCTAGCCTAACAGGGCCAGAGAATATCATTAAGGCGATTCATAATATTGAAAACGAATTACGTTTTCCTCAGGGAACACCTCACAAAGCAACGCCACGGCTCCAGATGTCGGCAGTTCTTTATTCGCCTGATTGTGCTTTTTTCCTTGAGAGCAAGGGTCCTCCAACATATGCGCCTGCAGAGGGGGAGCACTTGGTAGGAGTGAAACAGGAGGTCTTTTTGCATAGTGTTAGCAGTTGGCTTCTGGGGCTTGCCTTTGTGTTGTTCGGCCAAGTTCAGTTACTCAAACTGCAGCTGAGAGAAACGTCCACTCCTTCAACACTGGGACGTGTCAGCTTTTATACCGCTAGTATGATGCTGCTTGCTGATGGTATCACTTTTGCTGGCTCCGCCGCCTGGAGCTTGTCCGCTTCAAACACTTTGCTACCCTCTCTTGTTGTAACTTGTGTTTCTTTCCTTTCCATGACCATAGGCATCTTCTTTCTCTCGGAAATACATAAAGTTCAAGAGTCCGAATGGCGACGACAAGAGCGCGAAAGAGACAGGCAAACCCCTCCTGCTGCCAATGCGACGAGACCACAATCTTCACCAGATCGTGTGCCTAGTGGCGAGGGGCGGCCTGCATCCCCTCCGATAATCATACCTTCAGATCAGGATATCGATGCGGAAATTTCCGAAGTTAACAACACCAGCACAAATAGTGGCACGCTTCCTGCGCCCGTTACAGCTGGGACGCCTACAGCAAACTTGCAAAACAGTGGAACACCTATTAGTACTATCTTTGGTCGTTTTGTCCTCATTGGCATCTGCATTCTTTTCCTCAGTCTTGCCGCCATCACCTGGAGACCCTCGATCCGCGAATCATATTTCAACCTTGTTGCACTTGCCTACCTGTCCATGTGGTCACCACAAATTTACCGTAACGTCTACAGAAATTGTCGACAAGCGCTCTCATGGCCATTCGTCGTAGGGCAGTCCATTCTACGGCTACTTCCCATTGCGTATTTCTATATCTGGTCTGAGAACTTTGCATTCGCCGAGCCGGACTGGACTGCCTTCACTGTTCTCGCAGGTTGGGTCTGGATTCAAATTTGGGTTCTCGTAGGGCAATCTGTCCTCGGTCCCCGGTTTGGGCTGCCAAAAAGCTGGATGCCAGAGGCGTGGGAGTATCACCCAGTCTTAAGAGAGGACAATATCGAAGCAGGTGGCCTACCAATCGGCCTCGTCTCTGCACCAAATAGCCCGATTATTGAGCGCGTAAAATCTGGAGATGACGGAAAGGATAAGAAGAGGACAAACATACATGTTATAGACTGCGCCATCTGCCGAGAAGTCCTCGAAGTGCCAGTTGTCAAGGCTGGCGAGGATGACCCAACAGCGGGCGGTGTGGCTGGCGTCTTTGCGAGGCGCATGTATATGGTCACACCCTGCCGACATATTTTCCACAGTACATGCCTGGAAGGCTGGATGAGGTTTAGGCTGCAGTGTCCCATTTGTCGAGAGGAACTGCCACCACTGTAGATGCCGGCTCAGCCCCTCCAATATTATTATATTTCCATTACCTCGCCCACTCACTACTTTTTCGAAATTCAGTTTTTAATACTTGTAACCCAATAGCCTCGTAATAACCATGCATCTTCTCTACGTTAAAACTCAAGAGCTGAGGGAATTCTTTGGAGATAAAATTCCACACTACGCCATTCTTTCGCACACGTGGGAAGAGGAAGAAGTAACATTAAAAGACCTTCAAACCCCAGAGCATAAAAGCAAGCGGGGATACGTCAAAATTCAGCAGACATGCCGCCTAGCAGCACGCCAGGGTTAGGAATGGGTATGGATTGACACTTGTTGCATTGATAAATCCAGTAGTGCCGAGCTTTCAGAAGGTATTTAGACCACCAAAGCATTGGCAACGTTAGCGGAAGCTTACAAGACAGCGATCAACTCGATGTTCGACTGGTACCGCAACGCCGAAGTATGCTTTGTGTTTCTAGCTGACGTTCCACCTCCGCAGCCCGGTGAGGACATCGAAGAAACAGTCCGCCGAGCCCGTTGGCTTACTAGGGGATGGACTTTGCAGGAATTCCTAGCTTCACGGCGCATTATAATACTTGATTCAGCATGGCAAAATATCAAGCGAGGTAATTTTCGAGCCATATCTTCCCTCAACAATGGATTGTTTGTTTTCACCTTTGAGTTTACACTACTGGGCTATTTCACGGGCATTGGCGTGGACACATGGAGGGATGCGGCCATATCCACGAAATTATCGTGGGCAGCCAGGCGGCAAACCTCAAGGACGGAAGATATGGCATATTGTCTTCTTGGTCTTCTAGATATTAATATGCCCCTTCTTTACGGAGAAGGCACTCGGGCTTTCACCCGCCTACTTGAAGAAGTCATGAAAAAATCCAATTCGCACGATGTACTAGCCGCTGGGTACGGCTTGCCCCGTCTATCTTCGCTAGATCTTTTGCCCAAATCACCACAGGCATATGCAGCGTGCACACGAAAGCTCAGAAATGTCCCTGTTTCAGGAAAGTCCAGTTCGCTCCATTTTTTTAATGACAAATGCTGGACTCAACATTGAACTACCACTTGTTAACATCGATAATAGACGGAAAGTTGTGCTCGGGCTTCTGAATTGTCAAGACGTCTCAAAACCAGACAATCCGCGATTAGCTATTGTGTTAAGACAGGCTGGCCATGATCGAAGTGATCAATTATATCACTCGGTTTCTCAACCTTTGTCGGTTCCATTGGACTACTATCGATATGCATGCCGCAAGAATATATACATTGCTAATATTGAATTTCGAGAAACGCAGGATTCTTTATCTCAAATACACTGCAATGGTCTTGAAGACATTGGGTATCAATTCCATGACTGTTACCCCCCTTCGCTTATTAAGAGAAAGGTGGGAACGTGTGTATATTACACGCCTGGTGAGCGTCCAGACATTATGCTATTATTCTTCACGACCGCCGATCACAGGCCGAATATTGTTTTCCTGGTCCATGTGTCATATGACAGTCCAGTGAGGAAGCCGTTGGTTTCTTTCACAAACTCTGTATCACTTATAGAGTTCTTGTTAAGATATGATCGTATGTATGATCAAAAGGGAAAATACTCACCGGCAAACACCCCGCGTACCTCCCGTCGAAAGAACAGAACTGCCTTGTTGCAGCCGTTATAGGCCACCCAAATCGACATTGGTTTGTTACAAACACGAAACTGCTGGCATGATCATGTTATTATTTCTATATCAGAATCAGGAAACTATCTAAAAGGAAACTATTACATCTCTTCCAGCTACTCTGGTAATATTGATGGGGTGTCACAAATTGGCGTGGATGTATTATATCAAGGGCCGAGAACTTGAGTCGGAATTTAATGATATTTACAATATAATGATCTGCTAGGGCTAGAAACGTCTTTGACCAGTTCCTTTTTGACCTTGGTGAATGACTTTTTATATCAATTTGACTGCCAGTACTGACCGTCTAGGTTTCATTCGATGACGTGAAGCCTGTATAACCTCACTTTCAATATTACCTGCATGTCTTTCGAAGATCATGATCAGCTACTTATCAGCTCAGGTCACTGACACTCGTGTAAATAAAACTGGTCGAACTGTCGATGAAATCGAGGTAAGGGATAGAACCACATGAAAGTTTATAACTCATCGTGATTCAGCCCAGTATAATGACTAGTTGGATAGCACCCAAAGCAGAAGTGCCATTTGGCTATTGATTAAGGTAGTCAAAGAGTATTAATACTATTACTTCCCAGAAACCGTTACTTATCAGCTAACCCCTTCGCCGGCTTCCACTCATAGTGATGCTCTCCTTTTTCAGGACCTCTCATAGGATCATCCTTCTTCTCAAACATGTGCGAGCCGAAATAATCAAGCTGGGCTTCCATGAACTGAGTCGGTAAATGTGTCTAGGGAGACACACAGTTAGTAGTGAACATTACCGAATGGAATAGAAAATGACAAGGGTTGGTCAGAGATTACGGGGTAGAAGATGTAGGACCATCGTGCGAGGTGCCTGGAGGTATAAAGAGTAAAATATCACTTACCGAGGTCTCATACTTGTAGTACTCTAGAGTCTGACTTATAGACGGCACGAACAAGTCTGCCTCAATCGCCTTCAGAACCACCTTCTTCGTATGCTGGTAGGTCGCCGCCAAGTCCTTCTCCACCTCTTCGTTCCCGAGGACGTCGTCAGGATCGTGGTCTGCGCGCGCATACATCTTATCTAGCAAATCAGTGATGAAGTCGGCCTGTATGATACATCCACCCCGCCACAGCTGCAGAATCCTGCGATAGTCTAGCTTCCAGTCCTTGTCCTTGTCCTTTTGCCGGATGAGATCGAGGCCCTGGGCGAAGCAAGCCAGAAAACAGAAGTACGTCGCCTGGTGTAGGTCCTCGACGAACTCGTCTCGTGATACCCCAGCGGCGAAGACGTCCCGCGGGTTCGCCCGTCGCCCGTCCCTGCCGCCCGATCTCTTCTTGTTCTTCGTCCGGCGCGCGAGGTCCGCGGATGCGCAGCGGAAGAGATGTGCGCTGAGGATCGACGCAGCGGGTACGTGTCTCGCGACGGCTTCCTCGCACGTCCAGATCCCTGTGCCCTCTTCTTCATCGACGTCCTGCACGACCTTGTCTCTAACTTGTGACAGCACGAGTTTCCCGCTATCATCCTTAGCGCGCTCGATGTCTACGCCGATGGACACAAGGAAGCAGCCGCGCAATGGCCCCTTTTCATTCCACGACTGGAAGATATCGCCGACTTCCTTGTTGTTCAACCCTAAGCCTTCAGTGAGCAGCAGCCATACCTCGGCTATCACGGACATCATGCCCTGCTCGATGCCGTTGTGCACCATCTTCACGTAGTGTCCGCTGCCGCCGGGGCCAACGGGATTCGTGCAAGACCGACCCTGGCCATCTTTGGCTGCAACGGTTCGCAGGAACGGCATCACCTTCTCGAGACCCTCGGCGCTACCGCCAGGCGACATCGACGGACCCGCGCGCGCGCTCTGGTAGCCGCCGGAGACACCGCAGCCGATGTAGTGAATTCCTTTCGGATCCAGGTCGCGCTGGCGACGCTCCGTGTTCTCCCAGTGCTCATTGCCGCAATCGATGATGACATCCCCGGCTTTGAGATGAGGCTTCAGCGATTCCACGCACTTATCCGCGGGTCCGCCATGCGGCGTGCTGAAAACGAAGACTTTCGTCTCGCCAAGCTTAGAGCATAATTCATCGTAACCGCCTGTGCGGTGAATTTTGCTGTTCGGGTGGATGTCTCGATACATCTTCTCCAGCTGATCCATATTCCGGTCACCTTCAAGCGAAGATTCTGGTTAACCTCGCGAGCAGTGGCTCTCACACGCGATGGCGTGCTATGCATTTGAAGGGACGAACATACTTGGGTCGAAGAAGAATACCTCATATCCGTGCTCGGCGAAGAGCAGGCTCATCGCGCCACCCATGCTCCCTACCCCGAGCATGCCTATCTTTTGTGATGCATTAGACCTACATCTATAAGCAGACAATCGTCAAGAATCCCTTACCTTAGTTATTTCCATCCCTCCCATGGTGATCTAGTCTACAGTCTATTCGGCGTCGCTTAATATGTTTTACTGGCTGTGATGGTGATTTCCAATGTTGATGTAAGGGCTCAGATGTCTGAATAAAATTTTATCGTTCAACAACACTATGGTTAGACTTAAAAATGTATTTTGCGATGGTTTTAGGACTCAGATCAGGCAATGTTTGCAAATCTACATGTCATTCTCTCGTCATACTTGGTTTGCGGGAGAACCGGATAGGTTTAATGGGTCAGAGCCGACTTCATTGACGTCAGAGACAGCGCCCCAGCCTAACATGCCCAATTTCTCTCGCCAAGCCCCAATCTTCGCATTCAAGAGATGCTGTTTCATCGCGAAGTCAATATTAGCAATTTGGTAGACGTGGTCGTCAAGTCTGTGCGATGATGTATCACCGGTGCTGTGCTTTGTCGTCGCTTTTGGTCTAAGGGGTCATTCAACTATATTCGCAACGCAACGCACCTTTTCAGGACCTCAATACAGAGTTATCTGTGACTAGATGCTTAACGATCCCTCTTCTTAGGACTGTTAATCATACAGGTTCTCCGCTACACAAGGACTCCTAAGAATAAGTTTGTTGCTGAGTCACACCTTCGCGATCTCCTTGACTCGGTGGAAAGCTCAGTTGTTAATGTTAGCAGAAGATAAGACACTTGATCATTTCGGGTTTGCATTAGAAGATGCGCAACCACTCTCTATATCTTCTGCAAGGTGAATGTCGCCTTGTAGTACCCGAAGAGATAGAGGACGATTGCATATAGTCGCAAACCCTACACTTAAGGTTGGCGCATCTTGGGGTTCGTGCACAGCAACCAACTGATGCTACCTCGTGAGCTGCAAGCATAGCAAATAGCGATATCAGATTCAAGTAGCTAACAGGTTCAACTCCAAGGGTATTGAATTGAATCGTCCGAATTATTGTCTCCATGGAAGCATGCCTCCTAGAATCGTCTGCAGGAGAAAATGACTGAAATCAAATAGGCATGAATACCTACATCGCGTAGGAAGACTAGAGTGCATGAAGATCCTATCAACATGACAGTCCGTGGGGTCTTCAAGTCGAGGCGGGCCTTGTCCAGTATGCGCTAAAGCAGCTGGTTCAGAGCATGCGAGGATCTTACGAGATTCGACCTGACTGCAACGTGGTTAATAGTCGCTGTAGAAAGGAGGTTCTTCGTTTGTTACTTCTAGACCGTCCGCCCGAAAATAATGGAGGAAACAAATAGGCAGAAGACCTCCGTCCCATGATCTACTTTGCTTGGAGCAGAGATAAGAGAGCTCTTTGATGCTCAAATTGAAGAGTCCCACAGGATGTTTCGACTAGTGTGGCTGGGAGTAAACAGGAACGTGAGCTCAATGCGGGTACAGATGACGCGCCAATTTCGAGGAGGCGATGTTTAGTCCACGCAGAGCTGGCCGTGTTCAAGCACCCTGTTTAGAACATTGTTGCATCTCGGAGGGAGCTCGTTGGTATTTGTCTATTTCTAACATGAAATAATACTTCACTGCTTGAACCTGGGGGTCTCTGGAACAAGCTAAGATCAATCCGTGAGGCTCTGCATTAGTTCTGTTTCTAAGTAAAGTAAAGCGCTGCTGGAGAGTATGTTCAACAAATAGGGTTTCGCGGAGGCAACCGAGCCTCGACAGTGCTGCGGGATGAGGAGAGCCGTGCTCTCTTCGTCTGGACAGCGACCAAGGAGAGAGCCTGTGGGATGTGGCGTTCATACTTCATCTGCTCAAAAAAACTTAATCGTGAAGGGATATGTCGGAAAGCATTGGCAGCAGTGTATCCGGGAAAACCTTGCGGTTCTCGTAGTAGTTTGTGATTTGTTGACTTCTAACTTACTCTATGTGTATCCGTATTTTTAAAAGCTTGAGCGTAAGGTGCGGCTATAACCGATAGCAAAGCAGTGGTAATCATTTATGGTAGGCTCGCGGAGTTTCGTCTAGACGTCGTTGGTGGAGATAAGACCTAGAGCGTGTACAGCATCTACGAGCTGGCCACGAGAAAAGATAACCAGAACAGGGTGGACGGATCCTTGGGTGTCGCGCACGACAAGAAAGCAGTCCTCGAGGTAGCAGTGCCCTTGCTTTTCGGCAGTTATTTTGAGTTACTTCGATGAGACTGCATGTCTCTCGTGTACCGACATTAATGTTAACCGCAATGCGCGGGTATGGAACCGGGCAGAACAGGTTGAGCTGTTCTGTGCCGCCATTGATCTGTCCACCAGTCATCCTGATAAACCAAATCATAATGAGAGAGACCGAGATGTACAGTAGGTGGACGTTGACCTTACTTGGTGCTACCCTGGGTAGTTTCTATTCAACAAGCTGTCATGAGAAGGCCGACTGTACACAAGCCATGTAATTGTGTTAACTGCGGGGACTGGTGGCATTACCTCAGCAGAAAACCCGAACAAATGTTGTTTCCTGTTGCGCTGCGGTGCTAACGCTGACGCCGTCTTCCAGGGTAATAACCTGGGATGCATGTAAACAGAGCCAGTTTTGTGATCATGGTCACCAGACGCGGTGCATGAATGTGATAGAAAGGCCAATTGTAGTACTGAAGGGGTAGCCAACCCGTAATGGCCTGACGTTAGTGTGAATTATTGTGTGAGACTCAAGGTTGACGAGCCGAAGGAGCCTATCCCCCGGGTGTAGCAACACAGGATGGATATTGGCAATCGACGTGCTGTTCGGCTGGATGGATGGCCACAAAATGTTATGAGGGCGGGGGTCAAGTACGAGAACGGCCAGAGCCAGGGATCTGCAGCCGCGTCACTTTCGCCCACTTCATTTGTCACGATCGTGATGCCAACTTTCGTATGAAGACGCCAGGTATGGGTGGATGGTAGCATGAACGCTTGATGCAAAGTAAGCGACATGCGTGGATATCAACGAGTTGGCTAGTAGCACACCGGATGCAGCCAATCCGCACGCACAATGTACTATGTACTACAGAGACTTGGGCGTCCATAAGGACGCTCACGATCTCAGCCAACACACCACAGCAGAGGGGCAGGCTGGAACCCAGTCTAGCGGGCTTGACTTATTGCGGGCATGCAGGGTCAGTCGATGTTCGGCCTCTTGAAAATAAGTGGTAGATACCTGAAGGTAATAATTCGAGACGTTGATAACGCCGAAACCCAACCTTACACAACCGGTATCCGTATATCTGACTGGAAGTGGAAGAGGTTGCATCATCGGCCGGATCTCGTCGTAATGGAGGCGAATTTGGATCACCTACCTTCAAAGTATACATGCCTATTATTAGGTGCCATTAATGGTATGGCAAACATGTACGTTACACTATTGGCCAGGTACTGATGCCGTAGCTACTTATTGTGCTCGCACAGATATGCATTCTCACAGTTACTCCCGCACACAAGTGCCCCGTTCCCTTCCGAGGCTCTTACAGGACTACATCTATCCGCATCTATGCTCAAGGACCGAGTGTCGGTTGCATCAGCCGAGTCGTCCCTGCGACACTTCATCCTATGACATGTGTCAGACAGAGGGAGAGGCACATATCTGCTAGGCACCGAGGTCGCATTCCTGTGATGGAGAGAGGCCGAGCTCGTTAACTGCCTATCCCTCCACACCAAACACTGTCCCCCAATCCATCAGCGTGGCACTGTAACGGGCATCGATCCTACTTTCACCTTTTTTTCGTATGCTGCAAGATGACCGTGGACCTGGTTTGTGTCGGGGGCCTTTTATCTTGACCCATCCCCGGGCAAGCCTTCCCGTCCCCGAGAGATGAGGGCGGTTTGAATTGCGGTTGGGTAGGGGGTGATATGCGCATGCGCTGACCTGATTACTTGCTTGTTGCAGCATGCCCTATTATCGGACGAGGAATCGAAGCCTCTGCGTCAAACCTCCAGATTCACCGGGGTACCAACTGTCCAAAAACGCCGACAGGATGCACATCCGTATGATAGAATTTGACCATACCTATTGACTTGCTTACCTGCACGCAAAACTGAAGCCATAGTGGTGGTTATTGAATCTTCAGCGGCGACACGCCGGTAGACCTGTTGCAATGCACCCATCGTGTCAGTAATAAAGGACCAGCGAGCAGTTACGTTATCCGTAGGTCAGTCACGGGTAGCTGTAGGCTGTTGAACTGCGATGACTGAGAAATATCTCTTCTCGTGACCCAATCAGGGAGTACAGGACCTGCTGTTGTAAATAGGTAGAACGAACGCAGCGCGAGATTGTCCATACTTCCGTACCAGATCCGGATCATGTCGGGTCGGTGGCAACTGACTGTATAATGTGCAGTGGCTGAAATAATATTTGATGAGTTCGTCGAGGCCGCCGAGAGTTGGGGCAGGGAGGACGGCGGTTCCACTTTGAGGTACGCAAACCGATTAACCAATGTTCCGGCATGGAAGGATTTAGCAAGTCACAGTACTCTAAGATGCATAGGGTAGAATCCCGGCGACGACGTTGCAGTGCATCCAATGGCTGAGGCGGTCAAAGCCCAAGGCTAGAGCGAGCGTTGAGGTTGAGAAACCAGGTCGAGAGTGGTTAGAAAACTTGGTGGCTGAGGCAGACGTGGTGTTCTTCTTACGCAGCCGAGCTGAGGTGCGTTGTGCATCTCTTTCTCCCGGAAGAGGCATCCTCACCCTGGCTTGCCCTAGCGGTCCTGGTAGCCTCGGGAAACTTGCTAAGTTCATGATGGCCCCCCAGAGAAAAGATACGCGGGTGCCGAGCAATGCGTCCAGTACACGTTCACCAGTCATTTACTTCCCGTTGTGGTAAAAGCGCTGCTTGCCCCCCTCCATCTGCATAACTCCAACCGTGTGAGACTGAAGTCAAACCCTTACCGCAAATAGTAATACGGTAATATGTAGACTGATCATTGAGCTCTATGCAGTGCCCAATCGGCGAAAGCCCGGGCAGGGTGAGTTGCATTTGGTCATTGACGCTGATCACGAATCGTTGCATTTGTCCGTAGCCGATACTGACCAGAAAATGGATACAGGACCCCCATCTGTTTTGTACGTGGGGTTCACCAGGCGCGGCGGAGTTGTCGCCTGATGGAGCCGTCGTGCCTTTGCTGGGCAACATAACCGGGCCAGACGATCCGAGTGATTGAATAGGTTCAACAATCGCCGGCGTTCCGCATCTGCTGCACTGCTTGAAACCCATCGAATGCCAACCCCAACAATAACAGCCATGGTGGCTAACAGCACCACTGTAGTAGCACCGTTGGAGCAGGTAATAGTACGTTTATCGCCGGGGTGTTATTTGGGTTCCTATGCCACGATTAGGACTGGAACGATAGGGCCAAGCTTAGCTTTGTCGTACAGCTGGCTACCTGC